TTAATATATAATAATTAGATAACTTATATTAAACCTAGTTTAAAGTAAATTAGAATTAAACTAATTAGAGTATTATTCTAAATAGTATAATTAAGTTATTATAAGCTATATAATATAAATTACTATTAATATATAAGTATTATAAAACTAATAATAATAAATATATAGATAATATTATTAATAACTATTTAAAGAAGTATTTTAACTAATAAAATAAATATATATATATATAGAAGTTATTACTTACTTATTATTTATCTATTACTCTACCTAAGTAATAAATTATAGTTTATTAATTATAGTCTTTATAAGGTTCTACTCTATATATAACTTTATATAGTCTAATAGAGGTCTTTATTTATAATATATATAGTCTAATTTAAATATCTATATAATTCTCTCTCTCTTATAAGAATTATAATTATAGTTTAGATATACTTAGGTTATTTTTAGATTTTTTAGAATTAATTAAAGTTAAAAAGTATATCTATTAATAAAATCGGGTATATTATAATGTATTATTATGTGGACCCTTAGGCGAAATTAATGTCTCCCCACTGTACCTCCCCAGATTCTCGGCTGCACTAAATTTCTACCTATTTTGCCAGTACCAATGAGCAAACTAGCGCGGAACTTTGGTTGGAGCAACGCTTGTTATGCAGCCGGCTTCCGCCCCAGCATGGTGAGTCGTAACCCCACACCGACGTCCTCAAGAAAGGCGCCAATCGCCATGGCTTCACATACCCGCTATCCGAGCCAACGTCGTTGCACAGTGATGAGAAGTCGGGATCCAGTCACTCTGGAGATAGTATGTCGGAAGTGCGGCCAAAGAGACGAATATAAAAAGCCACTGACTTCTAAGCCTTGAGGCGGTTTCAAGCTTCTAGAGAACTACTCCAAAATCACAGAAATAAAACAAGATTACCTACTTCGACGCCAAAATGTCTTCTGATGACAATAAGCTCAATCAAACCTACACTGCAGGGGGCCACATCGAGGATCGACGTCAGCCCTCACTCCCTGTCACCCACAGGCGACTTGCAAATCCTGCCCCATTAGCTTTGCTCGCGCTGGCAACAGGTAAGACTCCCTGACTGAAGCTACTGTGATAGGCAGTTCTAGCAGAGCTCACTGACGAGTGTCAATGCAAAGGAATATTTCTCATCTCCAGTTTCGGTCTCCAAGTTCGTGGTGTACAGATCCCAAACGTCATGATATCAGTGCTCATAGGGTTCTGTGGGATATCTCTATATATCTGCGGGGCCATGGAGTTCTTCGCAGGAAATACTTTTGGTGGCACGGTTTTCTCCTCTTACGCCGCTTTTAGCATCTCGTACGGCCTGATTTTTCTTCCGACAACGGGTATCACAGCTGCCTACCTTGATGCAAATACGGGAGCGATGAGTCCCGATTTCAATCAAGCGATCTCACTATACCTCTGGGCATGGTTCATATTGACCATTATCTACACGGTGGCTGCGATGCGTAGCTCCGTCGTTTTAGTCGCTGCTCTTCTTGCCCTTGACATTTGCTTGCTTCTGCTAGCCGTTGGGTTCATGACCCAAAGTCAAGCCACAATGAAAGCCGGTTACGCTTTTGGATATATTGTAGCTTTCACCGCTTGTAAGTATAGTACTAGAATTCATGAATTCAGAGCTATGAAACTAACCTAGTCCTTAGACTGGACTGGTTGTTCCGGTCTCTACTCTGGGGGACTAACACCATTTGAAGTTCCTGTGTTCCCTCTCTATAAAGAGGCCTAAGGTCATTCCAGGATCTCTTACTTGAGCTAGCCTTCCGTAAGATTTGCATATCCCGGCCGTCATAACTTAACTACCTACGTTTGAGAGGTACATTGATAAAGCACTAAACATTACCAGTATGACTCATTTTACCCTGAGGCTCGCAAGGATTCATAGATGATACATTGGAAGGACGTTCACTTTAAAACAACGTAAAGGAATCCACATATTCCAGTTTTAGAATTCAATTCACACGTTCGTTAGAGAAATTGAGTTTCAAGTTTAAAACAGCACTGGAAGATGCCAGAGCTTGATATTTCAACACAATGAAAATCAACGCAGACAATTTTGTTGAGATAATTATCTCGTTGGTTACTGCTACCACCTCCCTACTCTGACTTAATATGCAAGAAGGAGTTCCCTAGTTGTATATATGACCTTGTAAAATAATATTTGCCAGAGTAACCAATTTGTTTCAAAGCGCCCACAAGAGAGAGTTGCCTATCATAAAAAGAAAAGCCCTAGAATTGGACATGTTCGTCATGCCGAGTGTTTTCAATTTCATAAAATTTACAAGATCCTAATCCCAAACAAGACCAATCGTTCTGGCTTGGGCCTAGCAAACAGCCGTGAATATGTGTTCCCTAACCTGCTCAACTTCGTCTTCATCATGGAATATGACTGTTCCTACAAATAAATTTGACTATTGCCCTTGCCTCCCCTCCCCGGGAGCCTATTTCACCACCTTCCAGCAGGGCAAACCTCACACCGCACCAATTCGCTCGGAATTGCGCGGCTCACTCCACAGTCTGAATCTTTGAAGCCCAATCTTGTTGTTGAAACCATTCTTTCACGGAAGGCAGCGATATCCCTAGTTTGGAAGGCTCTGTAACCTCATTCCCAGCCAGGTGGCCGTCATACCCAAACTCGGCACTGAATCCAATCATGTGCATGTTATCGGTGGTTACAAGAGTATCTCCCATATCAAAGCTGACAGGCTCACTGGAAACTTCGACATCAGTTGCATCGACTAGCTCAGCCAGAATCTTGGTTATATCAAGCATGGTGAGCCATTCTCTGTTCCCAATGACTCTCTGGCCCGGCAGGGAGCGGAGCAAGCCTGCAACAAGAACGCCTGTGTCATCAATGGCTGCACACCATGGCCAGCTCACCGACGGAAGTAAATCTCCCAGATTGAGCACCAGACAACTCTTTGTTTTGTTCTGCGCATGTCGATTAATCATCAGTATTATATGGCAGAGAGGTAAGAAACAAGGATGAAAGCATACCAACTTAGGCAGAAAGAAGGCACTCATCGGACCAAGATAATTTTCCAGGTAAAATCCAACATAAAGCACGCTGGTCTTCTTCCAGAGTTCGGGCTGGTTTTGGCGACCGTAATCCTCGGCAATCGCTTTGCCTTCGAAGTGGTAGCATTCCGCGTACTTGCCCCCACTGAGCTTGTTCGAGTTCGCCATGCTAGCAAGGACAAATCGTTCGAGCGCAGGGACCCTGGAGGCAGCATCAATAATGCTCTTGATCTCCTGCGTGTCGTTGTCCCTGGACAGAGCCCCCCAGTTTTCCCCTTTAGCTTCGGCCTCGCCACGCTTCTCGGCGTTGCGAAAGTAGACCCAAAAGTCATTGACGCCAAAAATGGCAGAAGCACCCTTGAAGGCCGAATCAAGGGACAACGGGTGATTGAAGTCCCCTGCGACCATCTCGACGCCCTGCGCTGCTAAAGCTTGGGACTTGGCAGAAGAAGGGTCACGAGTGATGCCCCGGAGCGCGTATGGGTTTGATGGCTGTGAGAGAAAATAGTTGATCACAGAGCCTCCTTGGTTACCAGTAGCACCGCAAACAACGAGAAGAGGCTTTTCAGGCGACATGGTGAATGTGAATTGCTTTGAAGGGATAGAGTATGTTTGAAACTGTTTCAATAAATGGGGCTTGGAGTTCACGAGTCTTGAGGTAGATAATGTTTGTCGAGTGACTAGAAATAAAATAATCGGGAGGTGCAGCATTTATAATAGTCGCACCTAGTTGAACCATATAGAAACTATCATTTCTAATAAATGACAGCATATATAACACCCAACGGATGTGTGTTCACAGAGGAGGGTTTGCTCCACTCGGTCTCATTGTCCCCGAGCCCGAGCAGACCCCCCGTAAATCTGCCCGTACATTTGCCCAGCCAAATCCGTCTCCAGCTCGCCCGCCGCTCGCGGAAATTTCGGCCAACTTCACAAGCTGGCCAAGTGCGGTGGGACACCAAACCCCGACGGTTTAACAGATCTCCGCGACACCAGAATTATCATCTGACTTGTGATAGAAATTCCACGCAGTATCACTTTTACGCACCAATGCATATCATGCCTATAGGTCATTGCTCATAGATGTTTCGATCAAAGTGCGGCAGAGCCAATCACTTTCATGCATGTATCCTCCGGCAGACTTCGTGCTGATCGGCCGAGCTCCGCTATATTGCGGTCTTATGGCTTATTCAGCTGGTGATGGAAATATCCATTCGGTCCAAATTTCTAGAGCTTTTCTAGTTCATTGACATACTTGATGGTCAGGCAAACCCAGGCCTATCATTCAATCCTAGGAGCCGCTCGCCCTGTGATCCTGGAAAGAAATTAGTCTGATATACTGCTGCTAGTCTTATACAGAGGCCCTTTTTTGTGCCGTAGTGTGCGAGTGCTAAATACCCCAAGGTAATTGTCCTTGGAGGTGGAAATATCTCAATGAATCCCCCTTGCTTAAAGAAGCGTGCAAATTGGTCTTACGCTGGCGATCCCCACCCCAAATTAGGAGCAGATCTGAGATGCAAAATTGCACTAGGGAGTCATCGTAATATGTCTAGTGATCCCTGTACTACGTGAATATATGCCTTAGTTGTATAAACCAAGGCTAATATAAAATAAGGATTGGGGACGGAACCAACGCAGCGACAACAGAGACGATGATGCGTTACTGAAGCATTCTAACATGAATCTAAGCCTGCAACTTAATCTTTTGGCCCAGGCTCATATTGAACCCATAATGAAAGATGACAAAGAACCCGATCAGGATGACTAACGCTTTTCTGTGACTCCTGTCACACCATTCAACATTCGATTGAGCTACAGTCATTTTTTGCGGATGGTTAAGAACCCATGTATCTTATAATCTATGTTGTCATGCTAAACAATGACTATTTCACGCCGATTGCGGCTCGTAGCAAAGCTAAGGGGAACAATTACAGCCACTTCTCACCCTTTCCGAGGTGAGATACAAAACCACCGCCATAACCATCCTTCAAGCTAGCCTTATCAAATATAGATAGAACAGTCTTCACGGATTCCTCCGGTGTCAGGAAGCCATTGAAATTGGGCTCGTGTATTTGGAAGTGTTTGACCATCTCTGCAATGCCTTCCAGTTGCTCTGGTGTCGGTTCTATCAAAATGTGAGAGGGGGTTTCACTAGGGGCACCGTGAGGATCTGCATAAACGTACCAACGATGCCTTCACTTGTGTTTACGACACCGGGGCTAATTCCGAAAAACAGGATGCCTTCGGGTGCGTATTGTGCATTGTACTTGGCTGTGACCATGTTCATGGCTGCCTTGCTGATGGCATAAGGGGCACCGGCCGAGTAACCAATCTGGTTAACAAATTCGATGTCACCTGCACCCGAAGTTATAGTGAGGACTTTCTTGCCATTGCCTTTTTGAAGAAGCGGTACGTAAGCATTGAAAACGTGGATGTTCCCAAGGACATTCGTGCTGAACGTATCCAGGATATCCTGGGATAGCTTTTCCGGTTCGCGGCCTCTATATAATTACAACGAAAATAAACATTAGAAGAGATTTATCATATTAACCAGAAAGCGAGGGGTAAGGGCTTACAAGGCACCAAGTGGTTCGAACGCAGACCACTGCGACATTAATGCGGCATTCGCAATGAGGTAGTCAAGCTTCCCGCCGAGGATGCGTGAAACGTCATCCGCAGATGTCTACAAAGGCGTCAGTTCACGTTTTAAGACATACTAGATGAAATTAAGGGTCGGTTTACCTTTAAAGTGTCATAATTGTTGACGTCTGCTTCAACAATGTGCACGTTTGGCCTGTTAAGCTCTTTGACAACCTTCTCGTCGGCCTTTTTCTTGTCGCGCACAAGACCGATCACCGTGTTTTTGGAATCATTGGACAACTGGCGAAGGAACTCGAACTAATCATTTCTGTCAGCCGACGTCCATAATGGAGATAAGCACGGTCGCCTACGCCCAAACCACGAGAAGCACCTGTAATCAGATATGAAGGCATTTTCGGTGTGCTCGTGCAAGGATAGACTAATTTTTCGCAATTTTGTTCGAGATTGTGTGTGACTGATGTTTTTGGGAGTTGTGAATACAGGTTGAATGGGATCATAGGCTATCGTGGCCTGAAAGACAGTTTTATAGTCCAAGGTTCACCCATTGGATTTGTAACTCGAAGATCCAAGCGTGAGTTCGGAACCTCCAGAGAAGCTAAAATCTCCACTATAAAAGGGACCTTTCCTGAAACAGCAGGCATTCTCATTCTGACTTAGAAATCCATCTCTGGAACAGAATGCAAAACTCAACCAGATGCCCGTAATTGAACGAGTTGGATCAACAAAGTTCGCTTACTGATTCATCATACGCCCACACTTGTGCTATGTCTCGCAGATACTTGACCAGATTCGAAAAGAAGCTCCGGGTTGGGGAAATACAGTTTAGTGGCTGCGCGATGCAGTTGGCTGTCTTGCTATTGGCTGCTCGTATCAATAATCCCTGTAGTTCCACACCTTCTACTCGCACAAACTTGCCTCAATACATGGAGTCAGCCCGGTCCCGATCAAGTGAGGGTCTTGAGGTTGGGGCATGACAAATCTCGGATGTGTGGACCCTTTCTAACTAGGTGAACTCTGTATCCACCATCAGCTCTTCATCTGTCATCACATACATCACTCGTCATCGTCACGCATTGACGATTCATACCCGTGGTAGTTATGGCTACACAAGCATCAGCAGATTCCGGCACGGCTCACCTAGGGTTAGCCGGAAGGGGCTGTTGGACATGCAAAGGTGCACCGCATCATCACGTCACCCTGTCGTATGCCAGATAACTGACTTCCCAATAAGACCGCAGGGTTCGTTGTGACCGCAAACTGCCAACCTGTAACAACTGTGCTCGGACGCAGCAGGAATGTCAGGGGTACGGGGTACGCCTTTCTTGGCCTAAGGGAAATAACCCCAAAAGAGCAGTGGTTTGCGTCCCAATGGCAACCCGTCACAACACACGCAACCGTAGGAATCTGCATTTTGTACACACTAGTTTCCTCGATATGGCACTCTATGGGTACCTCTCAGACCTACCACAGAGTGGTGAGTAAATATCCTTCATGTCCTCCGTCAGCAGTTGATATCTAAATTATTGAACGCAGTGGATATTAGTAGGGCACGGGTCCAACCGAAGGATTTGGTCCGTCCAGTATCAACAGTGTGGAAAGCGTTCCCTCACGGAGCAGAGGAAAGCGAACTATTCAGATACTGTAATAACCTTCCCATATATAGCCTTAATCACCGACAACAACTAATTCATTCCAGTCAAAGATATAGCATCCTCATCTTTAGGCATTTTTGGTCCGGGGCTAACAAGTATTCCGGATTGGCTGATGGCCACAGCTCTTTCGCACAACAGCCCACCCTATCAAGCTGCACAGTACGGCCTACTGGCTGTTTCATCACTACATAGATATGGCTTGCAGCGGCAGGCTGCTCAATACAAGATTGCAGCAATTCGTGCCTTGGGCGATTCCACAACTAGAACCAATCTAACCTTCACCGAGGCTTCACTGCTTGTAGCCACATGCATGCTACTTTGTTCGTTTGAGGTGAGCCACGCCGAGCCCCAAGCTTCTCAATTGGTTTTGACAGGGATATTCGTCCAATTCATAGATTCACATAACATCAGAAACAACCGGCTCGTGGCTAATTTACCTGTGTGGCGCTGGGAAAATTGTCAAGACAATGAACCTCGAAAGCTATTCTGATAGAGGCGAACCCGTAACCGTGGATCTCCTTGCCTGGGTCCACTACCATGGTATCTTAGCAGAGTTCAGCATATTCCATTGGCGTCACGGCGTCATCGAATCCCTCTATGGAGAAGAGTTCGGCCTTGATAAACCTCTTGTGCTCCCATGTGACAAGTTACGTCGAGTACGACAGGTGCGTTTTAGAGGCATTTTAAATATTAAAAATCGCTAACCCGGCTTTGCAGCTCCATTTCAGCACAGCGCACCCATCCCACGCAATACTGTGCTTGCTAGCAGAGGCCTGTTATTCACTTTACGAGTACCAGGAGCTCGTGCTTACTTCAGACGAATACTATTCAAAGCTGAGTGACTTGAGAAAGCAGACAGAAACTATGCATATTTCATTGCTACCGAAGGACGGACCCTCAACCAACGAAAGCCTTCATCTCACAGAAACAACCTCCTTATTGCAGCTAGCCATTCTCATTTTCATGCATCGCATCACTGAAGGCCCCCTCCAGCGGGATCCCGATGGACTCATTGCCTGGCAAGACCGAGCATTTACTATAATAAGGCGTATTGATACATGCCGGCACCTCTTTCCGCTCTTCATCATCGGCATCGAGGCACAAACAGATGAAAGGAGAGCAGACTTCCTAAACTTGATCAAGAGAACAGAGGAGAAGACAAATGTTCGAAATCTTGATACCTTCCAGGAGACCATAGTCGGAATCTGGAATCAGGAAGATCTCAGCGCGGATGAGAGCTGGGGTATCAGCTACACCCATAAAATCAGTGGGGTGATTAGCTCTAGCAAATTCCTGCCTAGTCTAGCTTAGGGAACAAGTTTCTTGTGATGCAAAGAGTTACGAAAGAGATTCTTCGCGGGGCCTTCGCGCGATGCATTTCAGAGTCTGAACCTTCACACCAATTCATGGGACAAGAGCTTGTCCCAGCGTTGAACTACCTTATGAAGAGGTATTTAGATCGGTCTCAACCTCCTACCGGGCTCTTCACATGAATTTATATAGCTTTATTCATGGTGTTTATTCTCTGATTCTCTTCCATGTACTGGGTTGGTATTTGAGTTTTATCACTCAACAAAGAGGATGTTCGCCTTTGTCCTTTTTCTTCCTATAATTTTCGTGAATCCTCCCAACGTTAAGTTTTTTACACGCAAACATTCGAACGAAATGCGATTCTCTCGCTCCATAGCACGAGGATGGAAAACAGACAGAAGAAAGGTGGGCCGACTCACACAATTAACCCATCCATGAATTTAGGATGGTCAGCATAGCTGGAGACAGAGTGCTATAACCAAAAATCACCCAAGAGGTCGTTCTTCATTGTCAAGAAGCCATTGAAACGAAATCATAAATAATCATTGAATTCAACGTATATCTCGCATGTCCCTATTTCAATCGACGCGTATATGCCTGTTCTTCTTCGCAAGAGTACTCACGGAACCATTCCTACCGCGTTTCTTAATTCCACGCCTTTGAGCATGGCCCATACCGTTGGCAGCACGAGCACTGTTCTTTGCGAGACTGGCCACGGCACCATTAGGACCTGCCTTCGAGCTGCGGCCCATGCTGTTGGCAAGTTGGGCACTGTTCTGAGCCAGAGCGCCTGCAGCACCCTTCCTATCGCGTCTTTCAAGGTCAATCGAGCCGACATAATCGACGTTGCGGGCCTCCAAGAAGGCAACATTGGAGCTGTCCCGAGGCTCAGCCATCGCGGTTCCGGCAATGCCGAAGACGACGGTGACAGCAAGACCAAAGGTTTTGTAGGCAACCATTTTGAATTTGTGGATTGCTAAAAGGAATAAAAACTATTGATATGCAATGATGAAGAGAAGAGAAAATTGGAGAAAAGGAGACTGTAGTTATCTTTTTTTACCGGCTACCTGGGACTTTAATTCCAAGCTCCGGTATTCCTGCTGAGAACCAAGCCGTAGCCCTTGGCGCACGATGAGCAATATCTCTTCGTTCTAAGCTGTCGTGGCATTTGATAACCTATGATATTGAATATAAACCAAGCATGCCTGTGCCATAATGAATAGGATATGCTCTATACGTAACAAGCAAAGTAGGCATTGTTCCTTTGATCATTTTGCTACGTTCAAGCACTCCGGCAAGAAAGCTAAGATAAGGACGCGATCGACACCATGTCCTCCACTTCGTCTCCGTTCCCCTACGAAGGATGCGTAAGAATCATCAAATATTTGGGTTATCATGGGTGCAGTAGATAACCAATGACTGATGACGGGGATTTATTTCGGCCCGGAGGGGGTTTCCAACTGATCCGTTCCTTAGTAGAACGCGTGAACTTGAAAGTGATCGTTCACCTCATGACGTTTGCACTACCTTTTCTTTGTTGGAATGGCCCTGAATACTAGAGGGGACATGACATTAATGATTGGTGGCTACAGGAAATTGAGATAATGAACTTGAAGCTCGTGTGCTTACTAACCAAGAAATCGCGTTGCGTGAGACATCATGATCCAAGACCGCGATTTAGGTATTACCCCTGAGCTTCTACAGGGGTCGGATTGTAAAGAAGTCTTCATTCCCGGTTGGGACACATCTCGCGGTAGTTGTGTCAGCCAATGCCGTGACCAAGGAACGCCAGCTACTCCTCGGCATATAGCACATGGTTATGGTAGTTTATCAGGGTAGTCGCAGTGACAATATTATTATCCAATTGGACAAGATAAGAGTACCCCAAGTTTGGAACGCACGGGGTACGACAACGGTTTTTTCTCTCTTTAATCTTAAGTTACGAGATGGTTTTCCCAGCTTTTGGTCGCAGCTGCATCGAGAGCACAAGACTGACCTTCTGCTTGAGTTTATTCTAAATGATAAAAAATGTTAGGGACACTCAAATAACGAAACAACTTTAAAAGGCCAGGATATTGCTGTGCATATGTAATAAGCCTCAACGAAGTAAATTGAAGTTGCTATGCTGGATAAAATATCAGGCCGGCGGTCAGTGGTATAGGGTAGCGAGAAAGTGAGTGCCATTTGGTTCAATTGCTCCAATGCTTGCGACAAAGGCATTAGAAATTAGATCAGTCAGCTGCCGAGCGGCTCACTACACGGAAAAAGGCAGAGGATTACGAATCTAGAGAATGAAGATATATTGAAGGAGCTCCTCTAATATTGTTGGTACCTATATATCGGTAACGCTGTCTTGTCTCCATCCTCGCATGCTAAATATTGACAGAGAAGCTTAGGCTGCCTCTGCCAAATCGTACTGCATGAGACGAAAGCTATCCTCGGGATCCGAACATTCGTCGGTGTAATGCGATCTGATCAACGTCTTGTCTCCGCTTACGATGCTGCGGAAATCCCAATAGGCAATGCTATCGCTTCCTTCGAGCCACGCGGCAACGACAACACCTTCCTCATCCTCATAAGCGAAGGCTACAAGCTGATGAGTAAACTTGGGAGCTCGTTTATACTTGTCCTGGTAGTCATTGGCCAGGAAGTCTGAGAGTTGCAACGTGACCCGCCTCAGGTCTTGGAATGAACCGTTGGGAAATTCTTTGTGAGTTTCTCTGACCTGGCGCGGGACAAGAAGGAGGTAGTAATCGTGGACATATATCGTGTAAGGGATATTTGGGTGAGCGAGACCGCATTGGTACACGGTGCCCTCGACTGAGATGTTTCGCACTGCAGTCAGCATTGATGAATTTGACTAAAGCGAGGGGTGCGTTCGTCTACGAACAAGTTACACTCATCGTGTCGGATCGATTCAACTACGTCGGCGAGAAAGTAGGCTGTACAAGAAGCCTTGAAGAAAGTCCGTAATGCGAGTATTTTCTTCTTCTTCTTTTCCTTTTCTTCGTTTTTGCGTCCTTCGGAATTGAATTTTTTGTGTCATTTTAACGAGACTTGATACAGCCAATAGGAGAGCGCTGTGCTCGTGATGATAAGAGCTTATCAAACCCGCGTTGCCTGTTTAGGAATCGTTGGAACTCACTCAAAGTCACTCTTTACTTGGTGGTAATTTCGGGTTAATTGGTGTAGCAGCTCGAGCTCTATCGCACGTTGATTTTCAATGGTTATTTCATCCGGTAAAGACTTTATCTGGCAGGGACTTGAGGAGAGCGCACACCGGGTGAGTGATTGCGATGTGATCCAACAACCATCCACCCAAACTCTTGTGAGCGAGCTTCAATGTTGACACGAGACGAAGCGCGCCGAGACCGACGCGACCGTCTCCCCAGCATGCGAAGTTCTGCAAAACAACCAGCAGGCTGGCGTTGTTGATGCGATTGAATGAATAGCTGTACTCACTTGGAACGCGCGAGGTACGTAAACTATTATTATTTTTATAACTGCTACCAATTGCGTGAATCCGACTGTCCCGTCAATACTGGCGAGTAGCCTTCGCATGCCTTCGGCTTTTTTTCGCGCCCGGCTCGGAGCCCATGATCCGGCCATCGTTCGGCCGAATCACCCACCACCACCGAGTCTGCCAGGCGAGGCCGACCAAGATATATATGTTGCTTCAGTTTTGCTTCAATGTTCTCGTCCGGAAGAGTACAAATCTATCACAAGTACAAAAAGTAATATTGAAAATCAACCATCATCTATTAGATTATCCCGAACGGATTACTCAACATCACATCAATCAACATGGCAATCACCTACATTGAGACCGACGGCGGCAAGCTTGCTGTGGAGGTTGAAGGCCAGGGTCCGCTTGTCATCTGCTCGCCCGGCATGGGTGACAGCCGAGAAGCCTATGCTCCGATGGCTGCCCAGCTCGTGGCCGCTGGCTACCGCGTGGCCCGCGTTGATCTGCGTGGACACGGCGACAGCACCGCAAACTTCAACCGCTACGGCGACGAAGCGACCGCCGACGACTACCTTACAATCATTCAAACACTGGGTGCAGACCGTGCTGTGCTGGCAGGAGCTTCGATGTCGGCTGCCGCGGCTTACATTGCGGCTGGGAAACAGCCTGATAAGATCGCCGGCCTGGTCTTGATTGGAGCCTTTCTCCGCAACGGTGGGAGCAAGATGATGCTCTACGTCCTACGCATGGCACTCCTGCAGCCCTGGGGGCCCACCGTATGGCGCAGTTATGCATCTGGCCTCTGGCCTGGTCTTGGCGAGAAGGCGGCTGCCGAGCGCGCGGCCACGACAACTGCATTGCTGACGCGACCGGGGAGATGGAGTGCCTTTCGCTCCACCGTAGCCGGCTGCGACCATAGTGTGGTTGAGCCCTACCTTGGGAAAGTGAAGGTGCCAGGCCTGGTCGTCATTGGTGACTCCGATCCGGACTGGTCTAAGCCTTTGGAGGAGGCCAAGTGGGTTGCATCCAACTTTGAAGATGCTGAGACTATTACCGTGACTGGTGCTGGCCACGCCCCTCAGTTTGAGAATCCCGACGTTGTTGCACCAGGCGTCATTTCGTTCCTGAGCAAGCTAAAATTTTAGTCAAGGTCGAGCAAAGCTGCTGAGATATTAGTTACTGTATTTCACGGAGCTGGAGTTTGATTATATGCGAGAGCGGCTGCGCATTTTACAACAATTGTTTGGTTAAGCTTCTACTTCAAAATATATGTTGAAATTGAATGAGACATATCATAATGTGCATATTGAGCTTTATGTCATTAAATTGATCAGACTCCGTGAAAATGAAGTGCCTGAGCGAACCCATTTCAAGTCATTCGTGACAGATACCCATAGCATAAAACAACTCATGGCTGAGAATAAGCTCCTACATCATCCTCAACGAGACATTGAAAATATAGCCAAATATGTGGCATCAAAGAAGGAGAGGCCCGCCGGATTAGCAAGTATTAAGCATGGATGTCAACGCAGTCTTCTCAGCACTGGTAATTTTCAAGCTGTAAGTACTTTTGATAGCGACCCAGGAAGAAGCATAAGTGCAGTAGAAGCTAGTAAGAGGAGGCTTCCACTTGTCAGGGCTGTTATCGCCCTTGGCTCGGTTGGTACTGGCATCGGTGGCCCACAGCTGGGGGTGGTCAATATCGTTGGCAAAGGTCTCTCGCCTGGCAGTAGTCCAAGTAGAAGCACCAGACTAATTAAAGAGGACAAGAATAAGTCAGTATCACTCTTGCTAGCTAGGAGAAGCTGTCTAAGTCTTCTCTTTCGGTGGCTTACAATCCAGGCATTTTTCAGAGGGACCATGTGGTCAATGTCGACACTTCCGGCTGCAGTGATGGTTTTGCCAGAGTAAGGGCAGGTCCAGCTTCCCGAGGTAGGATAGCAGTCACTGCCAACATTCACATTGTTGCCATCGCGGCGCAGAACCCATTCACTTGGTAGAGAGACGGTATCAGCATAACATTCGGACTGATTCAATTGAGCTTCAGAAAGACATACCGAGCACTGCACTGAGTCTCACTGGGGACAGGCTCCCAATGGGGGAAGAGAGCACGATCGTATGATCCGTCATCTGTCAAGGTTGCGACTGTCAGGCGACCGAGAAGAGACTTTGCGCTGGATGCGGAAGGGATGCCGGGCTGTGTGATTAGTGTCAATAAACGGTGAAACAGAGACGCACTGGCGAGTTGTAACTCACTGGAGTGGCAACAACCAGCGTGGCAGCGGACAGAATGATAGCGGTAAGGAACTTCATCTTGGATCCCACACGATGGTATTTTTTGAGAGCTTCTGTTTAACTACCGGCCGGCCTCTTCAAGAGATCTACGCATTCAAAAGAGCAGAGATGGGAGGACCGTAATATGAGATGGGGGCACTTATTTATGTATAGACAGACACCGATGTCGCTACATGTTTCATGCCGCGACTGTCTCGCAAGCAAGCTGGTTCTTGAGACAATCTGTAAGAACTTTTACCAACCGCGTCGGATCCGTTTAGTCAAGAGCTGCTGCTGTTGGAGGCGTGGACCTTGAGACACATTCAGCTTGGTCCTACCTGCCCGATTGGCCTAAGCGCTAATGCCAGGCGATGCAAGACTTCCTTGTTCTGGAATAATCTCAATGCACGAAATACCGCTGTCTCTGAGTCTTCCAGATAAGGGATGTCACTCATTCCGTCTTGGGAACCATCGGCATTTTCGCATCCGTGGTACTTTCGCTCCGCTTTGGCGCCTAACAATGTATGCCGAATGTCACAAGGCTGGGGAACTGGCAAGGATATTCCAACACATGGCTGATTAATTGGTAGATAGAACTGCCGTCTGGCTGGGCGCACAACACCTGCTCCCCAGAGTTTAGAGCGGTCTAGGCGGGTGGGTATAAGTCTCAACTTTTAAGTCGGGAAAACACCGACTTTATGTCGCGCTGGAAATTAGCTGTAGCCAATCAGGTGCTTGGATGAGAGCACACCGATAAGTTGGTTGAAGCCGCATGCTAAACAAAGGGATTAGAAATGGGCCTGGCTAGTGGTAGTTCCACGCATCTTGTAAAGCACTGATTATCATGCGGTGAATGCCAATTCAGCAGAGTGTAACAAACGTCTCCGCCGTCGGTGTCAGGCTTGTTCCATCGCAACTCGCATGAGCTGTTCCTTCATGCCTGCTATACGCAGATGCGACATCATAGTATTGGTCTACATGAACGCTTACGTTGCTTATTGTTAGCTCGGTTCAGCGCATAGGAAGGCGAATATTTAAACAGACTTTCATTCCGACTAGCCGGTTTATTTGTCTCTTTCCCACAAACTTAGTTCCTACACCTCAAGTAGAAACGGGAACTGTACTGGTTCTCTTCACGTTTTTCAAGTATGGTAAATTGATGTGGAAGGGTAGACTGATCTTCCCTATGGAAACAAGTTCGGGAGCCTGTTGGTCTTGCTATTCTTGGGTAGGGTATAACTAGAAGCACTAGTAGAACAACCTGAACTTGCTCTACCGAAGCTGGAACTCTGGTGGTGATAGGAACAGAATTGCGGGATATTATTAATGGAATGTATTCTTATGCTGTAGCTTGTTCCGCTCGCTATTTCTGAATGCATGCAGCTAGAAGTGCGCCGCCCCTCGATGGTGTCTACCAACGAAAGAAACTGTTGAGCAATCTTTCTCGCTAATTCAGAGTTTTGAAATATAAGTTTTGACACTATCGTAAGCCGGTATATGATACTAACACTAGATTATCAAGGTCAAAGTGGTAAGTATTATTCCCCATGCGCTTGCACAGCTCGATTACAGTTCTCACCGATTCTTCACACCTGACCTTCGTTAGCAGGCATCTCCGGAGTATGCGCGGTGTAGATCCTCTTCTCATTATGAGGACCTAGGGTCATTAAACGCAGGTCAATCTAGCTCTTGGTAAATGCTTCTTGATCCTGAATTTTTATTAATTTTCGAGAATTTTACTAGGCGGTCTAAATCCTGGATCGTCTCGGATACTCGCCGACGAGAACATCCTTCAATATCCTCTAGTTCTGCTCGTAAAACATTCACGCTGTCTCTCACTCCTTCTTATTCACATTTCTTGTCCTTTGGATTGAGAGTTTCTTTGGGTCCTCATTAGGAGCAATACCTGGTGATTGAGATGGTTTTATATGGCATATTGCACTCCAAGGGGTCTGGCCTGACGACCGCGAATTTCAAGATTAGATGCACAGCGGTTTAAAGTCCGTTGTCTATTCCTGGTTTGGCCCTTAGAATAGACAGTCTTCATCGAATAGATGATACCCGCACGGGAAGAATAGTGTACTTATTTCAACTCAATAGTACCACATCCGACAATTCCGAACTCTTTATACTCAAGATTCTGGTTTAAAATCATATTAAGAGCGAGACAAGAATGGAGTTATTGGTAAAATTCGCACCCGTAGTTCTTTTTCACTATTACCTAGAGAAGGTGGCGTAGCTTTCTTGATTTAAGTCAACTAGGAAGCTCTTTGCAGGAACAACGTCAATAACGATAAATGAATCCATTGAAAAGGTATAAAGAGCTAATATGAAGTCATAGCGGACTAAGGCGGATTTTGAGGCCTGGCTTTTTGTTTTGTGGTGAGTTGATCCTAAAACCCCCCTGCTCACAGAAGCGCGGATCGTCACAAATTCAGAATGCAAACGTTACATAATCCAGGACAGGAAGACGAACTGGTTTTTATAACAAGCCGAGCTGGGCTGATTCGTTCAAGGATGAGACTTATGCTTCAGAATGAGTCAGTCATGTATGGAATTGGTAGCGCGGCCTGTAAGGGTGGAGAATCACGGAACATCGGTAGTGAAAGATACATCTGAGGTTCAACTTATGAAGTCATATTCTGCCGTATTTCTTCTGCTTTGTTTGATGGTAAGTCACATCTTGACTACACTATTATCAAATACGCACTTTTGATTATCTGGGGAAGGGTTGAACAATGGCTTGGATATTTACTACGATCGCACTACACAGACAACGGAATTAGGATTCCGGCTGTACTTTTCAGGGTCTAGGTCTCCAGAATCAGACCCTAGACTCGTCTGGACATGGCGGATGATAGCGTGCCTTGCATGGAGGCTGTGGTCCGATTTTCCGATGTCCAATCAGCCTTGGAGTTATTCCTCCGCACGAACTCTAGGGCAGTGGGGAAGCTCGCTTCAGATCCCCCAGTCGACCCCGGATATTGCTCGATGGCAAGCCATGAGCACCGGAATTGACTGATCATCTGCAGAAGACGTCCTGGTCATTCATCTTTAGGGATATATACTGGCAAGATCCCCTTATTGAGATTCCTAATCTGACCTCCATAAGCTTCTATTCTACTTACTGGACAACTCATTCTCTAGTTCGTACTAGTCTACTTCATCGCAATCACCATCTGACCCAGTTTTACCCTTGGCCCAATGACAGACTCTGCCAAAGCCTCTTCTGGCGATCATGTTGCGCCCATCAAGGCGGAACATGTCGATGTCACATCGGAGCACAAACATGACACTGGCCCGGTGATCCTCGAGGATGTCTCATATGGCCCAAGCGGCATGAGAGGCTTCCTCGTTTCTCCCTATGTATCTGGGGCTGCATTTCTTGCCTCCCTGGGAGGCTTCTCCTTCGGATATGACCAGGGAGTTATATCTATAATCAACGTTATGCCTCAATTCCACGAGGTTATTCCAGAAACTACTACGGCATTTGGAACCAGCTTTATGACTGGGATGCTTCTTCTTGGCGCATTTGTCGGCTGTATATTCATGCCTACATTGGCTGATAAGATGTCACGAAAGTGGGCCTTAACAGCAGTGGTTGTTGTTTTCAATATTGGCGCCATCCTCCAGACTGCTGCTTTTAGTTATGGCATGCTAGTGACTGGCCGGGCGATTGGTGGCATTGGTGTCGGAACCCTGGCAATGGTAAGTTTAATCTATCTTAACTTATGAACAAATCCTGACTTGGACCGCTTGCAGGGCGCCCCTCTGTATATCTCTGAAATTGCGCCCCCGAACCTCCGTGGCACCCTCCTCGTTCTCGAATCTATATCTATTGTATCTGGTGTTGTTATCGCTTATTGGATAACCTTTGCTACGCGACATATGCAAGGATCTATCTCTTTCCGACTTCCGCTCGGGCTCCAGATGGTATGCGCGACCTGCGTTGGCGTGGGAATACATTTCTTTCCATTCTCCCCAAGATGGCTCGCCCTCGTCGGTCGCAACCAGGACAGCTTGATAAGTCTCAGCAAATTACGACGACTTCCAGAGACAGATGAAAGGGTCCAAGCCGAGTATAAGTCTATTGTGGCTGAGGTGGAGTTCCAGAGGCTGATGCAGGAGGCAAAACACCCTGGTGTCTCTGGGCTCAAGCTTGAGGTTCTCCTGTGGCTTGACCTATTCGACAGGAAGAACTGGCGCAGGGTCGTTGTCGGCTGTGGTGTTTGCTTCTTTCAACAGTTCTCTGGAATCAACGCCTTTATCTATTACGCCCCTACGCTTTTCCAGTCAATCGGCCAAGATTACGAGATGTCGTTAATTTTGTCTGGTATTTTCAATATCCTACAGCTTGTTGCTGTTGCGATCTGTTTTGTTATTATTGACAAAGTCGGCAGGAAGCCTCTGGCAATTATAGGTGGCTTTGGCTCAGCTCTGTGCTATATCGTGATTGCTGCTCTTGCCGGTGTCTACTCTAAGAGCTGGAGCTCTAATCCTGCAGCAGGATGGGCTTGCGTTGCGATGGCTTTCCTCTTCATTATGGTTTATGGCGTGTCGTATTCGCCTCTTGGCTGGGCATTGCCGCCAGAGGTATTCTCAACCTCTACTCGCGCGAAAGGCGTGGCTCTTTCAGTCTGCGTGAACTGGCTTGCCAATTTCGTCATTGGCATCGCCACTCCTCCTATGGTTGAATCTATTGGATTCGGTGCTTATGTATTTTTTGCCGCGTTTTGCGCACTGTCTGGATTCTGGGCCTGGTTCTTCGTGCCCGAGACGATGGGCAAGACCCTCGAGCAGATGGATGAGGTATTCGGGGACACATCTGGCCAAGAAGAACAAGATATGATGCGACGAGCTCTTCAGAATGCTGAGCATGCCTAGGTATCCAACCAAAGGCGCGGCGGCGATATCATCGTAGTTGGAACGCACGGAAGGGTCGCGTTGCGGCCTGGTATTGAAAGGATTATCTAAGTTACTGTACTATCATCTAAACTTTCTGTGTGTGCTTAACCTGGCTGAAGAACCTTGAGTCCGAGTACATCTTAATGAGGTGGAGGATCGTATCGACGAGAAGATATTAATACAGCTCGCTGTCCATTGACAGAGATAGTCACCTAGCACGAATATTCTTCGATCAGCGCATTGCCCTAGCATGACGACTTGATTACCTAGTTTGAGGTATGAAATTTTCTTTCTCAAGCTACATACTGATTTCTAGAACAACATTAACCTGAAAGTCGTAAAGTTACAGTTCGCTCCTTATTTCAATCCGTTATCTCCATTTCATATTGTTTGAAAGTCCACAACTCCAAAATTAGACCGGGCCGGGTAGTGTGGAATCCTCTGGTAGATCGCTCGGAAACTTTGTAGATACCGCTTAGTTATCCGCCAGAGCAATGATAAATCTACGAATACAGATGACCCAGTCGAAAAGTGTTCCTGATGCAACCTTAATTTTCGCCTCTTTATGATTGGTTGAAACTACCGCTGACATAATGTAGCCATTCGAGAACGATTGGCCCAAACCGCCGCTTAGTGATATTCCCAGTCTGCCTTCCAAGCTTGGACGCCTACGGGAAGAAGAACTCAGCGAGGTATCAACGAAGTAAAGAGTTTCGGCATCAGGACAGAGCCCGCTTGCCGGGATATGGGGCCAAATCAATGCTCCTCCGACCCAATGCCCTTTCGCCAGCGGGGCTTCGAGCCGCGCGGTTTGTCACGGGGCTATGCTTCAAGGAGAAAAGGGTTAACACCGACATTATCCTTCAACATCCGCGTAAATACCCCGGGTAGATGCGTAAATGTACGACTATAAGTATTCCGTTACGGTCAAACCATGATATGCTTTGTTAGGAGGCAGAACAAGTTCATCTTTCCAAAGTGTTTTCATCACCTGCCTCTTTTCCCGCACTATCCTTGACACGCTTGAGTCCACATTTTCGAATATGGCTGCGCTTGACAGTATCCCCGAACCCCGGGCTCTACCATTTATTGGTCACACACACCTGATTCAACCTTACAAACTCAATGAATCGGTGATGCAAATTGCTCGCGATTTTGGTACGTGAGAAGAGTGGCTCAGTTCATCGACCAACGTAGCTGACGACGGTCCTCAACTTATAAGATGGTATTTTCCGTTTGCGATTCCCCGGAACAGACTTGGTGTTCGTTTCCAACCAAGCGCTCGTTAACGAGATTTGCGACGAATCCCGTTTCCAGAAGAAAATTGGATTAGTTCTAGGGGTATGACGCCCAGCCCTCGGGACATATTGATGTTCAACGGTGACACAGGGGACTGACAAACTGCATTTTCCCTAAAGCATCTTCGACCTGGTCTCAAGAATGGTCTTTTTACTGTAGGATTACTTCCTCATCTAGCTCACAAACACCCCCTTAACGTTGACATTTACTGAAATTTTGAGTAGGCGGACACCCACGAAGAGGCTTGGGGAATTGCGCACAGAGTTCTGACACCAGCATTTGGTCCTCTCAAGATTCGTGACATGTTTGAGGAGATGCATGAGGTAGCTACACAGCTTGCTCTCAAGTGGGCGCGTGGCGGAGCGAGCACCAACATCAATGTCACCGAAGACTTTACACGTTTGACCTTGGATACTATTGCGCTCTGTTCAATGGGCTATCGGTTCAACAGCTTCTATTCTTCCGAAATGCATCCGTTTGTCCGAGCCATGGTAGACTTCCTCCTTGAAGCCGGTGACCGAGGCACGAGGTCACTTCCAGGCATGTTCTACCGCTCCGAGGCTCAGAAATTCGACAAAGATATTGAAATCATGCGTTCTACTGCTCAGGAGGTACTGGACGCCCGGAAGAGCGGTCAAACAGTGCGAGATCACGATTTACTGGCTGCTATGCTCAAAGGCATCGACTCACAGACAGGCCAACGAGTCAGCGATGATAGCATCATCAACAATCTCATCACATTTCTCGTTGCTGGGCATGAGACAACCTCTGGAATGCTTTCTTATACATTTTATCATCTTCTCAAGAACCCAGAGACGTTTGCCAAGGCACAACAAGAGGTCGATTCAGTATGTGGAAAGGGGCCAGTCACGTTGGCCCATATCTCCAAGCTGGGCTATATCAACGGTGCCCTTCGTGAAGCTCTTCGGATCGACTCCACTATTCCCGCAATGGGTTTGTCCCCTAAAGAAGACACAACGCTCGGCGGAAAGTACTTTGTCAAGAAAGATCAACAAATCATCGCACAGGTAGCACTGTCCAATCGAGATCCAGCCGTCTACGGCGAAGATTCCTATGAGTTCAAGCCGGAGAGAATGATGGAAGAGAACTTCAACCGCCTAAATAGAGAGTTTCCCAACTGCTGGAAGCCATTTGGTAATGGGAAACGATCATGTATCGGTAGGGCCTTCGCCTGGCAAGAGGCTCTGATCATCATGGCGGTTCTCTTGCAGAACTTTGACTTCACTCTTGAGCCGAACGATTATGTTCTTCAACATAAGGAATCGTTGACCCTCAAGCCTGACGGATTAAAAATGAGAGCTACTTTGAGAGACAATCTCACTCCCCAGGCACTCGAACGGCGTTTGATCGGGTCTTCAACTAAACTGGACTTGCCATCCAAGCCACAACATGTCTTGGCAGATCACCAGAATATGGGTGTTCCAATGACAGTTTTGTATGGCTCAAATACCGGCACCTGCAAGGCATTGGCCCAGAAGTTGGCAGCTGATGCCGCTATGCATGGCTTCCGTGCCGTGAAGCTGGATAGCCTCGATAGTGCCCAGGGCTCGCTCCCCCCCGATCATCCTGTTGTGATGGTGACGGCCTCGTATGAGGGGGAGCCTCCCGATAATGCTGAACGATTTGTCTCTTGGATTATTTCTCGAAAGGAGAGCGAGGAGGGCTTCGAGAGTGTCTCGTACGCTGTCTTTGGTTGTGGTAACAGTGAATGGGTCAACTCGTTCCACAAAATCCCTACGCTTGTTGACACCAGACTTGAAGAGTTGGGCGCACAGCGGCTGGTGGAACTTGGTAAGACGAACGTCTCAACCGGCGCCGCTTTTACCGACTTTGAGGTCTGGGAGGATGATATCCTTTGGCCGGCTCTAAAGGAGCGCTATGGCACTTCAGGATCGACGACCGAGAGAAGCAATCTGGACGTGATGGTATCAAACACCAGAACAGCCATTCTCCAGCAAAACTTGAAACAAGCTGTCATTGTTGAGTCGAAGCCACTTACTAAGGGATGTGAAGAGAGGTTTACGAAGATGCATCTTGAGGTGAAGTTGCCCAAGGGTATGACTTATCAAACAGGTGACTACCTCGTGGTGCTGCCTTTCAACCCTTCCGAGACTGTGCAGCGTGCAATGAGAAGGCTTAGACTCTCCCGCGATTCATACTTGGAAATCACATCCAATTCACCTGTGTCGCTACCGGTCGAGACGTCTATGCCAGCTGGTGAAGTTCTGGCTTCGTATGTTGAGCTAAAGCAGCCAGCGACCAAGGGGGTACGTATTTCTGCTTCATCAGTTTCCCGTTGTGTTTGAAAAGCCCTAGTGAAGGTGGTGCTAATATGAGTTCTAGAATATAGCTAAGCTTGCGGAGATTGCTGACAATGACGATACAATCCAGAAGTTGAGATACCTGGCTAGTGATGGCTTCAACAAAGAGATCATCGACAAAAAGGTGTCCGTCCTGGAGCTATTGGAACGCTTCCCGGCACTCCCTATCCCGCCATGGCTATTCCTCTCTATGCTAAGTCCTATGAATGTTCGCCAGTAGTAAGTACAAAGAAACTCTGCTCGTTGGCCAACTCTACAATAGGAACTACAAAAATCTAATGTATCATATTCAGCTCCATATCCTCCTCGTCTTTGGAAAACCCAAACAACGCCACTATTACTTTCTCTATTCTCCGCGAGCCTTCGCTTTCTGGCAATGGGCTGCACATTGGTGCTGCAACCTCCTACCTTAGCCACCTTGGCGAAAACGACTTCATCGAGGTAGGGGTCAGACCTTCCCACGCGGCCTTCTCTCTGCCTGCCGACCCAGAAAATACACCTCTCATACTTGCCGGTGCCGGAGCCGGAATCGCGCCTTTCCGCGGTTTCATCCAGGAGCGTGCACACATGATCGCCTCGGGACGGATGCTGGCGCAGGCGGTGTTATTCATTGGGTGTCGCTCGCCGGATCTGGATGAATTATACCGTGAGGAGTTGGATGAGTGGCAGCGTCTCGGAGCTGTGGAGGTGCACAGAGCTTACAGCAGAGTCCCTACCCCTAAGACCGAAGCATATGGTTGCAAATATGTGCAGGACAGAATGTGGCGAGATCGTGGGCAGATCGCGAAGATGTGGAAGAAAGGAGCCAAGATCGTTGTATGTGGGTCTAAAGGGATGGGAGACTGTGTGAAAGATTGTGTGATCAGGATGAAGAAGGAAGGATATCTAGACGAAACCGAGAAAGATGATAAAAGAGTCCAGGAGTGGTTCCAACGGCTCAGGAATGTCCGGTATGTGGCGGATATCTTTGATTGAGCCTATGTAAGTAGATTGCAATCATTCATGGTTTGTATTGGGCTAGTTCGTGACAACTGGATAGATAGGGAAAGAAATAGCACAAGGTTCCGAAGGGGGTCGAGCGGATTATCACAACTTATTTTTCAAACGAGGGGTAACAGTCACCCCAAGAACACTATTCCAATTTAAACCCATAATTTCTTTTAAACCCAGAATTTCTTGAAAGAATGCATCCTTCAACACAGTTGGTCACCATCTGTGACGAAAACATTTTCTCTTATCTTTGACTTTCTGTTTCAAGCATTTTGGTTCTGTAGCGTCTGCGACTAGGACGTTTGGGAAGAAAACGCTGTTTTCTTACCCAACCATCTTTGATAATGGCTTCTGCCCCTTCTCGCTTTTCGTAGTCGTATTTGAGAAGCTTTCTTAATAGATTTCGAAAAGCTATTCGTTCCGTTGAACGACCCATCACGGTCCGTTCGTACGGAACAGGAGGATCATTAAACAGGAACGTTATGGTACGTTCCTCGAGCTGTTCACTCAATGCTGGAACAAATTTGGACTCGCTGAGCCTGGAAATATTTATGTCCGGGCAGCCATAGCTTTCTAGATCCTTAACATTACCACCCAAAGTTTCCAAAGTTTGGACTATGCATTGCAATTGTTCTATGCGATCGGTGCTTCCAAAGTCCAAGAGAGGGAAACCCATACGGAGCTCGTACAGCGTACAGCCCAGGGCCCAGAGGTCTGTGCCTGGGCCAAGAATACCTTTCAACATGAGCTCCGGAGGCTGGTATGATTCTGGGATATCTAGTGTCGATGGCGGACTTGACTGGAGAAAACATTGGCCAAAACCGATTAGTGCAATATCCGATGTAAGGTGTTTCAGGATAAGTGGAACATCCCAATATACGGATCTCGATTTCCAGTCGCTGGCTCCTTTGTGAATTCTTTTTACCGGCCCGCGGGATTCCTCCCTTGTTTGGTCTATCATTGCCATGGCTCTTCCTCTCCCACCCCCGAGAATAGCGCATACATCATTGACACTCTTGCCATCGAGTCCTTGGATACAATGTAAAACGCTGCCAGGGATAATTCCTTGCGAGTACTGTTAGCATATTGATCTGAGAGAAGTCCCCTATTTGCGAGATGGATATTTCGTCGGTGAAAGAGGAGGGGGAGGGATTGAGACTCACTGCCGTGACAGAGTTGTTGAGAGTGGATAAACCTCACTGCGTTGGCCAACTGATAGTACGTTCTCGAGAATGACTTGTAATCACTGGGGGACAGGCCATTGCTGGGGGAGAAGCCATCTTTATTCTTTAGAATCTTGGAGAGCGTTGACATCCAACCAGGCTGAGCCTGTGGCCCCAGGAGAGGGTAAACGAAACACTGATGATTTCCTTTTGGACCTCTAACAAGGAACTTATCAACTGGAAGGCAAATGGACTTCTTTAGCTGGCATCTTTGCTCTTCTTCTTCGAGCCTGTCGAGAGGTTTTTTGACGTAGTCTTCTACTAAGTGCTCTCGAGTGTTGTTGGAAGCATCAACGCTGAGAATTTTCAGTGCCCAATATTTGACTGCCAAGTCGTAGTCATGACACACCCAGACAGTTGATTTGTCGCCAAAGTGTAGATTGAGCATCACTTGATATTTCGTTTTCTCCCCATGAAAGACTTCATCAGGTGTAACACTGTAATGTCCACCGGGGCATTCATTTTCATCTTCGACAAAGTCATATGTGCTCTTGTGAGGTGTAGTAAGATTGAGTGATTTGATGCCCATTGTACGCTCTTAAAAGAACGGCCTCGCGTTGCAGAAATATTAGACGGTTATAAAAATGAGACTTTGGAGGCCTGGAGGGTTGGATTTTCTTTGGTGTTGTGATCTCAATATCGAAATGAGAAACGAAGTCAAATCTATACTATATAAATAAACTCTGAGACTTGGTATAGCCATGGAGAAAAACAAAATAAGCAAAACAGCACAAAGACGCGGTTTAAGCAATCACGTGGGATTGGAGTGCATATAAAAGTAACAAAGAAATTTTAGAAAGGATAGAAAATGACATCTTTGATCCTATTGTACTCCAGAAAAAGTCAATTCAAAGCTCAACAGCTAGGATTGTTCTCCGTGGACAATTCAATATGGAACTATTATGTCTGTATAAACTTCTTTCTCTAATTATAACAATAGGTTTAGTTCTCAATAGATGCTAAACCCTATTAATAGACTCTTTACGAGAGTCTGTTATAGCTTCCAGCTAGAAGTATATGTCCAAATAAAGGATAAAATTAAAATAGCCCATTTGTTCGCTTGACAGGACAAAGAGTCTAGTCTGGCATGGCCGACAATTCGTCAGAAGATCTCATCTCGCTGTCCACATCCTTAGCGAAAACAAAGGCACAGAGGCTCCGTGACCGAAAACAGAAGAAAGGAACACCTTTTTATCATAGGGACGCTGGGGTTCGTAATGATATAGCTTAATGGTTAGGATATACATTCGTGTAGTTTGAACAAAGCTGTTGCGTAGAATATATAGAGTATAACCCTTTGGAATCTAATCATATAGGAAAGGAGGTGAATTATTTGAACTCTAAGATAAATGCAACGCTATGTACTAATTCCATCTAGACCGTCTATGGTTTTTGGCGCCATGATTGTAATCTATACCTTGAAAATGAATAAGAAGAATGCTATTACTGATGACATGAAGAAAAAAAAGGGAGGAAATAAAAATGAAGAAGGGAGAAAAAGAAGAGAGAGAGACAAGAAAGAGCATGAAGGATTCGACGTGGCTCGAACCATTCATTGTGCCCCAACTTTGAAGACCTATCTTGGACTTCTAGCAGGTGGCTATGCCGGATGCTTTAAATGAACCAGCATCAGTGAAACAAAAAAGCAGACAAGTATAATGGGCAACTGCCATGGCTTATCCAAGAACTTCTCCGCGCTGCCTTGGTTCTTGTTAACAAGTGCCACCAGAGCAAGGCCGGCCCCAGTCGTCGTGATGAATCCGGCACGGAACATATTGAACATGGTCCACTTCTTCTTTTTTGCGATTACGTGTAGGGCCATCATTAGGACGAGGACCAAGCCGGCGCTGATGAAGAGGTATGTAAGCTGTAGTGTGATGGATTCGTCAGCACGTTTGTTCGTGACGCCTAAATGCCCTGTCCTAGTTTACTCACCACAAGAAGCTGCCTGTCGGATGCCTCATCAATAGCCTTTTTATTTGAATCCTCTGCGCTGAGATCTCCAGAGTCCTTGCTCGTAGTGATGTAGTAGGACTTCAAGACGGCCTTTTCAAGGGTGGTCAAAATGGTAGAAGTCGCATTGAGAAGGGGGCTGCTGGCGCTGTCGTCTGACATGGCGCTGTCGGGCAAGTTCTTGATCTTGGTCACCGAATTCTGGACTAGTGTGATGTCGCTCCCGGAGTCAGCTCCGTACAGACTCATGATGTTAGAGGTCAGGTCTTGAAGTTTGCTGCCAAGTTCCGCCGTGGAATTGCATTTGTCGACAGCATCGTCCAGCTGGTCGGCGATCTCGTTGAACGATTCTGAGGCGCGCCACATAATGCCCCACTGTCCAGTGCCCTCTGATAGTAGAATTAAGACAAGATGAAAGGGTAGGTGGAAAAGAAGCCAAAGGGCAAGGGTGGGAGCCTTCATGTGGATGTGGTGAGGCATCATGTCGAAGTAGAGCATGAAGCACAAATAGAGGATAGCCGAGGCACAGAAGATAGTACCGACGAGAGAGGAGGCTAAAAATCGTTAGTTGAATTGGCTCCCTTACAAAGACGTTGGTATTTGCAGATAGATGTGCACGTACTCCAGGAGCTTGCGATTTGGTGGATATAGGTGTAGTCCATGATGACAGTAAGTTTCTTTGTAAGAATGGTAGCCCCTTCAGATGGCAGAAAGTAAATGTTAGTCTGCTGTTCGCTCGGGGTGGCTAGGGAAGAGATAGGTCTTGAATTGATTGCCTACCTTCTCCAATAACAATAAGGGTCAAAAGGTTGATACGCTCGGCGATGTGAGTTCCCTCAAATGTCATGGTTTCGGAGACTGCCGAATGTGCCAGGATGACGAACATTTCGAATAGTGCAACAATCCACCACATGGTAAAGATAGCACCGTTTCCATATATGTTGGACCAATCGACCGAAAGACCAAGAGTCAGGTATATCAGCCCTGGGGCAAACTGGATCATGGTCGCTGTGAGAAAAGAGTCTCGATTATCCACAAACTTGCGAGATTGGTAGAATAGAACTATGTATTGCGTAGCGAGGGTGAATCTGGAGAATGCCATGGTGACGCCTGAAATAAAATATTATTAGCTATATTCGATCTTGGCTATGTTTTGAATGCGAAGGTCGAAAAGTAGATGGCATACTCGTAATTCTTATCACTGACGGAAGGAGAACTTTATTGCTGAGCCCAATTCCAAGGATTGTAAATCCAATAATGGAGGCCAAGTGGAAAGTAAAGCCAATGCGCGCCCAGATACTATCGTGTTCGAATCGGGCCATGTAGACTGTAGTTACAAACCATGTCGTCCACAAGAGTCTAAAGGAAATAAATTAGATACGTACCCAGTGGAAAAATTGGGGGAGTTAAGATGGACACAGAGAAGAACACTCACACGAAGTATGCGGTAAAAACTTTCAATTTCGCCATTTCTGTTATTGGATTGGATGCTGAGAATACAGCAAGATTGGCTACAAACCACAAATCATAGAAGAGCTGTGACAAAGACGGGCGTTAATTCACTGTTCAATATTATGAGAGACTTGAGGAATAGGCGTCGACGACATAGACGACATAGTGATACTAACCTCTATACTCGATGCAGCGTCTCTCTATCCATCTACACATTAGTCACAGCTCCGGGCCATCAGCGATACATCCGGGGTACATACTCTGATAAACCTAACTTGCCCTGGGAGTTCTGAATCCAGGTCCTGCTCAAAGGGCTTCTCTATGAGCTTGACCTCGGCATCACAGAAGTTCAGGCGCTCCGAAACATCGTCCTCGTCGATATAAGAGCGTTCGGTCTTCTCGGCCTCGTCGGGGATATCATGGTAGGTATTTCTGTATGAGTCGTGGCGGGAAGCGCCATAGAGGCTGCGTGTCTGGTGAGAAGCCCTGTGCACGGGCAGCTGGGAAGCCCTGAAAAGGCTACGCTGCCGATGGGACACTCTGTGAGCTGGCGCCTGGGAAGCTCTGAAGAGACTCCGCTGCTGATGTGAAACCCTCTGTGCTGGCGCTTGGGAAGCTGTGAAGACACTGCGCGACTGGTGAGAAACTCTATGTCTGGGTTGTGGCTGGGCGGATGTATGTTGGGCTTGTGTCTGTCGCCAAGCGCTTCGGTCGCCGTCCCATGGCATGGTTGCAGCTTCGATAATCGACAGTACACTACTCTACCAGGAATTTGAGTGAGTGTAATCTGGTAGTCAAGTCGAACAGGGCGTTGTGGAACACATGTGTTTTTCGTCTTGGCAATAGACAACACTAATATACTAGAAGGCTTTGCTTGACCACCATCTGCACTGTCCGTGACAGGCCGTTTATCCCCGGAATGCAAGCTTGTCGTGGTAATACCAGATGCTATTCATGGAACCCAGTATCTGCAGCAATGCCATCATGCGCTAGCTTGATGAAATCGAAGTGGTCGGGGGCTAGATGCTAGGGTCACATTATTGGGCTTCTAGCATTCTATTTTTGTCATATGCACAGTTGAGTCATCTTGAAATCAGGCCGGGAAAGCGGCAATGCGGGAGCAGGGGGAGGGAGGGAGCCTACAGAAATGGTTCTCGGATAAGACGGATGACCTGTAGGCTTGACATCGAAACCAACATTCGAAAATAATAATAAGGGCAGAGGCCAGTATTGAACCCGCTACAATGCCGTCCCATCCTTATTCTGTGACTCTCGTACCATTTGGCTTAGCAACGTTGGTGAACCATTTGAACTATGATCTCCATCTAATACAAATCATTATTCCACCCTCTCCTAGCCTATGGAAAACGAACAGGTCCAAGCTCAATTGCAATACGATCACAATCAACGTGTTAATCTCAGGACGTTTTGGTAGCCGTTCCCTCCTACGTTGGTTATTAGGTGCATTGGTACCTCACCTGGCTGGCAGTCAGCCGCAATCGAGAGAGGCACCCACTTTAACTCATGCCCGGCGTGCGAGTCCAGATGCTGTTGGTTGAGAAGTCCCTCTATTTAGCAAGGTCCGGGCTCCTGTAAGCATGCAGCAGTCCTACGCCTTTTCCAATCAGAGAGGATAATCATGCAGCGATCGCGGAAAAAACGGACCACCTGCGCCTTCTCCTCTGCTTGCTTACCTAGAGTAGAAAGAACTTTGGCACTCATCCCATAAAACACTACCAACAATCGCTAGCAAGTAGCCGCCCTTTCCGGGAGAACCTACTGGCTACGATACACGCTCACTCTCTTCACAGCCACAGATAGCTTGCACCAATGCATCTGCGCTTGAGGATGGTAGCTAGATTAGCCATCATATGCTTGTCACTTCTGACATGCTTCTCGGCTGAAGACGTAGGATTGAAAGACCACACTAGACAGGCAAAGATATGGGAATTGATTGTGGCATCTTTGGGAAGTAAGCTAGAATGATGCTCGCTTACGCCCCAATGAAGTTGACCTATCTGCGGGAAATAGGATACCATCTGCCAAGCTGATCTCACTAAGGTGTTTTAGATTTATCCCATTCGACAGATGATGCTATAATATTCATACCTGTACATGACGGTTAGTTAACTTACACTGGACGGGAAGGTCTAGGGTAGGCCGGGACTAATGGCACGTAACTTAGTATGTACATTATAAGTAAGATCTGCGTAGAGCTTGACCTGAACCTCCGGATGGATAACGCGGCAACGTGCTCATAAATGTGCGACAGGAAAGGATTCTTCTTTATGTGGGCTGGGTTGGGATCTAAAACAGTCAGAACACCTCAACCCCACCCCATTGAGCTGCTGCTCGCCGTCCTGCTAGCCGACATCCGGGATCCTTACCGTCCACGAATTGAGGTCGTTCGCCATTTAAACTGGCCCTTAATGATTCTTCTCATGGATGGGTCTTAGTAGATCTAAAAATTGGTCGGAGAAATAGAAATGGGCTTCGGTGGGCTGTCAATTTTGAACCTGGTCGGTCATTTTCAATCTACACCCCAGAACGGACCAGTCTACAGACATGTTGGGAATTCTAGAGGGAGTTTGCAGGTCTATTCTGCGTGGTCTTAGTCACATAGGAAAGTAAACATAGTGAATAAATTTATCAAAAATAAGCATGATGCGCTGCAACTTATTTCCCTCTTATTGTATTCCCCGCTTAGTCACATAACAGCATTGACTGGAATTTTCTGTTGAAATCCAATGACCATCTTTCTTACGATGAAAGCCACCTGTCCAAATCTAACTTTTCGCTGGAAAACACAGTATTCAAGTCGAGCTAACGCATAATGAGAGCCTGGGTTTTAGAGCGGAGAATTTGATACCGCTTATTTACTCCAAAACGAATCGTTCAGTCTCTTGTGCTCCTAACGTCCCAGCTTTCCATTGTGTGATCGCCTCTCCATCCATATATCCTGGAACGAAGCATTCGCCTACAAAGTGATATGCATTTCCACGCAACGGACGCAAAATGTAAGGCACTGGACCACCGAACAAAACACACACCAAGTCGCCCGGACGGAGTACATCAGGTCCCAGTCCCATGCTACAGCCTGTGGCTGTGAATGCTTTACGCCCGTGGCATACATTCCGCATAGCTTGGGCATATCTCTCCGCGCGTAGACTGCTATGTCCTACTCTCAGGCCATTGCGGGGTGAGCTCATCCAATTTTGCGTGCAAATCCAGTCGAGAAAGCATTTCAAGTGATGTTCGCAGTCCATGTGTTCCTTGATAATGGTCCCATACCAGTCCTGCCCGGCCGTCAACGTCAGGCTAAGCGCCAGTCTCTTTGGTTCGCTGCTGAGATGATTCATAGCCCACTCCTCCAATTGTGCATTATGCTCGGCCAGTTGTCGAGCCCTCCACGTGGCCTTGGGTGATAGTTTAGCAGGGAGGAGCTTTGCCGAAGACTTGATAACCCCAAGTATAAGTCCTTCTAACGTTAAGCTCCGCTCATCCAGTTTCCAATTGACTTGAAATAACGGATTAGGTGGACAGTTGGCTGAAGCATCGAACTTCATAGTTTTATGGTGCGAACCAGCGATGCTCCGGATCGGGTCAATATGCCATTGTGGAATCCAAGTCGGGAACTCTGGGTCAATGCGCTTCATGTGTCGGACTGTCGAGAGTATCTCCAAGGGAGTTTCATGGGTGGCCGTCACCCAGTAGAAGACACGTGTATATAGGCCCTCCCGAAGAATTCGGTAGTTGGGCGTGATGAATACCTTGCCAGCCTCAGTCTGTTGGCTCGGTAATCCAAGCACGGCATAGATACGATCCAGCAGAACCGTCACATTAAACCCCCGCGTAAGACGAAGCACATCCAGAAAAGACATGGAGCTTCCACGGAAACTGGCCGAGGGCAGTCGATACATCAGGTAGGCGTTCAGGAGGCCAAAAACAGCGGCCTCAGATACCTTCGAAGACGTGAACCTCTGCCAAAGCGATTCTTGATTTCGTATCAAAACCGCTGCAAGTCCAACTAAAGTCCAAGATATTTCCTCATCACCCCATTGGACAACTGCGAGGCGTGACGAAACCACTTCCTGGACTACCCAAAGGCGTGTCCAGTAAGAATCCTGGAAGATCGGTAGGATTTTTTCCATGGTGGCCTGGCCAACAGTGGACCTGTACTTCTTGTCAAGTATTACCTGGCTTTTGCTCAACGTAGCAGATGGGCTGTTTTGGAATCTTAACCAGATAGACGTAAGCGTTTGGACTGCAGAGAAGGATTCCTTGGCTAGAGACTTCTGAGCCCCAAGACAAATCACCACTCTCAATGCCTGCGAATAGACACGACGCATGAGACCAACTTGCTGCTGACGCTCAGCATGATCCCCCTGGTTAATGCACAGAGCATCAGCCCACACGATACGCACGCGATCGTGCAACCGCAACCGCATGAGGATATTTGTTAGCGTTGTGCTTATGAACACCTCCTTTCCAGAGATTGAGATGGGCGTTTTTGACACTTTAGGGCTCCCCCACTGATAAGAAATTGCTTCATAGGGCTTTTCCAGATTATCAAGGTCCACTGTGTCCAATGTGCAGCTGAGAATCTCATCTCCCTTGCCAGGGCGAATTGTAACCACACGGATATGGGATCGCCCTGGAAGTGCTGCATACGTAGGTCCCCGTGTGAAATCAGCTGGTAAGCAGTGGCAGAAAGGTATCCAAATATCAGATTCAGTTGCAGAATTTGCGTAGGATTGGCGTTGTATGGTTCCATAACCGGTGCTGGCGAAAATTGGGGCCGTGTCTCGTTTGATGCGCAACTCAAGGGCCTTGATATGTTTCATTCTCTGTGACTCTTCAAAGGGGGGAACTTGAGAATCACTGTCAGGTTGAGGCTCAGCCAGCTGTGGGGATGGCACCTCCGAGGGGGTCAACGTGCGATAGGAGCCGGTACTCGAATTCAGTTGATTCGCGAGGTTTGCTTGAAGGGTTTCTGTCTGAGCTTGAAATCTGCCATCATTGTTCCCCTGTACCGTTGATGTGTCTAGGTCCATTTCAGCAAGAATTTATTTCTATACATTAAACTGCGAGTGCAACGTACCGTTCATTTGCTGCGTGCGTTGCTTTGGATGACTTGCATCAAGCAGTTGGAAACGTACGATGGGTGAATTGCCGTTGAAGAAACCGCCTAAATCAGTTCAGATTTTCCAATCGTCGAATTGAATGGAAGGAGGTACTCACGGTCATTAACGCTCTCGGTAGAATCGAGTCGAACGTAGATGCCAATGCCTCCCGCTTCAGAGTTGTCAGGAAGCGCCGTGTCGATGTCGTGGAAGCCTACCTCGGCATCACCGATGCGACCACCGCCCCCACGGTTTCTAGAGGAGTCTCGCGAGTTTGATCCCTTTCCTCGGGTAGCTCCTTCATTTTCGCTGTCGGAGTTCAAGCCTAACCCCCCCGAGATCGAATGCGTCGATGAATTGTCTTCAGGGTCATCTTGGACGACAGCCAACGACAGGTCCGCATCTCCGCCACTGTCTGTACCATCATCATCGTTTTCACTCTCGTCTCCATCGTCTTGTGCCCCTCCAACTGTACCATGTTCGATCCCATGCCCACCATCACGGCTATGAGATGCAGTCGGCTCAGAAGATGACATCCCCCCTTGGTTGCGGCCTTGAAGGGTTTCAGCCGCTGAGGGGTGCGCGCTGGATCTATCTTGCTCCGGGGTTCGTTGCTCGTTCCCGTCATGATCTGGTCCGGCATCCGTTTCCGCCTCCAAACTTCTACCCGTGCTTGCCGCTCCATGCGATACGCCCCCCGAACCGTAAGCACTGCTTGTGTTCCCCCCCGCGCCTGTGCCACTGCTCATGCCGCCTCCTCTTCCTCCATAACGAGATCCCCATCCACCGTGGCGTGTGTCACGGTCAGACTCTGATTCAGATTCAGATGATGAGCTTGCTGCTCTTCCATACCCACCTCCACCGTAAGAATATCCCCCTCCACCACCATATGAACTGTCGCTGTCTGAAGACATGTTGAATGTCACTATTCAAGACTATTCAAGTTCAACCAAAAATCTTGGGAGCGGTTCAAAGTTCAAATATTATAGTAATGTACGAAATAAGGGACAATACGCGCAAGGGCGTTGGTCTACTTATGTAAAAAGCTGAGTCCATCCCTGAACAGCGTGCGCAGCCTTGAAGAATCTGCCGTTATTGCCTCCTTTTGCACATTAATGCTGTCATATTTTAGTAGGCAATAGTGTGCCTGATTGGTTCCAATATCACATTTGTGACCGGGTGGTCGGCAATAGTAAAATGCAGATGCCCATTGGGATGGTAAATGATACGTACAACAACAATTTGATGTGTGCATATATAAATCGATAGATGTTAAGTAGTTTATTCATGTGTTATCTTTCATTGAGAATATTTGAAGCACGCGTTTTGGTTAAATACCAACTAAAACTTGGAAATGAGGGAATGGGTGGCGGCGTTCGCGATGTCACCCAACTGGATTAAGTGGAACTGCACTTCGTTTCAGGTTGCATCTCGACAAGCGCAAATCCCCCTATCTTGCTTCTTAACTAGCCCAAAAGAGTCTCTGCCATGTCACAGTACTTAGTCTCCCAGCGTTGCTAGCTGCCTTGGACTCATCCCTGTGCAGTACGCCACTCGACAAAATCCATGCCTTGTAGCAAAATTTTCAACCCCTGCCAAAAGTTGTGGAATTGAACGATTACCAGACCATACGCATGCGAGATTCAAGGAGATGGCAGTCGAAAGAGTAAGATGGCACTGAAGATTATCTAGCCCAGTCGACGCAGCCTCGCATGGCTAGTGCAACTTCTGTATTACTAGCCGAAGGAAGATAATAAATATTCCGCAAGAGGCCCGCTGCAGCTGCCTTCATGTTACAGCAGAAGGCTGAAATCAAGTCTGGCAATGAGTTGACTAGTAAGGGCTAATGCCAAACCAGTCACACAGATGGAAAACCGGAATCTGGGACCTCATCTGGTCCGGCGTTTACAATGGATCGTTGCAGGTAAATTCAGTAGAATACATATGCAATCGTGCTTTGGTGACTAGGGGACTTTGATCAAGCTTAAATGAATCTTCTCTAAATAGATATAGAAAGGAATGTAACTAATGTAGACTATAACAGGTACTTACATAGCTTGGGATAAGGCTCATCTTGACTAGCGCCCTGGTATACAAGTTCTATAGAATGCACACAGAATAAAATTTGACCAGTTTTTTCTCCAATATTCCGTGCTCTATAGTCTGCCAAACTACCCAGTGTGATGCAGAAGTGCTTCCACTGGCTATGCCTATCCTTAGCGAGTTTCAGAAACGGGTGAGCTGGGGATGAGTCTCAACTTCAGGCCAAGGACTCGGAACCGTACGACTCTATTCCACAGATCTTCGGGGACGACGGGTTGGAGTAGGGGGTGCAGGGCGAGGATTAGGGTTGGGCTTGGGCTTGGGAATTCTTCCTCGTCGGGATAGTCCCATCATCTCCATTTTCAAGTCGCGGGCTTGAAGCTCTCCATCATCGTAGAATCGGGGGCGACGAGTCGGCGCAGGAGGAGCTGGGCGAGGGGGGTTCGGGTTAGGCTTGGGCTTAACAATCTTGGCGCGTCGAGAAAGCCCAAGAGCCTCGGTGTCTGGGTAAACATCACGTTCCTCAAGCTCCTTGTCATCGTAAAATCGTGGCCGGCGGGTTGGTGCAGGAGGGCTAGGACGGACAGGCGAGGGTTTTGGTTTAGGCTTTGAGATTTTCCCTCGACGATCAAGTTCCCGTTTCATGAGATTGCTGAGTAGCTCGCGTACTTTGAGATTATCATCAAGGTAGGCACGAGGGCGGCGGGTTGGGGCTGGAGGGGCCGGGCGAGGAGGGTTCGGGTTAGGCTTAGGTTTGGGAATTTTGCCGCGTCGAGACAAACCCACGACGTCCATATCGAAATCGCGAACCATTAATTCTTCCTCATCATAGAACCGAGGCCGACGGGTGGGCGCAGGAGGAGCCGGGCGAGGAGGGTTCGGATTAGGCTTGGGTTTAGGAATTTTACCGCGGCGAGATAGGCCCATAGTCCCGATGTCCAAGTCGCGTTCGTCTATATCGCGGGGACGGCGGGTTGGGGCAGGAGGAGCAGGACGAGGAGGGTTCGGGTTAGGTTTGGGCTTGGGGATTTTGCCACGAACATCCAGCTCGCGCTCCTCAAGCTGAGCATTGAGCATAGAATCCCGTTCCTGAATCGCTTCATCACTCCTCTCAGGGAGTAGCATGAATGCACCTTCTTCAAGCTCAGACCTTAGAGTGAGAGAAGTATCGCCAGAATTTGGTGAAAGAGCGAGTGTGTGAGAAGCAAAGCCAAACACAAGACCTGCAGCAACTCCAATTTGCATGATAGCGACCATTTTGGAGGACAAATGAAATTAAAGTCCCTCCAAGGGATGATGAATTTCAGAAAAGAAAAGGTAAAGAGTGTATAGAGACCAGAACAGTGAATGAAGTAGCTTGTTATTTGGTTTTGTTCTGAGGTTTGATGCTCCTGCCAGCAAGCTGAGAGGAGGCTTGGGTTCTTATACTACTCTCTCATGGAGAGGCACTACCTATCGGTAGATTCGCTACTCCACCGTCCCGACTAGCGACCATGCGAACATGTAGTGATTTCAAGAAAAATTTACCATCGCGCGCGGACAAATCCCTTGCGGTCGAAGTGCCGAGTTAGGTAAATATCGAGAGGTATATGTGGAAGCACCCCCGGGGAATCCAGGACAACTCTGATCCATTTTTAGTATAATGAGACCCCAATCACGGTAGTTGGGGAGGATTCCTTAATCAACATTGCTGACAGGGCTGGCTTGTCGCACAAACGTTCTATGTGCGGATATGCGTTCTTATTAGCACCCTCAACAGATTTCAGTGTTAATTATTGTGATCAAGGCAGGATTCCTACCAGGGCAAGATTGATCAAACTCTGACTTGTTGTAGAGTTTCTCGGCTGGAAGGACACTCCCTCCAACCTTTTTGAATGAATCCTACACATTTCTCGTAAGTTTGAAAATACCCGGCGTCTGTCTAATAGATAGAAGACAACGGGGTGATCCAGCGTCGTCAACTACATCAACATATATTAAGAATGATGTATAGTGCTTTGATATTCCATCAATGGTCGTTGGTATCTACGCTACACCTAAGCCAAGCAAATTAGTACCTACCTAGGTCATTCAAGAAATGAACGCATGTTTCGAGAAGGACGGACTCCGTGCCTTATAGCAGTGGGGCTGATGGGGCAGCGCCGCTGTCCTTACGAGCATACCAATCACAGACGTGAAGCCAAGTATTTGCCCCCGTTATTGCTCCACGCTACTCCGCAGCCTAAGCTGGATTACACACCAACAGCCGGCCGGAGGATCAGGATCGACGCTGCTTGAAGTGTCTCGTGACATGGGTGTCGAATAGAACCTCATAACTCCAGAGCAGTCAGTCTGATAAGAAGCTTCCATCTGCTACAAGGCATGGGCCGGGGCTAGCATCCAAAATAAACGCTCTGTTTTCGAAACAGACATTTATCATTGACCGCAATCAGAGAGCTGCGATTTTTGTATCTTTGAGGGCAAATAGTGATTGACCTTTAACAAAGCAACAGACGCGAGGAACGGTGGGCAAGGAGATTGATTAGCGCATAAAGTCTTAATTGTCTTTGCCAAATTCTTAGGATATATGATTGGTCTGTAGTTGCTTTTGGGAAAACACTATAGATATCTTTCAGTGTGACTGTAGCCCGACAATACATGTGAGAGTATTTCAGATGGACCGCTTCTGTTATCACAATCCTGGCTTTGTCCTATCCAAATGCTATCAAAAAATTTTAGGTCTACTCAGATACTAACATGTAACAAATATCATTATTCAGTCTTGTCAATAATCTCATAATTTTAGAGCGAATCACGATACAGATGGGTAAGAACGTGGGCTAAGCAACTCATGTGAGGCAAGAAGTTCAGGATTAGAGAATACCACCCATAAGGTGATGAGCACATTGGCTCTCAATGTATAGATATGCTGAGATATCAAGGGGATAGAAAATACGTCTATTAACTCCTCAGATAAATGTATGGCATACTGATCGAGGTGGAAGTCGGGTTCGGTATATTCGGCCAATTACAGCATCGCATCTTTCGGGAAATTAAAAGGTACAAAGTACATGGGCTATTTCCCGAGCTTTATTTCCCGAGCTTTGAGATTCATTGAAAAAAATACCAATTCCCCGAACTCTAGCTCCGACATCAATTATTATTTGGCATGAAGCTGTAGCCGATAACCAACAATGACCGAGCCCGAGAAACGTCGTCGACGTCCCCCTGTGTAAGAAGAACTCACATGCAGCACTTTCAGTTGTGTAAAGCTAATTAAATGGTGCAAAGCTCCTGCACACTATGTAGGAAAAGGAAAATTCGGTGCAATAAGGAATCGCCCTGTAGTAACTGCATTCGCTCAAAGGTGCCTGACGGTACTTGTGTATATGATAATCCGAACCCAACGTCCACGCGTCGACAACCCGGATCGAGCCTTCAGCCCGCCCAGCAGCCTACATTGGCACCCCGTTCAGCTTCCGATATTCAGACCACTGAAGGAGGCTCCGGCGCACCTGGGCAGCTTGACACTGTCACAGAATCTGATCTCACCTTGTTCAGTAACGATGATGTCGCAAAGTCAACGATGCCACCCACAAGGGCGACATCTCCCAGTCAGTCAAGTAAAGACACAACAAGGACAAGAATTGCTCAGCTCGAGGAAGAGATTCTCCGACTAAAACAAACGGAAACTGAAGACCTCTTTATTACTTCAAATCCAAATCTGAACCCTGTCTACCAAAAGAGTATCGCAGAAGAGGCTGCGGTAGCTTCCAAAGGGTCGAGCTCCGTATCAGAGTTCAGGAGCGAAATATTCGGCGAAGCGCGGTTTACTAGCCGTTACATAATGCATAAGCGTCGCTTATTTGGACAGAGCCATTGGGGCAGTTGCCTCGTGTTGGTACGTCATCATCCCTCTCTTTGTACCTGTTGTCTGACAAGTTATTGATATTAAATTGAACGTCAGTTTCGTGACCTCTTCGAAATATTTGAGGGTCAAGACTCCTTGCAAACCGCTTCAACCATCTCCGCTGACATTAACAAATGTAAGGAGTACGCTAGAACCATCAAGGCTAATCAAGCTGTTCCTTGGCCTTCACTTCCAACCCCGGACGTCCCTCCTCGTGACGTTTGCGATAAGCTCATTGACTGCTACTTACGAACTACAGAGAGTGTGTACCGCGTTATTCATATACCCTCGTTTATGAAAGAATACACTGCATTTTGGGAATCGAAGGCCGAGCCCAGCATGAACACTCTTGTCCCTTTGAAGCTGATGATGGCGATTGGTGCAACGGTCTTCGATCGGAATTTCTCCCTGCGTTCAACAGCGATTCGGTGGATTCACCAAGCTGAAGCTTGGCTTTGCCGTCCCGACTACAAAGCTCGCATTAATCTTGGTACGATACAATGCCAAATCCTACTCACGTTTGCACGGGAAGCTGTCGGTCTTGCCTGGAGTCATACATGGCTGTCCATTGGAGATCTTCTTCGCACAGCAATTTACATGGGTTTGCATCGTGACCCTTCAAGAATGCCACGGCGAACACTTCTTGCCTCCGAGCTACGTCGCCGAATTTGGAACACAATACTAGAGTTGATAGTGCGAACAAGCGTTACCGCCGGAGGCCCTCCTCTCCTTTCCCTTGATGACTTTGATACGCTTCCTCCAGGAAACTTTAACGACGATCAACTCATGGATGACGATTCCCAATCAAAGCCAGAGGAAGAGTTTACGCAATCGTCCATATCCAGGATGATGCGATCCACGTTCTCTACTCGGCTGACTATCACCAAGTCGCTCAATGACTTGGGCGGAAAGAACACATACACCAATACGCTACACCTCGAGAATGAGTTACGCAGTGCCCAAAAAGCCATGAGACACGTGATCCAAGCCTGGAAATCAAACAAAACACCAAGTTCTTTTTCTCCCTCCTCATTCCAACTATCTTTTCTAGACATGGTTTTTCGTCGTTTCCTTTTGTCTCTCCATGTACCTTGGTTTGGTCCCTCTTTGCAGGATCCAACATATGCCTACACGCGAAGAATAGCAGTCGAAACTAGCATCGCGTTGTGGAGAATTACGGATGAAGGGGGCGCATCATCCATAGATGCTTCATATACTGATTTCGTGATCATGTCTGCCTACCGGACAGGCTTTCTTCACGCAGCAATCATCCAAGCTTCACATGTACAACTTGCCGAAATTAGCTCTCAGCTGCGAGAACACGATGAAGGTATTTTATGGGCACCTATCAATTCTGACCTGTTACCTGTTTTGGAAGGGGCAAGTGAATGGACCTTTCGGATTTTACAAGTTGGCGAAACCAATATCAAAGGTTATCTCATCATGGTGCTCGTTACCTCGCAGATCAAGGCCGCCCTGGAGGGCACCGCCGCGGATGAAATGCCTCATGTCGTAGCTAGAGCTATCGTCGAAGCGAAAGATAGGTGTCTTTCGTTGCTTGAAGATGAGGTCGTGCGTTCACGTACAGAGAGGATGTTGTCAGAGACACCACCTGCCGCGCCAGCAGAAACCTGTTTGGAGGATTGGGACCTCACGGTATGTTTCCGGACAACATTCTTGTATGAAAATGATCTCCCTGACCTTGTAATAATCTAGATCCCTGATACCGACTTCTCTACAACGCCTGGGTTTGATCCAGTGGCTTGGATATTCGACGGTTCAATTTTGCAAGGACCTCAATTTTGTTCGACGCTTTATCAATGAGTTGTTTCCTCAGGATTTTATAGAATACGAACTTCACTTCTTAATTTGTGCGTGAGAAGTGAGCTTTGCCCCTCATTGCGCGTAAGAGGAAATGATTTGTGTATTGACTCCGCTCAAATAATCCCTGCCTCTAATACAGATGTCCGCTACGGCAAGGCCTGGTGAAGCTAACAAATTGAAGAAAAGTATTGTGATTTGTATTGGATAATCATTGGCCCCCCAATCGCTCGCTGTTCTCCTCTTTACTAGCAGAGGAGAGAAATAATCTAAGGTAAGCTGAGTTACTAAGTACAAACTTATGGCAGCTTAGTGGATGATACAAAGATGCTCTCGAAGAGTCGATTCATATCGGCCACATCTTCCAGCTCTCCGATCCAGCTGACATATTGATCTGGCCGAACAATAACGACGCAGCCTTTTCGTTGATCAATCCCATAGTTCTGATATGCTTGGCCGTGTCCTTCATGATATGATATATCGTCAACATAGACTTTGTCATAATCCCAGCCGTATTCCGAGGAGTAAGGATGAAATATTTCCGGTAGGGTAAGGAGATCTACTTTCTGCCTTGGGGACGAGTGAATGGTTAGAAGTTCAAAGAAGGAGCTTAGGGAAGATTCATTATCCTTAGGCCGGAATCGGCTGAGGAAGGAATTAGGTGACCCTAACTCAATCCCAAGGCTTGACAATCGTAGAGACTGGGCGTGATCAAGCAAGTCTCCAGCGAAAACAATAACTCTCCACTGCCCATTGCTTGGTAGCAGTTCTTGGAGATGCCATGGCCTGCCGTCGGACTGGTTGAGAATCTTATGGCTCGGTATTCGCATACCTATAGGAATATTGGGTGCAAGTGCTTGCTTGCCCACCAATGGGATTCCTCCATCTCCTACTGTAGTTTTGGTAGGCCCCGGCTTTGTAACGATGAGGCTTGATGCATAGTCTACCACGCAGCCGCTAGAGAACAAGTTGCCTTTCTCAAAAACCTGCTTAAACGTTTTGAGATCGACACCTTCTTTGTCCATCATATGTTCAGCAGGCCGACCGGAGAAAAGATGAGAGAACTTTCGATCAAATTCAATCAGCTCTCTTGCAATCTGCTGTCTTTCAGTGCTGTATGTCTCAAGCAATGAACGATTCGCCCAGCCTTTCACAACTGAGGCTACTTTCCACCCAAGATTGTATGCTATAGAAGACATTAGTCACAGACTTGACAGCTAGTAGCCCGATGGCATTTTCAACGTACTGTCATGCATACTGATATTCATGCCTTGACCCGCCTTCGGGCTATGTGTATGGACTGCATCGCCAGCGAGGAAGACACGGTCATGAGCACTAAACTTAGAGCCAACTCTCTGCCCTATGCGATATGCCGTCCACCAATGGCAGTGCTTGTAGTCGATCTTGTACGGGCTAAGGATCTTGTTTGCAGCATCGAGTAGATTTGAGGGGGTGATGTTGAATCGGTCAACCTAAAATGGTGTCAATAAGTGGCGGCTTCGATGCGTATCTTGAGAATTGCCTACTGGCTTGCCCGTTTCGTCCACTTCAGTGACTTGGATATATAGCCTGACATGCTTGTTCTCTCGAGGAATGATCATCATACTCCCGGATGCAGAGTGAATAGCGCAACGATATCTAATGTCGGCTTTGTCAAGATGTCAGCATTTGACTGGGAGAGGATAGCCATGTAGGCCAATACTGACGGAAGTCCGTGATCGGAATGATATCCAGAACGCCCCTGAGCAGCCAGTTAGTCCAATGGGTTACTGGCGCGCCAGGATGAATTGTACATACCAGATGAAATCTGAGTGGTCGCCCTCCATCACGCATCCGATCTGGCGCCGCGTCCAAGAGTGGGCACCATCGCAGCCGACTACATACTTGGCCCTGATCTTCGCCGCATGAGTTCCATCGGTAGCTTGAGCATCCTGCAACATGGCATCTGTAGTATCCGCTGTGAGGTTACTTCTATGGAGACCATTGGGAATCTTCGAGTCGTCCAGGTCAAGTGACGCTTGGGACTCTGGGCTGGGACTAGGTAAATTTCGAAGGGTAACTGAAACAGGATAACCGTCGCTCTCGACGTTGTCGGTATCGATATCAAGGGACTCAGGCATAACCCCATATTCCACCTTCAAGTCACTATGCTTCCCAATGTAAGTCAGGAGATACTCTTCAACTCTTGCTACGAAGTCCAGAATCATGTTAGCGGCTGGCCAATGCATAGAAAAGTCATTATTACCTTGATGGAGCGTTGCCTGTTGGAATCGGCTAAGTCCAGGCACCGTGTCTACAATCATGTCTGATCGGTATAACTTGCGGTGCTCATCGGGGTTCTTGTAGACCGTTAGTAATGCCCTTTAGGTGATGTATTATTTACTGAGTATCACCCAAAATCGAATTTCCAGCATGTGGTTGGCTTCACGCCAAATGTCTTGGCCAAAACCCAGTGAATCAAAAATCTATCATTTAGCGGGTTAACTGACTGCCATATTTAATCACAAAAAAGCTATAAGCTTACTTCAAAAGTCCTGCTTTGTAGACCATCGGCTTGCCTATTGCTTTGTAAGTCGTGCTTCTCGCATATATATACATGGTTTGACATACCCACTGTTGATCCTGTCGAAACGCTTGTCTACTATGCGAGTTTTGATACCCAAACGAGCCATCCATGTTGCTAACATGAGTCTGTTACTAACAGTCAGTCAAGATGCTAAGGGCAGAGCCACTTCCATTGGTGAAAGCTAGGTTAGAGCAATGGTTACCCTGAGGGCCCGGCACCAATTATAAGCACATCAACTTTTGAAGGATCTTCTGAAGACATCTTGTGGGATATCAAAGAGAAACCAGAGAGAGACAGAGAGATAAAAGGAAATGCGAGTAGTGACAAGGAGGGAAGAAAGGTCAAACAAAAGTCGATTCCTTAGATTAATATACTCAATTTTACCTGCCCCCAGTCTTAGTATTTCCTCCAATGTCGGTCCCAGCATTATAGCAGTGCTAAAGACCCAGCCCAGGCAAATAGGGAGCACCGCCGATCGTATAGTTTAGAACCTTTGGTTAGAAGGAAGGGCCCCAATCCTCAGTACCTAGTTTCCAATCTCCCAGTGAACTTCTTTGCTGATATGCGGAGATTCCTATTGGTCTGCGGAGCTTCCGGGCCCGCTTGTTCTGAGATTGGAACCTCGGCACCTGCCGGTAAGAGAGGTATGCTATATGTCACTCTCGTAGGGGTTTAGCTGCATGCGGAATCCTGATGATCACAAGATACATACGTTAAATATGCCTTGAATTGATGAACGAGAATTCCTTGACTCATTTCCGATGAGATCTATACTGGTCTATTACAGTGTGGATCCCTCGGCTTGTAGTGAGAGACCTAAAGGCTAGCCATTGATTGTAAAGAGCTTGCTACACTTAACGGAACGATTGGAGAATGCCTTGCCGATGTGGAGACGGCTTTGGTAGTCTGGGGGCTGAGCGAGGAGAAACTGGGGAGGAGTGAGGAATAGTATGGATCGCGTCGATGCAAGGGCGATATGATTGGCCAACGGCAGCTTCGGAGAAAGACTTCCCCGGTGCTAATTATCTGTTTTGCTTCGACCTTGACTGTACGTCGGCATCCAACTCCTCACCTTAACCCTTCCAACTGATTATTGTCCCTTAATACATCGACACGATAGATCTATATGCTAGGATGGCTAGTTCAAATACCGCTGGGATCATGCCTAGTTCCAACAGATCAAGGCCAGTTCGTAGGAAAGCTTCAGAGGCGTGCGAAAGATGCCGGGAGAAGCGAATCAAGGCAAGATTCACTTGAGCCCCTCCCCACACTACACCCCTCAGAGCCCGTAACAAGCCTTGTGTATTCCACTAATACTCCTTATTAGTGCAACGGCTTTCAACCATGTGACCAATGTACCAAGAAGGAGGTGCAATGTGTATTTGCCTTTGCGCCTTTGACCACTAACAGTGGCAATGAGGCCCTTATGGAGTACGTGCCAGACCTCTCCGTCTCGGTGCCAAGCTGACGGTTCTCTAAGAAAACTAGACCTTGTATTATCGCGCCTAGATAAACTCGAAGAAGAAGTAGGCCGGCAGGCCGACGCCTTGCGTAATAATCAGGTGCAAGGTTTGAAACCCCGGGCCCTTTACTGTATTTCTCTGTCTGACACCTCTTTGAACAATAGTGAAACAGCAACAATACCACTTCAGGCGACGGTCCAGCGGCGTTGCCCAGTTGAACCAACAGACTGGTTGTTTTGAGTATTATGGTCCGTCTGATAACTATTAGGAAACAAATCCAAACAATATCCAAGATACTTACGGTTATTAGGTCAAACTTCAACATTTACTATAGCATCTTGCCTGGGGAAGAGATTCAATCAACCCGAAGATGTTTCGAATAACAGCCCATCAACTAACGACCGCCGGGAGGATTCGATTGCTGGACACCAGCCACCCCGCGGGAAACGTCCTAGGACTCTTGACTTAGATGAGCTTACCAGCTTTTGCGACTACGTTGTGCCGCTACACGGCTTGCGTAGTGACCGTTACTTGCGCGGAAATATCACTGATAGACACGCGGATAACTTCTTTCGTGCTATCCACATACTCCTCCCTATTTTGGATCCTGCGGCTTTCAAGGCGCGATATGACTCGTTACGCCATCTTTTTGGCGATCGACGGCTCTTCCTTACTACTCCAGATGACCCAACGCGGCCACAATTCGTTTGCCTACTTTTTTCAGTGCTTGCACTGGGTGCATTGTATGAAGACGAACACGAAGATAGTTCATCATGGGCTTCATGGTATTTTGCTGAAGCCCAAGAAATGCTGGGACGGCTTCTGATGGCGAGCAACATTCAGTTGGTCCAAGCTTCAACACTTCTGGTAGATATGCCCGATACACATGATGACTGATTACAAAAATACTGATCACCTCAACTGCCAGGGAGCTTACGCTCAGCATGCAATTCAACCTAACTGTAAGACAACACCACCCTATTTATCTTCAACAGGCTGTAACGCAATCAAATAGTGGCATATATCCTCAACGGCGTTGCAATGAGGCTGGCATTTTCAAATGGCTTAAATGTCGAGTCATTGCACTGCTCGCTTGGGTTTGATATCCAAGAAGCAAGGCGTACCTGGTGGCTTGTGTATATCCAAGAAGTAGAACTCAGCCTAGACTCAGGCCGACCCATGACTCTCCGATCTTCCGAGATGAATGTGAAATATCCAAATGTTGAGGTATGATCAAGACGTGGGCTTTTGGGATCTTAACCACTCGACTGACATCGCGAAAGCTTCCATCGGAAGGCGAAGCTGTGACAGAGTCTGCCCAGATTATGTTTATACCGTTCTTGGCAGAAATAGCTAAAATCATGCGAAGAATCATGAAGCTCGTATGTAAATCTATCCCTATGGATTCCGAACTTCCAAAGCTTACTACTTTGTAGGCTACTGAGCCTGTTGAGCCCGTCGAGCAGAGCGATTTCATTTTAGACCAAAAAGAAGCGTTGCGCCTTGACTTAATGCAATGGCATGCCTCGCTACCAAGCTACCTTGCTTTCGAAGATGCTATTCAAGACGCCAATAACAGCGATGCCTCACCGTGGTTACACAGTTGGGAAGCTCGACAACAAAGTAGCCTTCGAATACGTAAGTCCTCCTCTCGGGGCCGAGCCTCTGGTTTCTATGTATCTCGGGAAACGTTATGCAATTGCTCATACGTGAAAAAGATTATTACCTTGCCATCATTATATTGCTTCGTGGCCCAATCCCAAGAAAATCACCTGAGCTCCTTGCTTTGAGGACTCACCCATTATTTAGCCTTCATCAGTCTTGCCACTTGAATGCTGCTAGAAACATGATACGGCATATTTACAAGTTGTTCAAGTCTGCGCCATACCTACGACGGTGGAGCTATTATTGCTTTTACTGTCTCCAGGCTACACTTGTCATCTTGCCCAAAGTTGCTGACGATTTGGATCGCTCCCGATGTCAGCCGCAAAAGGATGCCTGTCTCGTGCCTACTCCACTTTCTTCGACACAAGCCGACGGAGAGATGATTGAGGACGACGTGGGACTCTGTAATATGGCTGTCGAAGTTTTCAAAACGATTGAATTGAAGGCTTCACAGCGTTGCGCCATCGTTGTCCGTCAATTTCTCGACAGCTGGGAAGCAAAGAAAAGAAATGACAGCCTCGGCAAGAGCCATATCTCTATTAGCGATGATGATTGCGAAGTGAGGCGATCAGCCTCGACAAGAGTACCACCTGAGCACCCCGCGGAATCGTCATCATTTCCGAGTAACCCTTCAATTATCAACGAAGACAATAGTACCCATGTATCGCCAAGGTCTTCTCAAGCTGGGCCCAATGTGGTTGATAGTATTAGAGGCGTTGGTGGCAGTAGCTCTTCGTCTCTGCCAACGTCTTTCAGTGAGTTCGAGGAGGAACTCTATGGCGCATTTTATGGCATCTTGGATTCTGGCTTTCATGTCGATGAGCAGCAGTATGGCGTCGGTAGTCAGGCCTTGGAGAATCACGCGATGCGCGCGGGAATGCATGCGAGACCGGAACAAAGCTGGGCTTCAGCTTCACGCAATATCATGCCGCCTTGCGACAACTGCGGTAGGCATGATTCTTTGGTATGATGGTAATGGCATGTACGTAATCCATAACTGGCCTTTCGCCAACACATAATATCGAAGCACCATTACGGTTGCGGTCCCGTTGAACCAATCTATAAAAGAGCGTACATCCTTCGTCTATTCTAACAATAGTCCTGCCGCTGGCTATCCGCCTGGGCCTTCTCCTTAGCCACAGACTCGTGATCTCTAGACCACTTTTCAGCTACAACTACGGTAGGCAGGAATTATTTATGTTATTTAAAAAAATGATACAAGGCGATGTAAAAGGAGACAACCATCAGCCTCCCGTAAATACTCACCTACCTTCATCACGACTTAGCTAGGGAGAGATTTCTCCATTCTTTGAGGCAGTTCAAGCACCACTTTGATTGCTACTATGGCGATTGTATCCCACGCTTTTGTCATTTGGCATGCCGGATTAGTTACACCCACACCAAGCCTTTCGAGGGTCGGTTCTTTTGTGAAACAATAACCATTGCCTCATACCCTCATTGTGTTTACCCGCCGCGGAAGCCCCGAGCACAGTTTCAAAGGCTCCTCACACTGTACCCCTCATCGGAATCTGCTGCATCTCAGCAGCAACTGGTTCAATAAAAGGCTCGTATGAGACATCTGGCTTTCCTCAGTATTTCTAATCTGCTTTAGATTACCCTCACCAAGTCTATCAAGTTTTACTGCTGTCTCATTCATTGGTTCATCATGGCTACAAAATACGAGCGGGTATCTTCTGATGTAGAAGGTTACACCCGTGTTAAGAATGAGTTTATTGCAATGCGCGATGGGATAAGGCTGTGTGCAGATCTGTTCTTGCCGTTTTCCGCCTCGAAAGACGGCAAGAAAGTGCCAGTCCTCTGCAGTATGGGGCCATATGGCAAAGACATCCATGCCTCCACATTTGGGCTCCCGAAAACCCCCATCTATGCCAATATGTACAAGCACATCAAGCCTCTAGGTCCAGATTCATGCTTTGAACTCTGCGAACCACTGATTTGGGTACGTCTAATGAAACAAGACTTTTCAACCACCTCAAACTAACAATACTGTTAGTGCAGGGAGTATGGGTATGCACTCCTTCGTGTTGATACACGCGGTATCGGGGGTAGCGAAGGCAAATTAGACGCATTTGGCTTAGAAAGATCGCTCGAAATCAAGGCCGACGCCGAAGGTCAAGGTAATAACATTGTCGCCCCTTTTAATGCAAATACACTAACCAACAAATCATACCTTCAGACCTTTACGACGTCGTGGAATGGGCTGCTGCTCAGAAATGGTCGTCTGGCAAGGTGGCATTTTCTGGCATTAGCTACTATGGCATGGTGGGATACTGGGCTGCCATGCAAAGGCCACCACACTTGACGTGTGTCATGTCGTACGAATCGGCTTGCAGTATATATCAAGCTGCCCGTCGAGGCGGGGTATACAGTAACAACTTCCAGTCCCATTGGTACCATAACATTGTGGTGCCCAACCAACGCGGGTCACGAGATGGGTCGCTCAGCGAGGAAGAGCTCGCGACGAACCGGGTAGATTACCCTCATCTACTGGCAACAACGGAGTACCCAAATGAAGGGTTTTTTGATTTACTAGAGAATATCCGCTCACTCTCCGATGTCACCGTTCCGATTTACCTAGCGGGCAATTGGACCGATCCAGAATTACATTTACCTGGAAACATTCGAGCTTTCAATGGTGTCAGCTCGGAGTATAAATGGCTCGAAATGCATTCCGGAAACCACTTGGGCGCATTCTACGAACCAGAGCATATCGCTATGCAAAAGAAATTCCTAGATCACTTTCTTTTCGATAAGAAGGAAAATGGAATGCTTGACGTTCCGCGGATCCGGCTACTCCAACATCATAGTACGGAGAGCTTTTACCGCGAGAATGAAGTTGCCTTCCCACCCCCAGACGCAGAAGGCGTTTCTTTCTATCTGACACCCAAGAGGGAAATCTCATTGAGCTATCCTACAGTAGAGGCACAGCCACTCACTTATCAAGGCTTTCACGAGAATATTTCTTTTGCCCTTGACTCGGCCTTTGTTGACTCATTCGAGGTCCTTGGATCTCCATATCTCGAGCTTACGCTCAAGACTGAGGCGGAAGATCTGGATCTTTTTGTGTACTTGCGTGCGATCGAGAATAATAAACCTGTCGTTCTCACCGGTAACCATGGGGAGCCCATGGATAGCTTTGCGCGAGGATACTTCCGCCTCTCCCATCGCGAGGAGGCCGCCAAGGACTTTGAAAATGAAAGAGTAATCAAGCAGCCAATCTGTCCTCGATCTGAGGTGACTCCGGGTCGGCTTTACAAAGTCATTGTTCCTATGTACCCGGCAGCGTACCTCTTTGATAAGGGGCAGACACTCTCACTCGAGATTGGTTCAATAAACACCGCGAGCACGATACCACCAATGCGTCACGAGGGAGGTGATAGGGTAGCGAGGAGATTTGAAGGGGAGAATACAATCTTCTCTCATGGACGTTTAGTCTTGCCGCGCGTTAGGCGCTAGGCACATATGATTTCATCATCAATGAGACGTTGATGAGAAACATCTAACATATACAAATTCAGGATAATCTACCATTTCATTGGCTCTCATTCGCGAAGTGTGATAAAATCGCTAGTATATATCTAGTATTAACAATTTTTTTAGTGCTCATATAATGACGGGATGGGCGGCTGTAAAGTAAGGCTCAAGCAAATAAAGTCAATACTAGATACAAATATACATGCAGTGAGGTCTAAATCTATCCACTGTTATACATGTAAATAATTTCAATTAACCTCTCTCTAGTTGTATCACCAGTGGGCTTATTGTGATACTAGCTGATCCTCCCGCAACTTAGAAGCACGTACTAGCCGAGAGGCATGTGCCCACAACTCGCCTTAATCTATTAGCCTCATTTGTTTCTGGCCCGATATAGATGAACGCGGGTTCTTTCCGCTGCTTAACGGTGCCAGCGGCAAGTTGTATCGGCTGGCTGAACTTGATCTACCCGATCGCCGGGCTTTCCGATGTTTGCGTTGAGGAGTAAGCGGAACATCCGCACCCCCACACATCCGAGATGTAACGATGTCGTGTGAAGCCATGGGTTGCAACCCAGCATGATATAAATATCACCTAAGCATACTCTCTCTGTCCCTTATACAAAGGGGTTTACCTTCACCAGACTTTTCGAATCGTTTGTCTTTTCTTTGACTCTCTGTGTATTCTAAAATTGAAAATAGAGCTCGGTTCTAATGCCTTACGTCAAGCAAATAGTGGCCTTAAGGCGCAAAGCAGGTATTACCAGGCAAGAATTTTTCAACTACCACTTTCAAGTCCACGGTAGAATCAGTATTGCTCCCTCGCCAGCGGAAACTCCATCGTGCGTTTCCACCCCTGTTACGATATTAGACAGCATAATTTCTGATTTTTGTGTTAGGAAATATTTCCAGATTCACTTGGAAGATGCGGCCTACCATCCAACAAACCCAACTGACAGCGCGAATGCCAGCCCACCATGGGCATTTTCCGACGATATCACCGAGCTATATTTTGAATCAGCAGATCATTTAAGTCGCGTATTTCAGTCCTCATGGGTCAGGGAAGAGGTGGGACCGGATGCAGCCAACTTTTCAGACTTTGGTGCTTCACTGCCTGTGACGGTACAGGAGATAGCCATTCAGCTCAATGACGATGCGCCTTCGGTGAATGATGGCTTACAATCTGGATCTCCGGTAGCTATGTACTTCATAGCTAAGACTGCTGATAACATTGAGTCGAATGATCTGGTGTCTGGATTTGCAGACATCCTGAAACGATTCGGCCCAAGCCAAGTCCGTGCTCTCGTGGCTAACGTTCCAGTGGACCTCCCATTCGACCCCGATGCCTACTTTGGAAGCTCTGCCGGACGACCTCGCTTCGATCTTGTCTTGGCCATTCACTTATATGATAAAGCTGGCGTGTCGTTCTTGAGAACGGTTCAAAAAGCTTTCGAGGAAACATATGCATCCCATATCAATCTCGGAAGCAGTTGGATTGCGTTCGGCCAACGAGCTTTGGTATTCGACCAAGATCAGGGCATCCAAGTATGCTTCAGCCGCCGATTACAGCTTAAACTTGCACTGACGTCTTGTAGTTTGACCCCGGTCGCCAGCCATATATATTTGGGAACTGAGGAGCATGCTGACGTTGATGACTCTGCATAAAGAGGCTTATATCGACTCTACATTTCGAGGCCTCGCCGTGATGCAGCGGTAAAGGCCCAAGAAGGACAATCGTGTTATCGTCGGATCGAGATGCCGCTGATGTGACCTCAACTGGGCTTTTTGTTATCGTTGAAGTCTGCTGCAAGATAAATTATTCTCATACTTAGTGGTGAGATAGGGGATCTTAACGGGAGATAGCATCAAATGGTGCCCAGAACATTCAAATGTATCATGTCCGATGCGTCATACCGCAAAGATAGGAAAAAATAGTGTATGTTTCACCGACGCATCGCGACAAGTACTCATCGTATCTTCATGCCTCGACATAGACATTACTTTACGATATCAGCAATTGTCCAACCTAGGCTTATCTCGTTTTATAAAAGATGACAACTTGCTCTTCCGTCGGAGGTAGATAGACCCGCCTTCTGCTCCCACCTACCTGCTCACCACATAGACCTTACTTTCCGCAGCGCCTTCACCAGAACAGCCTTCCAAAAAGTCCCATTAGGGTTTGGAAAAGAAATGAACTCTTTCTATTAATCTAAGAGTTTGACACCAAGGCGCTTTCAAACACCCATATAGCCAGATCGAAGCCTGCATTTATGCATCTGCTAATCACCCGAGGTGGCTTGATACACGAGAATAAGGACGCACAAAAAAAAACGATGCAAGAGTTCGTGTTGGCCTTTCTGGGGCCTGACTCATTTGTAGGCCATCTACGAAAATAGAGATATTAATTATGTAAGTAGATAAATTCTGGCACGCTGGCCTGTACAATTTGACCAAATTAGCGCTTCATAGTCCCAGCAATAAACGGGAAGAAAAGCGGTATGTTACAACAATATTTTTAATCTTCAACGAGGCTCAGCAAGCCTTTGACCTCGCTCATATATGTCCCTCCGCAAATCTGCTTGGTCAAGTCCCACTGCCTTTTTCATTGTTGAATCAAAGATCTTCCTGTGACCAATCGCATTAAGCAACCAAATCAGTACGGCGTTTGTACCCTTCCAAATATAGCTGGTCTGGGGTTTCAGGACTTCTTCTACAACCTGCCGTGCAAAGGCTCGCGGGAGAACAGACGACTTAGCGTGGTCGATAGACCTCTGCCTAACATTGGCTTCAACTTCGGCGTATAAACTGTCAGCGCCGAAGCTAATGTTGTCTGCAGACATGAGCCCTGTAGAGACTTCGCCCATGAACACGGTAACGACTCGAAGTCCCAGCGGTTCAACCTCCAGGCGCAAAGTGTCCGAGTACGAGGTAACGGCTGCCTTGGAGGCGTTATACGCTGATGAAAATAGAAATGGGATGCGCGAGACGACAGACGCGACGTTGACAATAGTAGGAGCTTGGCGAGATCCATGAACAGAAGCAATCAGCAGGGGTGTGAATGTCTGAACCACGTCGAACAAACCGAAGACGTTGGTGTCAAACATCTGACGGACACGGGTAGCGTCAGCCTCGATAGATGGAGCCTCATACACTGGTGCGGGTTAGAGATACCGCAAACTACAACGTTCCTATATAAAGATTGAAGACAGCGATAGGCTTACTGATACCAGCATTGTTGAACAGAATATCCAGTTTGCCTCCAGTCCGGTTGTGAATCTCATCCTTTAGACCCTTGATACTGTCTAGTGACGTGACATCTAGAGTGAGGGTCTCAACACCTGCCGACTCCAAGTTGGCCATAGACGCCAGTGATCGGGCGGTTGCAAACACACGAAACCCCCGGTCGAGGAATTCCAGTGCTAAGGCATTCCCTGCCCCTCCTTGTGAGCACCTGACATAGATCACAGAATTAGTAAATAATGGTGGCAGTGAACCGCATGATTTGACATACCCTGTGATGAGAATAGATCGCTTCGTTGAAGATACCATGTTGGTTTTGTATTATAGACATTGAACTTGGGAGCCATTGTAGAGTAATTGAAACTGAGAATTTATTTATTTTAAGTAGAAAGAGAAAACAACTCTGCCTGGGACTCAGCATGTGATTAAGGCTTGGGCAGCATTGACAAATCCGATGTGGGTCTCCATCCAAACATGGAGTTACATAATGCGTCCGACGATGAATAATCCCATCATCGGCTGAATGTTTGACAAAGCTGAAAACATGTAATCCCTCGGTGAGGCGAAGGCGTAGGCGACACATAGACCTGGAACGACGCTTCACGACTAACTGCTGTTGGAATTGGCAAATTCAGTCACACATCGCCTGTGCTTTAGTATCGGGCGAAGCTGAGAGTCGCACAAGCTCTCTGAGCACATATCACATCGGCGGATCCCAGTAGCTAGGATGAAGATCAAATATGGGGTTGGGAATGTTTTGGATACCGCTGGCGCAGTTTCTCCCTCTACGAGGGCTGAATCATGGTATCAAGCATACATGGTCAAACGTGTTCAAATCATATAATCCCTTACAAAACAGGCAATTCACCACAATACGCAATTAAAACAAGGTTCGTACTCCAGTAATGTGTAAAGAAGACGGGGTTCTCTCATACTAAATAGATAAAATGTCCATTTACAATGATTCTACGCCATCTCAAATTCCCCTCACTAGACAGCGAACGACTATAGCCAGGCTTGAAATATTCAAAGATGTAGTTTTGACAATCAGAAGTTACTATAACTACCAAGAAAACACTACGAGAAGTTAAACTTATAGCGCGCCTTGCCTGTGATCTTCATGCACTTTGAGCACGAAGCCAACGTTCTCGGGCTGTACCCGCTCCCAAAGGCTACCAAGCCCCAGCTTTCTTCCTCGCTCGTCCTCCCGTCTGAACCACTCCTCGACAGTCTTGACGCGACCAGGGTGGATTTCATCTAAGATCTTATAGTCTTTCTGGATCAAACCCTTATTTCCAGCCGAGTAACGCCACAGGTTCCACCATCCTGTGAAGTTGTCTCGATACTTCATGGTTGCCGGATCCTTGGGGTCAGCGTTATAACCTGTCGGGAGTTCAGCAACAGGGACAGTTGCAAAATAATCTTCAAAACTGGTGTCAATATATCTTGCTGGTTTGCCCGTGACTTTAGCAAAAGCCCTCGCGACCTCCGAGTAAGTTGCATGTTCTATAGCGACATCGAGATCCATCCCATTCGCTCGATCGGGGTGGTCAAACAGCCACTTGACATAGTATCCGCAGTCGTCAAGGGCGACCTCGGGGACAGCTCCATCCCCTAGAGGTATCCGCCAGGTGACGACGCCGTCCTCGACCACAGGTGGCATGGGCGTATAAGCGTGAATGGCCATTTCCATATACGGACCGGTTGTAAACAAAGCGGCTCGCATGCCATGCTGCTGAGCGACCTGGGCATTCTGCAGCATGATCCATTCGCCAACCCTTCCCTTCGCGTCGTAATGGCCCCCACGGAACTTTGGGTCATACCCGCCCAGCTTATAAGCGTACACGAGGTTGCTGTAGACATAGAATTTGACTCCTTCTTCAATGGCAAGCTCATAGGCGCGGATGGACCAGTAGATCTCGGTTTTCTCGCCGCAGTTAAACCCATCGATATTGACAAATGCGCCCCAGGCTCCTTGGAAGAGCTCCCTGAGGGCTTCTTCCGACGCGAACGTGCCAACAACAGGCACCACGTCAGCAACAGAGCCATAAGACTGCAATTCCCGGAAGCGTGCACTGTCTGGGTCGCGTGTCAGGGCCCGAACCTTGTAGTCACCAGACTTGACCAGGTCCCTGACAACGGGCATGCCCTGAGCGCCGGTTCCGCCGATGACAGCAATGACTCGGGTGTCCATTTTGAGTTGAATATAATGATTTGGTTTTTGATGTTGTAGCGAGATGAGATGTTTGTCGATAGATTTTTCGTTTGACATGAGAGTAACTATTTCGAGAAAACCTGGAGAAGGCGGGAGTTTATATCTGATAAACAAAGGTGCTGACCAATTGCATGTGTGTGAGTGTGGTGCGATTTCGTAGCATTTATGCCCCCTCCTTGGAAAGCAACAGCATTGGAATGAAGACTTCCCAGTGATCAATATATTGTATGTTACATAAAGCGATCGGTGAGAGTGCAACGATTGTATAAAAGGCGGGTCAAGAACGTTGTGTAATAGCTCAGGCTGGGTTGTCATCATCTTCGAATCACCAGCATCTACCACGAAAAGTGATCAGCGCAATGCCATAGCGAGATATTTCGTAACTTCATCTGAGTGAGAAAGAATTAAGTAAGTCAGGGAGACATTAATAGGACTGGTGAGATAACATTGTTAGCTTACCAAAGCCTCAAAAGGCGACGAACATGGCGAAGGCCTGAGATTGAACGCAGAAAGTAAATTAACTTGCGGAGGATGTGTAATAGCATATCTATCGACTACTGGAATGACGAGTTATACAATGTAGCCTAAATATTCTCATATTAGGGCGCATCGATCGATTGGCAGACTGGTTAATGCGGCTACTCATACATGTTGGCATATAAGAGACCTCTCACCCACGAGTTCCGTCAATGCCTTTTCAGAAAGAGTAGACAAGCTTGATCACAGGCTGAGGCTATGCCTACTCCGTCCGTAAGCATATACCTGCCATTAACACTCTGGTCACCATAGATGACACACTAGCTTTCAACTTTGCTGCTCAGCGTGGCCGACATATCACACACTTGTCTTAACACCATGTGCAAGATGCATGGCTCTCCCGATGACAACAGCACTTCGAATTACAAACCACTGGATAAGGCGCTTTTACGACTGAAACAACCTACGACGGCTTCGGTCGGTTCCGGGGACACTATAACCTCGTAGGTAGCAGAGTCAGAAATCTTTCCTCCAGATATAGCCCCCTTTCGGGGAGGATGCAGGGTCTGCGGGATTGCTTTGGGGACCGGGATTTGTGGAGAACTGGGGACCTGCTCGAGAGTTGTTGCCGGTGCTTGTGTCTGACGTACCGCTTCCGCGCCTCGACAGTCGATCTCACCGGCGTCCTCTTGTGATTGTACTCTTGAGGCTCTTTCTCTCAGACGGTCCTTCGTATGTTGTTACGGGCTAATCTATCCTTTAGTGTGTTCTGCGCTTGAATGTAATTCCACAACAATCACAAGTCAACCTATTCGACATGTGGGAGTGTTAACCGATACTCTCATCATGTTTCCGGCCTTGTCAAGTGTAGTCTAGACCCCCGGCGGATGGCACTCGCGCTTGGTGGAGTCTTCGGCCTAGACGTCCATTCCGGCTGCCATGACATGTTATTATTCATCGCACACGTAATTGCTCCGACGGGAGCACTTGGTCGGATGAATGACATAAAGGAGCCCCGTTTCCCTCGTTGCCCTCCACCCTTCTTGTTCTTTCCCTCTCGGCGCTTCTAGATGATTCGTATTTTCTCCCTGGAACTGACCTCTCCAACCCGCAGGCAGGCATGCGAAACTCGGCGTGCTCATCGGCTGGTAAGCGCCGGCTTCATGCTGCCGGGGATATCGATGTATGAATCCATCCTGCACCAGTCTCATACCCCAACTTTTTGCCATGCCCCATCGACATTTTCTGCGTCGCATTAGTTTTTCTAACTGGGATGTTGATCTGCAGGCACGGCGTGAGCGGAATCGCAAAGCTCAAACCGAATTCCGTCGGCGCCAACAACTAGCCGAAAGGTCGAGAGACCTTCGACTACAGCTCCTCGAGGATGTCGTTCAGGAGATGGCCACAATCCTCACCGAATTCTGTGATGAGCTGCTCAAGAATGAAGCTGTGGCAAAAGATCCCAATCTGGTGGCTTGTCTCCGGTGCTCATCAGCTCGGATCATTGCTCTGGTTGGGACAGTGCATCCGGAGGAGACGATGGATGCCACAGCGACGATACAGGTTCCGAGCTCTCACAGCCCCGGCACCGGTCGTTCGATTAAATCTGCAGTAGAAAACACCCCAGAATATCGCGACAAGCAATACCGCTCAGCACATGCCGATGACAGCACGCCCCCTGTGCCCTCCAATGACAGCCTACCTGCAAGCTCGATGGAATATGAAACAGCATCTCCTAGGTGGTCTCTCTATCTATCGGAGATGATTCAATCCGACATTCCTAGTGAGTATGGTTGTGACAGTCATGAGAGAGCGAACTTGGACCTCCAGCCAGTCCAGCGGCTTCCCCCTCGAGTCCCATCCTCCTCGCTGCGAGCCGTTCCATTCCCTCTCCGCCTAGTCAAAACAACTTTAGCTCATGCATACCTGTTCCTCCGCGGCGATCTCTACATATCTAGCGAAGATATCCATCGCTCTTTTGGAAACACATTAAGACTACGCACCCGTGAACAGCTTATCTCACACTTGCATTGGTTGCTCGGGCGAGGCATCGACGACTTATCGGAAGCGGCAGGGATGGCCGGTGCCTTCACCCATTCAGAATCCGCAGACAGACTGCCCGGGCATGGTACTTCTTCCCATGCCGGTACCGCCTGGGACTTGGACACCGACGGGATTCTGAAATTCCTGTACAGCGAAATTCAGGCGGATGCATTCCTCACGGCGTTTGGTGTTTACAAGAAACTCAACCACCTGGGAGCCAGGATGCTTGATCCGGAAACCATGGAGATTAGTATCTCTGGCGTTGGATTATCCACTTCCCATCATAGCTCGGAAGAAGAACTATCAGGGAGTAACCCATCTAATCGAAACTACACAAAACGTAACCCGGCACATCTAACCGTGCGGTTGAATGTATCTCGTCTGGCTAGCAGTCTAACTAACGTAGCTATATGCCTAACAAGAGGTCCAGTGTATCCTCGACACGAACTAGCCAAGGCGGTAGAGGCGTCAGTGATACTGGTACAAGGTGGCGAAACAACATGCTGATGTCGACATGTATTATACCAGTTGATAGCTTAAGTATACCCTTCTTCAAGACTGTATTTTTATGTACACTCAACAAGGTATAACAAGTTAATATAACTGGTCCCTACAATCATATTGTTCCCAATATCTACTTAACGTTGAGGAAAAGTACTAAAATAACGCTAAGGTGCCCTACATGACAGCGAGAAGTTGCTACTGCTTGTCATCAAAATCCACGAATGATACTCATGTCACCAGCCTGTGCATCCAGGACACGTTTCCCTTTCACAGTTATTCCAATTGGATATAAGATGGGTTGAATGAGTATACTCGTCCCCAGGCTAGAGAAATCAGGCTTAATGGCAGTGATAGAAATGGTTTCTCAAATTGTGGCATCTCTTCAGCATAAAATAATCCCAACATTTGTTATCTACGTCCCTAGAAGAGGATATTTACACTCCAAGCTTTTAACATCACCACTAAGTTAGCTGTTATAGATTAAAGCATCAAGAATCGACTTGTACGCCACTCCCGACGAAGTGAGTAAGCACCGGGTTTTTCCAAGTCAAAGCCCAGTCGCATGACTGCAAAACAATTTCTTATTCGTAAGTCTACTATTATTCGAATAAGTTTCTTTTAAGAACATATAAGCTCAGCTTAGGTGCATGGTCGGGTTATGAAGTTGATACACCAATATACAAGAATGAACTACGACACCTAACGGAGATCATGCCACACCAATTCCTCGTCGTTGACAAGTTCTTCAACATACTTTGTATGATGCCAAAGGAGAAAGAACTTGAATTGGTCTCGCCACTCACCCCAGAGCTTCCAAGCTAAGTCGGGATACTTCTTGGGATTCCACACCCATTCCGAACTGGGGCATTCCAGACGTATTTCACCCTCCCATCCGAGTCGAACCATTTCCTCTTCCGCGTGCTCCGAGCCATTGAGCTTGAGATGATATTGGTACAGCTCTTGATCCATCGTAGCAAGATCTGGGCGTTGGCCGTAGGCTGCAACTTCACGCGCCTCTACCTTTTCGACAAAGAGAATCGCGTCTTCAAGTGGTAACTGGATCAAAGTGTCGGAAAACCGCTGGCACTCAACTTTAGTATCGAGAAACTCGAATGTAATGGGCTCGCTGAGACCTTCAGTGACGCCTGTGAGGACCAGGAAGACGGGTATTGTGGTAAAGTTGGCGTTGAAAAGGTTACAATCTTGAGACGGGAATATCATGACGAGTGCTCGAAAGATTGGCTGCAATAGGTAAACGCGGGGATCGCAATACACATCTCTGTCGTCATGGGGAGCCCAGGCCCACTTAGGTTTGTGTTTTCCAACGAGGGAATCGACCTGGGAGCAGATTGCCTTGTGCATCGACACTACGTCTTGTGCCAAGGCGTTCGGCTCCAGGCCTGGGGTCAGATGGGCTGGATGAATTGGGTGTGCAATGAACCGCCCAAACTCGACGTTGCTGCGGTATGGGCGGAACCTGCGGCTGTAGAGCCAGAAAAAGAGCGAAGTTGAAATGTGCCTGTCGAATTCACGGGAGGGATGTGCGCCAAACATATCTTTGCTGCCTGGAGCAGTCACATAGATGGGTACCGTTTTGTTGCACATGGCCTCGGCAATCCAACCCTCCATGGCCGAAATATCTTGATGAAAATCGTGAAACGGAGTCTGGCATGATTCACCGATTGCATTGACGGTGCATGGCTTGTAGGAAGTGTCTATGTCGAATCTGTTCATAACATGGGTGCAGTGTTCATCTTCAACCCACAGACGCATTAGTTGGAGGATCTTATCCTGCGGAAGCGGGGCCTGGGGGCGGTAATAGGCTAGACGCATGATGATGAATAGGCCAGTAGTATAGATACCGACAAGTTGACAGGTTAGTAGTGATGGTAGTGACTGAGTCAAGTCTTCGCAGAGGGCACGAAGTGAGAGTCAAGATTTGAAAGGTGAACAGGCCGGTAGGCTGTCGCATAACTAGACTGGAAGGTCGGAATTCTGGGTTAAATAATTACTGGCTAGAGAAGCCAGGTAGATTGACTCACACAATAAAAGTCTACAATGGAAGATGTCAGACCCGACATGCCAAGACAGCGAATTCGAAAGGCAAAATGGTTACTATCCCAATTGAATCAAAACTCTATGGACCTTGACCCCTATGTCTCCTTTGCCACCGGGGACGGCTACCGCTTATAGCTGCGCTACGGGAAAATTCAGCTGCGGAACTTTCTTTTGGCTTAGTATGAATGGGTAGGTAAGCTTTACAAGGTTGAGGTAATGTAGATAATTGCCTAGATGACCATCCATTAAGCTTTCCGCTGTACGTTCAACTACAGGGGATATTCAAGACGTAGGGAACAAGAAAATCTTACGATCTATGAGATTTTCTGATATCTATTTCCCCACCAACCAGGAGATGCTTTCGAAGATTTCAATGGTATGGAAGAAAGAGATTCTACTTTGAAGAGTCTCGGAGAGAATGATCGAATCAAACACTCTGCCCACGTATCAACGCAGGTAAAGTTTAATCATAAGTGACAGATGCATTGGTACAAGAAAAAAAACTATAAGAAAGAAGGAAAAAAACAACATCTAGATGTTGTTGTGCCGAGACAGTCGAATGATAATTTTATTAACAATACTCAACACAATAAACACTTATTTTCCGATACTTGGCTTGATATTGATTTTATTACGAAGCTGGTTATTTTGATATTGTGCTAAAATTCAATACTAGAGGCTTTAGTATTTTATGTTGTAGTCAACTAAATCCCCAAGTTTCCCATTGGGCTTGCCCAGGCCGTCTGTACGTGTCGCTATGATGTGGTCGACGATTTGAGGAGCTTTCGCCTTTCCTTGATGATGGCGAATTAGGCTTGAGGGCCGGCGGGGGGCAGGAGGAGTCAAGGGTCCCCCAACGGGCTAGGCCAAAGCGAATATGGGTGCCGCCGTCTCGAAAGATGACGGTGGCACTTGTTACGACCTTTCGGCCGAACAGATTGGGGTTTCTCTCACGCATTCGAAGAATGCCTGCGCCGTGCTGTGACCCTTCAATGAGCTCGATTGTTGACGAATTTGCAACGATCTGCTTTCGCCGTATCGTTGTAAGGTTGCTCATGACCTTTGCTTTTAGCGGAGGACATGCCTCGCGCGCACGAAGCCTCTATGATGCTGCTCTAATGCAATCCCTCAGGCCTTCCCCTCCAGCAGTCCCGGCTCGAAAAATTGTCCAGGCATACAATACTGCCGCCTGACGGGTGGACCATGTTGGTGTATGGGGGGGGAGTCCACTAGCTGGCACGGTCTGTCGATGAATTTGGAACGGGACCAGGGGCGGACGCAGGACTGCGGAGTCCTGATCAGGCGTTGGTCAGCTGGTTGATGGCAGCGACAAGCAGATGCGATTCTGGTATGACTTTAGGGAAACTGATGAGTCTGACGATGCAGAGGATGAAGTGATATAATCCCTTGATGGATCCGGATTGGTGATGCGAGGTAAACAAAGGGAAGCACAGGCGAAACTATCTGTAGGTAGGACGATGCGAGACTGACTCGCTTTCTTGTGTAGCAAAAACTCTAAAATATGTGTGAAGGTGCAGTCCGCTGGCACAACAACCACAATCAAAATAAACTTTGCCGCCAAATCTAGCAGCCTGTTAGACTCATTTGCTAGGACGAAATACTCGGGGAAGGCAGCAGGCATATACGATGACTCGAATTCTGGAGGCGACTTGGGGACGAACCTTCCTTCGGCAATCGCTTCCGCAACGCTCGCTGTGTCCAGTTGCTGACCTCCAGTATTAAATTTCAACATAATATCAAAATAATCAACTTGGTAATAAAAACAATATCGAGCTAAATATCAGGGAATAATTTATTAATTTCCTAATATTGTGGTTAGTATTATGAATAGAATGGTTAGGTTCTTGCTGCTGTAGTTGGAAGAAAGATGAGAGTCAGCTCGAATAGTGCTTTGCTCTAGAGAACCTGGGACAATTGCTGCATTGCACCTTTTGACCATGTGGTCATTCGAGCTATTGCCATTGGGGAGATGAATGCGGCATAAAAGGCCACTTTGGATTGGCAGCTGAAAGCACCGCCCCCTCGGCTTGGGGAATAACCATGCCTCATCAAGACAGCCACAATCGTAGGCTATCAGGTCCCTGCCTTGATCACAGATGGCTGCGACGTTCCTCATTACCGGCGCGACCGGCCTGATAGGCTTCCACGTGCTTCTCGCGGTACTTGCTCAAGGTCATCGGGTGCAGTACGTGGTTCGCTCTGCCGAAAAGGCCCAGATGGTGTCATCGAACCCGGCAGTCGAGAGACTTGCGCCGGGTGACTGTCTCGTCCCTATCGTCATCCCCGACCTGACTGTCGCCGACGCCTTGGACGCGGCGATGCAGGGCGTGACGCATGTCATCCACTGCGCGTCGCCCGTCCCCGCGCCCTCGGCCGACCCCAGGACAGACGTGTGCGAGCCGACAATCATGATGTCAGCCAACTTGCTGAGCGCAGCCCTCAAGACGCCGAGTGTCCAGCGCGTCGTCCTCACCTCGTCCATCGTGGCCAACCTCGGCGTCATCCCGCCCCAGAGGTTCGTGTCTGCCACCACGCGCGCTGTCCTTCCCCCGATGCCCAACGTCTACAAAAATGTTTTTGAGGCGTACCTGCTGGGTAAAGTGGTCGAGATGCGCAACACGGATGAGTTTGTCAAGTCCAAGAGCCCGCACTTTTCTGTGTCTTATGTTGTGCCGGGGTACGTCTACGGGCGCAACGAGCTTATGACGGGGGACGCCCAGGCCATGAAGACGCGCAACAGCTCCAACAATCTCTTGATGCTGGCTTTGACGGGCGGCAAGCTTCCGTTCCCGGTGCACAACGGATTTGCACACGTGGACGACCTGGGGGAACTATACCTACGCGTAGCCCTCCTTGATGCTCAGAAAGCGAAGGAGGAACGGCTGCCGCAAGATTTTGGCATGGCCGTCAAGGTCGACTACGCCAAGGTGTTCTCATACGTCAAAGCTGCGTATCCCAAGGCTGTAAAGGAGGGAATTTTCAAGAAAGGGAACCTGCCCAGCTTCCAGACGTTTTATGACTCGGACGCTGCAAAGAAGGTGTTAGGGAGGGACTTTAGGAGCTTCGAGAGTGCCGTGGTCGATGTTGCAGGGCAGTATCTCGAGAGGTTAGGCAAGGAGAAGGCGTGACCATGTGGTGTATTGCGAGTCGCTTCTACTTACAATTCAGAAGCAGGTGCTCTGCGTCCTGCCTCGAAGAAGAAGAAAAAACAGAATACTCGTGCTTATAGTTGGTCCTTTGTGAAAGATTCATCTCTAGCTCATTACGAACTCTTGTTTCTCGCACAAACTCTGATGGACATTGTGAACCTCATCAAGGTCCCCACTCAAAGCAACCACAACGGTATTACTACAGTTGAACGGATAGACGCCTCGTGTATTTACATATTAGCTTTTATGATAATTATAATCTCCGACGAAATGAAGCTCGCTACGTCAAAGAAACTACCTATGAAATGGTCGTTTAGTCATAGTATAGGGTAGTCATAACATGAATTATCAGCCTTAGATTTGAACCAAGAGATAAAATGGAGTTATCTTCAAGGAGCCTCATTCAATTTTCTCGCTATATATTATTATATATTGCCTCTATTACCAATAAGCTTAGATATTAATAATAAACAAATGAGTCTAAATTTATTCAGTCGTACTGCGTTATGCAAAAGCTATCCTCAGGATCTAAATATCCATAACTACCACTGAGCTCTGTATAACTGCAGCGAGATTCTACTGCTTCAGGCAACTCGTGGTAGTCATTCCCCTTGCATGTGCAGAAATTCACCTTTTTGGTGTTGGTCGACTGGAGCCAGCAATGCGTTACTCTGTCTTATACGATCAGTGATCTTACTTAGGAAAAGTTTCCTTCTTTCTCTTCAGTCTTACCATTGGTACTTAGAGCGGTCCTTACCCTCCCTCAGATTTCACTTCACTTTCGTGCTTCTCCATCCTTTACCTATATCACTCCTCCCCCAAAACACCACTTTTCTCTGCAAGACACCATGACGACCGAACTTGACTTCACCACCTTCTACAACGTTATTAATGGCGAGTTTGAAGATACAATCAAGAAGAGGACGACCATCAATCCTTCAAATTTGAAGACCAACCTCTAAGTTCCCGTGAGCACGCAGGCTGACGTCGACAAGGCCATTCACGCCGCCTAGAAAGCATCAAAGCAATGGGCCGAGGTACCTTGGCCACAGCGAAAGAAAGCTCTCGAGGATTTCAATGCAGTATTTGAGTCTTTTTCGGAGGAATTTGCAAAGAATTTGGTCTGGGGGCATGGTAAGCCTGTAAGAGCCCGGTTGGGAATCCTTTACGAGACTTTCAGCTGATTTGAACCTTTTTCTTGGTTCGTTCAATAGCTCCTGCGGGCCAGAAATGAGGTCGCAACGGCTCTGATATTCCTAAATGGTTATGCTACGTTACCACTACTCTAGGAGGAGACTATCGAGGACAGCGCAGAGCGGAAAATCACGACAAGCTATGTTCCGGTTGGCATTGCGGTCGGTATCGTACCCTGGAACTACCCCATCTATCTGGCTAGTGCTAAGACTGGACCTGCACTGCTCACTGGAAATGCCTTCATCCTGAAGGCTTCGCCTCCTTATACTAGTCTCAAGATGGCTGAAGTGGCGTAGAGATTCTTCCCTCCAGGAGTCTTCCAGGCTTTGAGTGGCGATGATAGCCTTGGTCCTATGCTGACGTCTCACCATGACGTTAACATGGTCAGCTTTACAGGTACGAGCACACCATGATTTTTCTGTTTTGTGACCGCAATGCTGAACGAAAGTTACTTGTACAGGCTCAATCCCGACTGGTAAGGCCATCATGAAGAGCTGCAGCGGAACACTGAAGCATGTCGTTCTTGAGCTGGGTGGCAACGACCCTGCCATTGTCTGCGCCGATGCCTACCCGGTTTCCGCCGCGGTGAGAATCGGTCTCTTTGCCTTCTGTAACTCGGGCCAGATATGTATGTCCATCAAGCGCATCTACGTCCACGAATCCACTTATGATCAGTCCCTGGCCGCCCTTGTCCAATACGCAGGAGCTCTTGGTGTGGGAGTGGGCGAGACCGACTTCCTTGGCCCCTTCGCCATTGAACAGCACTTCAAGCGAGTACAAAGTCTGCTCTCTGGCAGCAAGGAGGCCGGGTACACAGTTGCGGCAGGTGGCACAGAGCGGCCTGCTGATAAGAAGGGCTTCTATATCCCTGCCACGATTGTTGACAACCCCCCTGAAGATTCTGCCATTGTGAAGGAGGAGCAATTCGGTGCGTATTCTGTTCAAAATTCGCTATTCTTCAGTTCTTGTTGGCCCTTGCTGATTTGGACTTAGCTCCCGTAATTCCTGTTATGAAATGGTCCGAGGAGAATGACGTGATACAGAGGGCCAACGGTACTGGTGGCGGCCTCGGGGCATCCGTGTGGACTCGTGATGACGAGCAAGCTACACGCATCGCTGGCCAGCTACAGTCTGGCAATGTATGGATCAATACTCATGCAGAGATTGAACCAAATACTCCTTTCTGCGGCCACGAACAAAGTGGCCTGGGAGTGGAGCATTCCTTGGAAGGTCTCAAGGCGTATTGCAATGTCCGATCCGTCTTCCGAAAACCATTTTAGGGTGTATTAGGGTAATGTTCTAGTATGGCGTAGCTAGTTTGAGGATATTCGTGGAAAAAAGGCCCGTCTAATCCACCTTCAAAAGAGACATTCAATGACTATTCTCGAGCCATGATAGTGGGAGGAAGTGTGACAACCGCTCGGTCTACGGCTCTCCTATGGACTACGCGTAAATGACGGTATCTAAAGCAGCTTTACGTTTCAGTTAAACTCCACAGAAATAATCACGTCTATTTACGTATTAATGTGTAGGATTCCCCTGGCTACAAACTACTTAAGAGAGAGGAGGCATGAACGGAGCTATGGTGAGGTATTGCATTCTAGGTACCTGGAGAAATTCACCCCCCCTGCTCATAACACAACTGAGGCGGGAAGACTTTCGACACTGTAAGGACTAGTATTCTTGTTCTGACTAAGAGAATATATTCTTCTTTAACCCCAATCCATCTGCTCAATCAAACGCTGTTATCAATCAAGCTATAAATGCAGCCAGGGACTAGAACTTCCAAGCCTGAGTGGCCTTCCGTGCCAGCCGGTACGTTCCGTCGAACTAATCTCCCCGTTTCTTTCAATCCTTTTTACTAGCGCCAAAGGCTGCTGCCGCCGCCTCCTTGTCAGCAGCCAACAGCTTCGCTATAGCTGGTCGGTTGATGACGCGGGCCCACCAAGCACTCACGGCGGTACGACTGTTGATGATGTCCCCATACCCGCATGCGAATAGCCTTTGGATGAGAGGAATGTAGTTAATATCTGTAAGTGTGAACTCATTTCCAGCCATGTAGTTCTTGTGCTGCAAGAGGCGCTCTGCAACATTTAAAAACGACTCGACCGATTTCAGAGCGTCCGCGACAACAGCCTCATTGGGGGGCAGCCCCATGAATTTCTTGGCGAATTTCTCAAACCCGATTCGGCCAGCAGGCTCCGCGAAGTAAATCATTTCTTCTGACTCGGCCTGGTCGAACAATGCCATACCTTCGGCGTCGGAGGCTGAAGGAAGAAGTGGAAAGGAGTATTTTCTCGCCAGATATTTGCAGATGGCACGGCTCTCATAGACAGTAAATCCGTCGGGGAAAGTGATGGCAGGTATTTTACCCCATGGGTGGCGTTTCATGTTTTCAGGGGACTATGTGTGTCAATGTTAGTTCCGTGTGATTAGACGTCCTAAACAGTTTTACTAAATGAAGAAGCAAACCCTTATGAAGGTATTGCCACTTCATGCACTCCCGAGGATGGGGACTATAAACGAACCTTTTGCTCTCCTTTTGCTAAGTTCAGAAGCACGAGTTCGTAATCCGTGAAGCCACCCTCGGCGAGAGTCAGGCGCACACGGTCGGTGTTGGTGGACCCATGAGCCCCGTAGAGAGTGAAAGCTGGCATTTTTGACGTGTGAAGGAACCTAGACACGAATCTGAGTTTGTCTGGGAGTCTACACATTGAATTTGAACGCCGTTCTATCTTGATTTGAGAGGGCAGCTACTCACTATATAAACTCATAGACCAAACGTCACTTGAAAGTCATCCAAACTGGCACAACGGCAGCGATACATGTGATTGGCGGATTCGCTCTCTCTGCCCAATCAAGCTAGTGCCAATGCCAGCCTCTAAATTCTTGCTGACAAACATTTGGAATCTGTTCGCTTGTGGCTCGTGCGTGGCTCAATGATGAGCGAGGTAGCCTCATCTGATTGGTCTGGTCGGTTTTCACCACGAATGAAGATGGCGGTGGATGAATGCACGTGACGTCGTGTCGGTCTTTCGCGTTTCCGGTCGGGTTCCGGCGATGAATTTAGCTGCACTGTTTGATTCGCTTGCTCGGATTTATTGCTTGCCACGGCTCTCCTCGCGCCTCGAGTCCGTTACGCGACAAGTGTAGGCGTCCTCTCTCCCCCTGACTATGGCCGGAACCCTCGTCGCATCTGGTCGGAGTACCAAGGGGAGAACCAAGGTGAAAACTGGTTGCGTAACCTGCAGGTCAGTTACCCCCACAATTCACCGATCGTGTTGGATTTGCACCATATACGGGGTCTGTGTGAACTAGTTATACTCAATCTCGAATAGAATTAGGAAGGTCAAATGCGACGAGAAGAAGCCATCTTGCCAAAAATGTACCAGCACAGGCCGCAATTGTGACGGTTACGAATCCCCGTTCAGACTCCACGTTCACAACAATCAACTCACCAACAATACCGACCATGTCTATGCTCGTGGCGTCAAGTTGCGCGTTGGGTTACAAACCATGCGTTATACTCCAAATGCGCTGAGCCCTGAGAGCATCAACCTTCTCTGCCGCTATTTCTCAACAAAAACCATATTCAATGTGCCCTTGGACTGTAATGAGGAAGCAAAGCAAGTTCTTCAAGCTAGCCTGACTGATACTCCGATACGTCACGCAGTTATGTCTCTCAAGGCTCTTCGGGAAGAGCTTGAATCGTCCGGAGATAAAAATCCAGCTTCCGTCGGCCGGAGAACCCCCAGCTGCGACTATGGCCTCCAGCAGTATAGCGTGGCATTGGCTGGTCTTGCATCAAAACTGTCGTCCTCAAGCTCGAGCGAGTTGAGGACAGCACTCCTTTGCTGTCAAGTCTTCATCAGCATTGAGCAAGTACGGGGCAATTTCGCTGCCATGGCACTACATATTGTTCGGGGGCTTGGTATCATGCGAGAGTTCCGGGCCAGGCCCAGTTTTACTATCACGAGTGAACTGCTGCCAGCGTACCGTGGCCAATTACCTTTCCTAGACGTTTTCATCGTCAAGCTCTTTGCTGCACCATGTAAGTTCGCGGAAGCTGCAGAAGCGGCTGACGGGAAAGCCATGCTGCCGAACGGGTGCTCGACATCGTCGCCTCAACAGGCTATCGAGTGTCGAGATCATCGCAGAATCGCGCCCAACATGCGTACAAAGCTGGTACATATTGCTACATCCACACTCGATTTTCTAGCCAAAGTGTCGCAAGTTGACACAATAGGAGCCGCTCTTCGGCTTGTGTCTGAAAAGGCGAATCTCCTGGACTCCCTAGACTCATGGCTTCGTGATCTTGAATTGGTTCAGATGAATACATCGGGTCCCGAGTCAATCTCAGTCTCCTTCCTGCGCTTTTTCTATTTGATACTGAGAATCGTGTTATTGGGGGCGTTAGAATCGCCATCACCAGATCTTTATGCCAAGCTGCAAACTGAAAACAGTGGACTACAAGAGGTGGCTGATGGTATTACGGAAAAAGTGAGGCTCTACAAATTAGCAGCTGGATGAGTCAAAAGAGGCGAGAGTAATTGCAAGTGTAAACAGTTAGTCCAGTCATTTTCATATCCAAATACCCAATAGCATTCTTTCAAACTCAATCAGTACTAGGCCATCTTACAAATCAAAGCGCGGTGGTTATTACTTCCCGGACTTTTCAGCGGGAAGTAAAGCCCGCTTCGGGACATGTGAGATTGCGTGCAATCCCCAATCGCAGTATGTTGAGCGAACGGACCAATCAGAGGTTGCTCCATTTAGAGCCACACCAACAGCTATAATCAAGAACATTGAATATATAAACAAGTCTTCAACCCAGATACTCTTCTACATCGGCAACTTTGACAACATCTTCCTTTCTAATAAGCTACGACAAATAAGAATTACAAAATTACCTTTTTTTTTTTTTTTTTTTTTTTTTTTAAACAGAGAAACAACATAGAATCTACTATCATGCATTTCCTGCTCCTTGGTGCCACTGGCCGCACCGGCAAATGCGTTGTATCCGACTTGCTTTCTCAAGGCCACACAGCGGTCGCCCTCGTTCGAAACTCCAGCAGTCTTCCCACTGATCCAAATCTAACCATCGTTACTGGATCGCCACTCTCAAAGGACGATATACGCAAAGCTATTACTGCGGCGCCTGGTCTATCGCCTGACGCCGCCATTGTCACACTTAACACAGTCCGCAAGTCTGATTCCCCTTTCGCAGCTCAATTATCACCTCCTCGCTTCTTGGCCGACTCATGTGCCAATGTCTGCGAAGTTCTGGAGCAGGCCGGCATTTCTCGCGTGGTAGTCATGTCGACAGCAGGCGTCGGGAGTTCATGGGCCAGAGTACCTTGGATAAGCAAGGCATTCATGGGGTGGACAAATATCAAATACGCCCTCGAGGATCACAACCTCGTGGATACGGAGATCCGGAAGACGAAAATGGATTGGACCTTGGTGCGAGCTGTGAGGTTGGAATTCAATGACCTGAAATCACCCGATGACAAGGCCAAGGACGTGGAAACATTGGGAAGTGCAGGCGACGGAATGACAGTATCCGACAGCGTTCATATTAATAGTGTGTCGAGATTCCTGGTCAAGGTTGCAGTCGAAGGGCTCTTTGTCAAAGAAGCTGTCGTTGTGAGGAATTGATGTGGTCGTGGAAGTTGAGGGACTCTCCAAATGGATTTGATTAGCTGCGACTTCTATTGTTTCATATCACATTTTTGACAGTATTTTAAATTTCATACTCTATTGCATTCTTGCTAGCTTCTCGTTGATATCTCTCGTAGTGCGTTCCCGCTCTGCATCATCCGCCGTATGGCGGGAGGGAGAGAAGATGGCAAATGATGGAGATATGCGGTAGCAAGTGAAACACTAGAGTAAAAACTCTTCCTTGGTCATTTCCAGAGCATCTTAAGTTCGCTATTCTGCATCTACGACCCCAACCATTATCTGTGTAGGTTCCCATTCCTCCCAAGGATCATATTCACCTTTACCATTTTCCTCCATCCCGAGTACTACGGCCAGGACTTTCTCTCTATCCTTGGACGGATCATAAACAACAAGAACTTCGCCGTCAAATTTCCTTTTGAAGAACTGATACTTCAGTACTCGGAGCGCATCCGCGCCACTAGATAACAACAGCTCCGTCATCTCATCATTCTCCTGAGATATTGCCGAGACGACGGGACATAGCATTTCCCGGTCCTCGACGTTGGGATCCGCCCCATGTTGCAACAATATCTCGGCCGCCCATATATTCCCCTCCTCGGCTGCGATATGAAGAAGAGTTTTGCTGCCGCGGGCTGTGCACCGAGCATCAGGGTCGGCGCCAACACGCAGTATCTGGCGGAGACAATTTTCATCGCCCATGCCATAGGCCAGATCCATGATTGTCACCCCATCGAGTATCTCCTTGTTCAGATCAATGTGGTGGTCGGCAAAAGCCTGGAACATCTTGTACTGGCCAGACTGGAAACAGGCAAGCAGAGGGCAGCTTCCATTCTGGTCCTTTTCGTTGATGTCTGCGCCGCCTCGGATCAAGACACTCGCCATCTTCTCATCCCCGTTGCAGATGGCGTAGTGTAGAAGCGGTGTCGAATCTCCAAGGATACCTCTAGGCTTAGCACCGTGCCTGAGCAGTAGAGCAGCTGACTCGAAATATTTGTGACAGACTGCAAATTCCAAGGGCGTCCCGCCCGAGTCGTTCTTGTAGTCGATGATGTCCACGTATTCCTTCAACTGTAGGAGCTCCTCCAGTCCGCGTATATAATTAGCAGCTACAGCCACATGGATGACCGTGTTTCCATAGGAGTCTCCGCTCTTTGGATCTGGTAGATCTGGCAAGCATGCCAGAGACGGACCATGGTCTGGAGAAGGCTTTAGACTTTCAGTAATGGCGAAATTCTGGACTGCATTTCTTTCTTGTTCATCTTTTGCCGATGTAGAATGGCAATCCTCGACTTCCTTCTGGCTATTGGCAGCTCTGGCTGGCAACACTTGACAGCCAGAATCAGGCGCAGCATCCTCATCTGGCTCTCCAGGGCCTGGAGTTGGTCCGAGCCTAGGTGTAGCAGAGTATAGGTCAACCTCCTCGTCTGGGACCGCGATGCCGCCAGTACTAGCAGTTGGGCGAAAAGGCGCAAAAGTCCCAGGTTTTTTAATGCTGAGCAACCCTGTCTTAATGTGTTCAAACAATGGAGTAGCGGGACAGTCGTTGGCCCAAGGCCCGACTCTCGCAGCCGCAATACATCGCCAGCCGGGTGGCAGCCCGTCTACGCTCGCCCAAACCCTATGATCGTCTCTCATCGTATCCATGTCTTCCTTTGTCCCCACGTGCTTGATTCTAGGCAAAGCCCAGGTTGTCTTGGGTGGATCCGACTGCTGGCTCTTTGAGATTGGTATCGGCCAACGCACGGTGCCTCCCAAGCCTTTCACCCCAGCGAATGGTATTTCTCCATCCGAGAATGGCTGTACTGTCTCCAATAAGGACTGGTACTCGTCATGCGATAGATTCATCTCTTCCGGCATTTCAGTTCTCTCGCATCCCGCATCGAGAAGGAGGTTCTGAATTCCTTCAAGGTCTTGAACCCATTTCTCACGATGGATGGGACCACCCTGAGATATCGAACCTGGGAAGTGGGATGAGCCATACGGGGATTCACTGGAATGTATCAAAGACAGGCCAGCTTCAACGAAATCAAGTGCCGTCACTTTTGGTACGAACCGAAAGCCCATCTTCAAATCATCGTCCGCCCCGTCGGGTGTAGCGGAAACCGCCATGTCAAAATTCCGTTCCCGCAGCAGCTTGACTGATTCGATGTGGCCGTTGCCAACCATAAAGTGCAACAGACTCCTACCCCTGATGAAGTCTGTATCAACTCGAGAAGCGAAAATTTCGCTTTCAAGGAGGAACGACAGAAGGGCCCTATCCCACATCTGGTCAGAAAGGCTCAGAGGCCGTGTCAGCCCGTATATGGCCAGCCAGACCGGTGTACCCTGTGCGCCGTAGAAATGCTCGCCTCCGTGGCCCCTGAGCCACTCAAGACTCTTTATATGTCCTGGGCCGCGATGGCGCAGCCAGTCAGCCACCAAGTCGGAGAAGATGGATTGCCCGCTGTAGGGGTCGCTACTAACGAGTGTCTCAAGCTGGTCCTGGGTGCACGTGTCTGCGATCAGGTCGGCCGTTTCCAGGTGGTGTTGCTGAAGCGCAAGGGCCAGTGGTGTGTGGCCGCTGCTATTTCTCGCCATTATGTTTGAGCCATTGCGCAGTAGCAAGCGAGCACATTCTGTGCTTCGGTGCGTCCAACAAGCAAGATGAAGAAGAGTCCAGTTACCACTGCCCCTGTTTCTGAAACTTGGCGAGTCACCGTGCTTTTCAACCAAAACCCTCAAGCACTCTGTAGACTCCAGAAGAACACAAAGTTCCGCTATGGAGGGTTCGGAATAGATCCCTTCAGAGTTGCGGTCGCGCATAGCGGCGAGTACAGAGAGTCCTCTATCCTCAAAATGCTCGATGAATAATGCCAGGGTGATTGCATTATCGCCCACGACCGCCTTAAATAGAGCGTTGCCTCCCGTAATGTCAGCGGCGCCCTGTAGTGGGTTTGCTCCCATTTCAAGTAGACAGCTCAAAGTATTTTTGTAGGATGAATTGTAATCTTTTCCGTGTAAAAAGTTTCTTTCTATGAGTATCTCACGGTCTATGAGAATAAGATCTTTCAAAAGGGCTGAAAGATCAACCGCCATCGCCGCACCGCTGTCTTGGGGTAAACCTTGGCACAAGTCAGGATTGTCATCATAGAGCCCCAAGAGTATCTGGCAAACCTCGGAATGGAGATACAAGAAGCTTAGGGTCAACGCCGATGCGAAATCAGCTATGGGAATGTCAAACTCAAGGTGAAGAGACATGATCTCAAGGGCTAGTGCCGTTCTTCCGCGCCTGATGGCTGCTGACAAGGGCGACAGAAGTTGCGGGACTCGTGATCCAAGATCATCAAAGTTGTTGTTTATTGGTATCTTCTTCTGGCCGTTGTCGAGGATTGGGGATAATGCGGTTGCCATAAGAGTCAGCTTCGCCCCCTTGAGATACGCGAGTCGAGCAAGCCCTGCAGCTTCTTCATCCGTCAAATAAGATAGATCGTGTAGAAGACGCGAGATGAGGTCATTGAAATCTGCCGTTTTGATTTCTCCTTCTAGAATCATTTTCACTTCGTCAACCATTCCATGAAAGATGGCCTCATGAAGACTGGGCGGGACAGCAACGAGGCTCTGAGATGGCGACCGATCCAAGTACGAACCAATTGTGAGACCCAGGAAATGATCATCATGGGAATCAAACTGATTAATGACTTCTTTGTACGGTATACGTCTTTCCCCTAGAATGCGCCGCACCATTCTAAAGTGTGAAGGCCAGTGGATAGACAGCAATTGCGTTGCCCAAGTTGAGTATGCGAGCGCTAGAGAACAAAGAAAGAGTCGCATTGGAAATTCAGTTTCCAAACGCGAGCCAATACTCATTGGGCAGACAATGGAAATTGCTCTTTTGAGACCATTGACGGCCGACAGGCGAAGCAATTCAATGCCTTTCTCTCGGTTGCGACCAAGATCAAAATATTCCATAGCCGCGGCAAAGGCAGATTGCGAGACCAAGCTCCCGCTGTCGATGTTCCATCCCGCAAGTACGAATTGCTGGATAAATGATAACAACTGTTCTAAGAATTCGTCAGAGGTCATCTCGTCTCGCAGCTCAGCAGGAATATCGGCTTGCTGCTTGATCGTTGTTCGATGAGTTAGACCCTCAACCCATTGATGTTCATGTCGCCGTCGGTTCCGGGACAGGTTTGGGAGAAGGTCATAGTCTAACGCGGTATCCTTGACTTGAGGTTAATGAAGCGATTTCTTGCCATTTTTGCCTGTCAGGAATTGCTGGAAAGACTCACCTCGTTGTCGGGCGCTCTCAAGTCCTCATTAGTCAAATACTCCTCGTTACCTGCTATTGCACTTCTCAATGATGACATGTTGCTGTAGAGCTGCCTAGAGCTAGGACGCTTGGAAGGAGAAGCGGATAGGGAGGCTTGGAAAGCTTTAATAAAGTCAGAGTAGTCTGCCGAGTCTTTGTACGAGGTCTGAAGTAGATTCATCAAGCAACCAAGGACTTTATCCTCCCTCTTCAACTTCTGAACAGGCTCTACTGCGTCCTTGCCTGGCTCCTGTGGAGCCATTGCAAGAAGCAGGTTCGAGCTGCACCATTCGCTCAGGCTCTCGGTGCGAGCCCAAATGCTTGCGGCGATAAGCCCGAATGAGTACACGTCTGCCCTTTCCCAGTCTATTTCAGTCCTGTCGCGACCTAAAGAAACCTCGGGGGCACACCACAAAGGCGTGAAATAGAGCGGCTTTCCTCCGCTCTCCGAGGCATCCACTGCACCACCAAAGTCGATGAGCTTGGCAACCACCTGACGATGAGGGTCTGAATATGTAGAGATAATGATATTTGCCGGCTTGAGGTCCCCATAGAGAAAGCCAGCTTCGTGTACGGCATGAAGCCCAGAGGCGACATCAATGGTTATATGTTTCTTTTGCATCATTGGCAGCGAGGGTCCTCCTTTTTTAATAAGATAGTCGAGTGTCCCATGGAGCCCAATCTGGATGGCTAGCATGGGAAGCGGACTGTCTTTTGCCCATCCCACGAAGCAAAGCTTGGCGATGTTTGGGTGGTTCTTGATCGCCGGGTGGCGCAACATTTTGATTTCCTGGAGAATAGGGCCAGCTCGCTTCATGACAAGAGGTCTATCCTCGCCGCTGTCGTCTTGCTCTCTACTCTCAGCCTTTACCAAGGGGACTTTGACTGCAACAATTGTCCCGGACGGTATGATATGGGATAATGTAGGTTCGGTAACATGCTGCACGACCCGGCAAGTCAGCCCATTTCCCAGTTCGAGCATCTCTGCGCCATGGGTTTCCTCATCCACGACTCGTAATTCCTCGAGGTCGCACTCGGGGATCCCATCCATGCCTCTTCGCGACAAGAGTTCCAAAAACACCAACGCCTGCTTGATCTCCTCTTTCTCATCGGGAGTCGCTTCGTAGAGATTCGAGGTGAACTGCGGTCTAGCCGAAACATCTTCATCAATAGTCGCAGAGAAGAATCTATCCGAACGACTCATGGTCCAGTTTTGCTTTAATAATGAAACTTGGTAGAAAGTAAATCACTGCATGTAATAGACTTGGCATCGAAAGAAGCACGGAGAAATTTGAAGACCAACCACTAGAGGGAGAGGCGATAACTTGGACTAGATGTCTATATTTGGGAATCGACTCATCCAGGAAAAGTGCACTTCTGCCTGCCCAGAGTATCATCCAGCTGATCACCCCGGCAAATGTGTTGGCGGACACGTCAGCATTTGGGCTCCAAAACAAGCAACCTGACTCATTCATGAAGCCATCGACTCATTAAAAATGCCATTTGGCGCCTAGACGTAACCAAGCGTATCCCATGTAGATACCCTCATCCTAACCTCATTCATTTCCCAACATCATGGAGGCTGCCGGATTTGCCCTCTCCGTTGTCGCAATCCTCCTATCAATCAAAGGTGCCATCGACACGGCAGTCTTCATTGAGTCTTGCTTCGACGGCTCCAAGTCCGAGTACGGTAGCACCGCTCTCGCGTACCACATCGAGAAAGTGAGGCTGCAGCTATGGGCAGAGCATTGCAGGCTCAGCGACCCGTTGCTCAACATCCTCCGGGACCGCCCTGACCTGATACAGAAGGCTGTGCTGCAGGTCCTGCGCGAGGTTGAGCATCTGCATCACGAGGCGAGCAAGTTGCTGACCAAACACAAGATGAAGCTACCTCATCTCCCCGGCGACCATGAAGACGCCGCCCTCGACGCTTCCACGACGGCCATGACCTTGATCACTGGTTCTCAGGGCGACCAGTCGTCATTGTTGTCGTCGTCGGTGCGACAGACGCACAGGGTCAAGTCCAAGATTAGATGGCTCATCAAATCCAAGCCTGAATTCGAAAAGATCATATCCGACCTACGCGAGCACAACAAAGCTCTACGCGACCTGACACTCACGCCAGCTGAAGCCCGTGTACTCATACACACCCTACCATGTAGAGTCTTGCCAGCACTAGATAATGCCTCTGCCTTGAATGCCCTCGACGAGTCGGGTGCCACCTACGACCCGGCCATAGCCTTTTCCGCTCGAGCAAAAGCAATCCAGAAGAACTTGGCATCATCGCAAGGTCTGGGTATATCTGCAACCCTTATCGCCGATCGCCAACTCAAGGCACTCGGCGGCTCATTTCCTGATACCAAGCTTCTTCACTGCACTGACGGAAGACAGATCCAGGTCTGGGTCGAATGGAAGGTGCTCAGCCTGGGAGATGAATCCGCACAACAAGCCAAACGCATCCAATCAATGGGCTACCTGCTGGAGCAGGTTGGCGAGCCAGTTCTCCGTCTTCCACGCTGTTATGGGCTAATCGAGGACTTCTCCTACATGGAAAGCCACGGAGCCAGAAGAATGGGCTATGTGATGGGGCCGCCCATTTCCCCCTCACCTCGATCATTCGAGAGCAACATTGCCAAATACCCGCCTTGCAGTCTCGCCGATCTTCTGAGAACCCAGAGCGGCGGAATGGCTATTCCACTGTTAGGCGACCGATTCGCGCTTGCTTATTATCTGGCGTCTGCTTTCGGGCTTTTTCAATCAACTGGTTGGCTGCACAAAGGCTTCCAGAGCAAGAGCATCCTACTCTTCAGAGGTGAGGGACCAGATGCAGTGCTCAGCGTACTCGATCCTTTCATCACAGGATTCCAGCATTCCAGACCGGACAACGAAAACTCTTTGTCTCACGGACCTCTGGAGGACAAAGCGACTGAGTACTACTACCACCCAGACGCTCATCAGGGATTCACCAAGACGCGCGACCTCTACAGCCTCGGGGTTGTCCTCTACGAGATCGCTCGCTGGAATCTGGTCCCGGACACAGTCAGGCCCGAGAAAAGGAAGCGCCTAGTCAATCGCGCGGCGTGGAGAGATCACATGGTCGCAAAGGCTCTCCCGGAGCTGGGATGGAGGGCGGGCGCCTACTATCAAAAGGCTGTTGGCGCTCTTATCCAGGGAGGTGTTCTTCCGGAAGAAGGCGAGGGCGGAGATGACGGTGATTATTTTGCGCAGCAGTATTATGACAAGATTATACGGCCTTTGAGTATGTGTTGCGCATAGTAAATTGTGATTCTATCCATTGGAAGTTTAAGGATCAGTACTACGCAGCTCAGTATTAAGGACATTCAAAAGGACATATGCAACCAAAGCTGAGGTGACCTTCATCTCATTTTTCTTCTATGGATGCGACTCTTAATTTCTATCTTGAGTCTACAAAAGCGATTGCTCGCAACGTCAACTGAAGCAAAATATCAAATAAATCAAATTACATCGTGGAAATGTGGCTGATCAACGATATCTCTTCGGCCCAAATCGTACCTAGATATCTCCATCCTGGATTTCCACCTCCAAGAATCGATTCCTGCTTGCTTCTCCAGCTGACCATTCGAGCTGGATACGGTGTAAAGACCGTGCAGCGGCTGAGGGCAAATTGCGTGCAGGCCCGTCCAATTGAGTGTCAGAAAAACAAGTACTGCAAATTCGCCTCGACAAAATTATTACGGCAGTCAGTCATATCATACTGGGTCCTATTGCATAATAATTACTCGATAGTTTCCTCTTATTATTACTAACTATCAACTATATCTATCAATATTGTGGCTTGCATTGGGGAGCTGAGTAGAAACACCTATGCAGCTCCTGTTAGTTTACCGCCCACTTGCCCTCTTCTGGTGGGATTTCTGATCAATCAACATGGCTGCCATTTCTTCATATTGGCACTGCAGGGAAGAAAGCAACGCTGTGATCCAAGACATGGTCTGGAACAACAAAAGCACTGGTAAAAACCCACCAAGTTGTGCTTGGAGTGCAGATCCTTTGCACGTTCTTCCGTATTTGGATTAGACACAATCATTGGCCTTTTCTGAAAGAACCTTTTAGTGCAGCTGAAGGCAGATCGTCAATGCAGTATGATATAGGAGCTGAAACCGAATATGGGCTTGGCACGCAACTACTGTGCAAGCAACGAATAGGAAGGGAGTGGAAAATGATCTGTCGATTTTCCTAAGCCTTCTCGCCTCTTTCCTCTTCGCTATTCCCAATGGCTTTCCCTTTTTGTTCGTTTCGTTTGTCTTTCTTTTTCTGAGCCAAGACAATTGGTGATAAGGACCAACCAGGTGATTCGTAAACTTGCGCATTCGTAAGCCCTAATGAAACTGGGAAAGGTCTCGGCGTCAAAGAGCGGTGCGGCTGAGCGAAGGCATCGACGGTTGCTTTCCAAGTCGGCCGACCTGGTTCTTCGTCATGGAGAGTCTCAAAGATAAAAGACCGCTACACCGAGACAGAATTCTCTCTCCTGGACCACGTCACTGACACCTCTCCCCATCGACAAACCTGGTTCCTGGAGTCCGACCCTCGCGACTCATCCAGCTACCAGGTCAGACTCCATAAGAGGGCCTGGGCACGCGGGGTATTTGCATTATTCACCTGTATCGAATCAGCACGTCCGCTGATTAGGCACGTCATCCCCTTCCCCAGCCAATCCTGTCTGTCCCGCACAACCCACATCCGATTGCACCAGATCCGGTAGCACTGATACAGGGGTGTGTAGATCGATCCTCGATCCTCGATCCGGCAGAATCCTTAATCTTTAGAAGACTATATGCTCCAATAGGAAACACCATTCCCCCGATTGCGAACTTTTTAACGATTGCAAGATGTCCAGCTCGGACGGCCCTACTCAGGGCACTCCTACTCAAGGCACTCTCACTCGAGGCACTCTCACTCGTGGCACTCCCACTCGAGGCACTCTTACTCGAGGCATCCCTATTCAATGCGCTCCCCCGAGAGCGCAGACAGACGCAAGGGAACCTGCAGTATTGCCCAATGGGGTCAGCATTGGGGTCAGCAGACAATATGCTGTTCCTCCTCGTGTATGGCAAAAGCACCCCCATGTACACTCCCAATTCTCTCCAAATATATCTAACCATCGTAAATTTTAGCCAGGTCGAGGTCGAGGCCGGAGACCCAACAGACCGGTCACCCAATCCAGGTTTAGCACAGAATATTATGAAGCAGTGGCGCAGAAACGACAGTCGGGATCGGTTTGTGTCATGTGCAAGACCAAGAAGTCAACAGTGGGTATCTGGCATACATTTGCTAATTCTCGTCGTTCGGTTCCTTATCAGAGTAATAACTAACGCCGCCGTTCCGAGCTACAGTGCACAATCGATCCCAATGCACCTGATGGGCCGTGTACAAGATGCGCCCTGCACAGGAACCCATGCGTCCGCAACCGCATCGAGGAATCCGCCCTGTACAGGAACCAAGATGCCCCATTCGGCTTCTTCAGCCAGCGATGGCAATCAATGGAGATGATAGACATCTCAGAGTGGGCCAGCGACAACGTAAGGACTATCAACATGAGCGTCAGGTATCTCAATGCGCCCTACGAGCTCAAAGTGAGGGAGTTCGTCCCTATCCGAGGCGACATGCTTGAAGAGCAATGGCCAACAAAAAATGGTCAGGTTGTACACTATCCCCTTCCAGCTTACGGCATCGCTACCATGGAGGAGGCAGCCGTTTCTATCGGTAAAATGATAGAGAGAGAGATCTCTAATTTTATCCAGGCGACCTTGCATGAGCGCGTCTCGAACGGTTTTGTTTGGGACACGTACATGACTGCTTTCCGGCGGGCGGGAAATGCACCGGTAAGAGACACCATTTTATGGTTCCCATCAACTGTTCTGAACATCTTCGTTCGATATTGATAGGTGTAACTAACAGTTTCGAAGACTGGAGAAGAAAGATCACTTCTAAATCTCACTCTTCGGCTATGGGTGCTCTGCCGTATCAATTGCAATTCTGAGCATATTGTCGGTGAAGATAAACTAGACACACCGACTGTCGTTGATCCGGATAGTCCGTATCATGACAGCGTCCCCGCGTCTCCCGTTCTAAATGCTCAACTTGAATGCATATATTATACCAAGTTTCTGCGTCCTTGGAGCGAGAGTGTTCTCCAGCTGCTGAGATCCTTGATGGAGGCCAATCGCAGGGAATACTGGCTCACCATTTATCTAACGCTTTTCCTACTCCTCCACAGCTGCTCCATGACGACTAGGAGAGATAAGGAGTATGCATCTCAGATCAGTCTACCGGTACGTCCTACGGCATTTCCTAAGCTTCGTAAACGTACTCGAACTAATCATTCGTCAGGCCACATTCTGCAATCCGAAAGGCATCAACGAGCATAATTATGGCTCCAAGACGCTACTGGCTCAATTCCATATGGCCTTGAAAGGAGGCCTCCCATTCCAGCAAGCATTGGCGGGGGGTCACCAGGCTCAGAAACTCTCAGATATGTTGACACCAAGCGAGATCGATTTTGTACGTTCGTCAGCGATCCAAGCAGCTGCCCTCAGTGAGTTTTCCCACAGTCGCCAGCTTGTTTATATCGAAGAATAACATTTATTATTTTGAAGAACCGCAATGGGATCGGGTCCGTGCCTCTGGGGAATGGGGGGATGATGATTTCTGGACATCTCAGCTCTTTGACGGTGTTTGGGTCCCCGGGCTGATGCATTGAGGGAGCCCGAATGGGGCGAGAAGGGAATTGACTCAATGTACTTGAATACATTTGAGGGGTGAATTTATTGTGTCTTGCATTTCAATACAAAAAACAATATTAAACATAGTTCAGAAACTCAATTCAATATATCCCGTCTGGACCTTCAAGAAGCAGCCAGTATGTGCTAACCTGATATGGAAATGGATGTGTGCTGTCTTGACGTCAGATTCAAGCTCTCCGTTATCTCCGAATTTAACCCGCCTGTAACTGGATCTGCGAATTTCAACTGGGAGAGACACCCAGAAAAAAAAGCCACGTTACATGGCGCTTCCGCAACTACCGACAATCTTGAGATTTCAACCTCACGCACGCCGCACTTCTCCTCATGGCTCCGGCATCCCCGGCCCTGGCCAGTCTCCCCGTCGAGCTCTGGCGCCATGTCCTGCAGAACCTCATGTTGCACCGGCTGGCGCCAGACCAGGCCCAGCCTGACCCCGACTTCCTCGCCAATCGGAATGCCCTGCGAGAGCTCTGTCTGACCTCGCGAATGCTGTTGGCTATGGCCCGACCGCTTCTCTACGAGACCATCGTTCTATGTCCCACTGTAGTGTTGCCTTTTCGGCATGTCTATGATAACGCCGTGGATCCTCTCGTGCGTTTGACCTTGACCCTGGCCGAAAACAAGAGCTTGCGACCATGGATAAGCAACCTGGCTGTGTTAATTCCACTATCAAACACGGACGATGTGTGTGACGTAATGAAGAGGCGTATCGACGAGTCCTGGCCTGAGTTCTGCAACTACCTAGAGCAACCAGGTGTCGGTGAAAGGGATATTCTTTCCGCCGTGGGCTTAATCACAGGTCCTGGCGAAGAGCCGGTGCCAAGAATAGTGGCTACGCTGCTGGCCATGGCCCCCAATTTAGAAAGTCTGCTTTTGCTCGATCTCCTGAGCCCGGGAACCGAGGTGTTTGACGAGGCGGTCCTCAACCTAGTCGACTCCCAAAGCACCAAAGGCAAGTTTCTTCCAGAGCTGAAGACGCTGCAATTCCAGGCTGCATTCGGCAGGAATCGATATGCACCATCGGCAAACTATTGGGATACTGCCTTTGAAGGTGGTCTTTCAACCTGTCTAATAAACCTTCCTCGTCTGGGTCGCATGGATGTGACCTGCAACTACATAGACAATATCAATGTGGATGCACAAATCCGCAATGGCCCTGTCCATCTAAATGAGCTGAATCTGATCGTCACTGGTGGTGTTGCACCACTTGGGTCTCTCATTGGATTGGCAAACAATCTGACCTCGCTATCCATCGACTTCCGGGCTCCTGAGCCTCTTTACTCAATTACCGGTGCACTACCTGAGGCTGATCTCAACCCCATCCTCCTCGAAAGGGCTGGGACTTTAGAACGTCTAGTTCTGAGGACCACTACGTGCCCTTATAAGCACATCTCAGAGCAACTTGGGCCACTGGAGAAACTCATATGTCTCCCTAGCCTCCGTCAACTCACCCACCTCTGCATAGAGCCTTACTTGTTTCTGGACTGGCTCAACGTCAACACCTGGCCGAGGTTTCTCAGAACACTGCCCCCGAATATCGTCTACCTGAAGCTTCTGTTTGTCCCAGAACGCGGGGAGGACCTGGCACGGATATGGGGTCGCAGCGGGATGGGCGCTGCGCTCCGAGCCCCAGCCCACAAATGGCGAGCCAAGGTTCCGCATCTCCGGCACATACACCTTGAGCCGCTGCCTTTTTCGCAGCACGCGGTCGAGGAACTTAAGCAGGACTTGCAGTTGGCTGGCATCGCACTTACGTGGCGCGATCTTGAGGCAGTGGAGCTGAGCCTTGACCTTGCAAGTCTGAGGATTCATTGACGAATTACATGTTCAGATAATCTCAACACAACTGGCTTTCATTCATCACATTCAAGGAGTGGCCAAATGTTCAAAATATCGTGACAATGTCAACATGAATTCCACAGACATCGTTTCCTTTCCAAATTGATCCACAAATGTGAAAGAAGTCAAGTCTAACAATATCTCGGGTCTATGATTCCACATGTTCCCAATATGCAACCTCAAGATGTAGTCAAGGAATAGTCCATGAATTTCGGGTCTATCAGTGGTAAACTCCATGAAGGAAGATGATGGGATATGCTCATTTCGAGAAAAAAATCTACAGAATTGGGGTAGGTACATGCGCTGAACTGCATGAATGGGATATTCAGCTATACATGATCATCATGCCCATTCGGGTTGGCCGTAATATATCACAAAGGTTTGTTTTGTCTCGGCTTGATCCATTTTTTAATCTTAATATGCGCTACATCTGGTCAGTCGGGTAGTAAGGCATATGCAGGCCGACCCTTCTGGTTGTATCACCACGACCAGCTGAGTTCAGGTTGCATCAAGGCGCATCATGCGAAATCAGGCATTTATGAGCTATTTCATAACTGCCTTAGGCTCCCAGAAATATCCCAGGCGACTTGTGTTTTCAAAGAAAAATCCATGTCGCCCGCTAGATCATTGCTTAGCAGCATTCTTCCTTCAGACCCTTCATTCCTCAAACGTATCAACTTGTCTTGTGCCCAGTACACCTTATCATGGCTCCTACAACTATCTCCCAGTCTGCGTCCGCCTTATCGCAAACATCTGGTAACAGTGGCCAGCGATCGGGCCGTACCTTGGCAATCCTGGGCTGTGGTTAGTCTCTCTCCTCGGTGTTGCAGCACCTGATGTAAGATCTATCTAACAATAGATCACTAAACTAAAGCGCCATGGGGACCGCAATCCTTAGTGGGATCATCTCATCTCAAAACTCCAGTTCTGGGACACGGGAAATTGATCTACTACTGACCCGATTCATCGCCTGTGTGCGACGCCCTCAATCAGCAGATGCCATTCGCTCGAAATTGCCACGCGAAGCACTGGATTCGACCGTGAGTGTGTGTGTGAATGACAATCGTGCTGGAGTACTGGAGGCAGACGTCATCTTGTTGGCTTGTCAACCACATCTCTACAAACCACTTCTTCCGAAATCGGGAATATGCACAGCGCTCAAAAGCAAGCCGATCATCTCGGTGCTGGCAGGTGTCCCCTCGGGTGAGATCGAGCACCTCCTTCGTCAAAATCCCAACAAGGGAAGAAAAGACATCTATGGTTTGGATGCTTTCTCCGTTACTCGTGCCATGCCCAACGTCGCCAGCGCGGTGCAGGCCTCAAGCACCGTCCTTGAAATGGATCCGCGGCCTCACCTCAAAGACATTACTGCCACAGCGCATGCCATTTTCTCGTGTGTGGGCACTGTTTTCACTACCAAGCCTGAGAATTTTGGAGTTTGCACAACCCTGAATGGGTCAACTCCGGCATTCTTCGCAATGGTGATTGATGGCCTCGGAGATGGTGCTTTGGCATTGGGCCTGTCGCACACCGAGGCGACGCAGATGGCGGCGACCGCAATGCGCGGGACGGCTGATTTGATCCTGAGCGGCAAGTCGACGCTGGATCTGCGCTACGAGGTCGCTTGCCCTGGCGGCGCGACGATCCAAGGACTCGAGGTGCTCGAGGAGGCACGAACTCGCGCCGTCTGGATGCGGGCCATGGCTGCGGCAACGTCAGGGCAGGGCTCTCTTGGGGACACACTCAGGTTGCCACGCAGAGGGATCTAGATCTGTCATGGTGTACGAATACGAAATTCTTCAATAAATGGCTTTCGACTAGGTATTGAGTTGTATATCAATCTCCGGTCATGTTGCTACAATGCTACTCACCCTATGCATCACCTACCCTATAGCTCATCAACGCATATGCCATCCCAACTTGACACCAAGAAACAATATATTAATAGAATAATAAACCGAAATATCAAAAACACTAACTCAGGTCTAGGGCTACTGATTTATAAGAGAGGTGTTGGGTTATAGGTTGAGTGAAGCACATTTAGACTTTGATCATGTACGCACATAACAAACAGTTTGTGATGCCTTCCTTGTTCTGAGTTGAACGAGGAAGGATTAAGTAAGCATCTGATTTGGAGCGCGTATCCTTGCTGTATTATGTAATCAAAACAATGTGTTCTAAAAGCAATGAGCGCGTCACTCCAAGGCAAATCCCTTCCGTGCCGGGATTAATTTAAGGGAGCATTGGGTTACAAGCATCCCTAGATGGATGTGTGGAAAGCATTGCCATACTTTCGACAATATTCCCCACCGCTATGCCCTCTCAGTATTGGTGCCAGCTCGGAAGACCGATTTCATCTATCCCTACCCAGCTGGCCAATTCACCGAGAGGACAATCCCGCGGGATATTCATTGCTAGGTGAGACATTGTTCGGTGAGGCAACTCTTCAACAACGATTATGTCGCATGCGGGCTTCTCCGGATGGTATCATGGTACAGTCGAGCTGGATCAACTGAACGGTTGGCTCAATTAATACGCGTGTAGCATGAGACACGGCGCATTGCGGGAGAGAACGCCCTCAAAAACTGGTCTTGCCTTTCCACATACGCTTAGCTGGTTCAACAAGTAGACTTCCGTCCCTCGTAGTATGGGTGGAGTAGGAACGAAGGCAACGGGCGAACCATGTACATCCGCCCTTGTCATCTCCTAGAAACAGACTACTACAGAGATGCCAAGAGTTCCGGAGTGATCCGGCCAATCCGCGGGCCGCTGCCTTCGCTGTTTCCGTCAGACTGCTTTCGTCAATGGCCATGTCTCACATGCGATATCACAAATCTCAGATGAAGATTATGCCATGCGGACACAAAAATTGCCTCCCTGGCGAATCTTTGATGTAGAATTATCATCCCTCGCACGTCGAGGACCGAAAGCACCGGCCCATTCTTCAAACCAACCTAATCACCGGTTGAACGCTTAGATGTCCTGATAACTAAGAGCTTGATAACCTTCTTGTTGTTTGCCACCATACCGGGTATGGAATGTTGCACCGTCCCGATTTTTAGAGGTTGCAACTTTTGCGTAAAACTATCGGATGTGAGCATGTACCGAATTGAGACGGCCCGCAAGTGAGAGCCCCTCGATGATTGCAGTGTACTGTATTTGAAACACGAATTTTAGTTGCCGACACGCTATTTGACGCTACGGCGAATGATTGCCATAATGATGCACCCGGTTTGGTTAGTCAGAGTTCTTCCTGACCGAAACCGGGACGGAGAATGTGATTCAATCTCTGTTGGCATGCGGCTTATCTATGATAGAGCTGATAGAACTCCATCCTTTCCGACGGGAGTCTCAGAGTGGTCTGCCAAAAGCCTGGACTATGTGGATCCTGATCATCTTTAGTATGATCGGCTTCATATCATGGACTTTTTGCATCTGTACCCTTAACAACCTCTAGTGCCAGCATTCCAATCCCTTAATCACATAGCGCTTCGGTGATAGAAACAGGGTCCTGCCGTATCCGGCGGGAAAGGGAACTCAGCTCCTGGCTGAAACTGAACTTAGAATATTGGCATAGCCCAGAACCATAGGTTCCGTCTGCAGTGTCAATCTGAAAGCAGATATGTGGCATGAGTCGGGGGCCGCAATCTTGAGAGGAGGTATATATGCCGGCTGAATCTTGGTTTAGCTGTCTAAGAATTTACCTTCCCTACACTTCTCAGTACACTCAATTCACCATGGCTACTCAACAAATCGAAATATTGCATAGCCATCATGTGCTGCCCATTCTCCAGAAGAATGGAATTGTGACGCAAGAAACAGAACTGCTTGATGAAATTCCTGACAGCCCCCAGTATGCGCCCATCCCTGAAACGGATCCTCGCATCAATGACGCCCCCCAGCTCGACGCAAAGGCAGAATGGTACTACATACAGACTCACCTTCGCGATGGGAATTCCTCCACATCCGATGATCCTAGTCATACCGTGATCGTTTGCCTCTTCCGCCAACACACCGACCCAGAACTGGACTCGACCAGGAAGCATAACTGGGCTGCCATCTATCTGACCCTCGACTGGAAGACGCAGGAGTACACCCACGTTTCGAAAGTGCCCGCCAGTGCACCTTTGTACCTGGCAAAGAGCCTTGGGGAGAACCCCACTGGCGTCGGAAAGAAGGTTCTAGCAATGCTCAAGTCGGGCCCAATGTGCCAGGATGTTCCAGTCTTCCAACCCGATGGACTTTTCTCAAGCCCCGTTGAGATACACCATTCCAAGGGAAGCGACGATCCTGCATTGCATCTCGAGTGGGACAACGGTGCATCGTTAGTCGGCGAGAACGGCTCGTACCATCTCACGGTCCCCGAGATTGACCTTGACATCCAGGTGCGCCCCGAAAAGCCAATGCTGCTTCACGGGGATGGCGGCCAAACCCTCGATGAGAATGATGAGGATAAGAAGGTGCGCTTTCCAGCCTATTTATGTTTGCAGCTGACTGACTACTTGTTAAGGGCACTTCTATGTTCTACTACAGTTGGCCCCGAACCGAAGCTACGGGAGTGTACAAGGGAGGAAAGGTGACAGGGACAGCATGGGTCGATCACGAATACTCCCTGGGAGGAGATGGCAACCAGGACCCGATGGCTCTGACATATGGTTGGAACTGGTTCTCTCTGCTTACATCCGGCCCAAACAAAATGGAAATTTGTGTGACCCAGGTTCGTATATTGATGTCATTCACTTCTACTAGCTTGCTAACGTTTCGAAGGTTATCAACGACGGTGATATCTTCGAGCAATATGTTGTGTACCACGATGAGGCAGGTGTCCGCCATGAGGTGAGAGATTTTGCTCTTACATCCAGCAAGACTTGGGTGTCAGGACATACTTTCCAGAACTTCGACACTTGTTGGAGCCTCAAGATCCCGAGTCTTAATGTCGACTTGGAGATGGAGGCTGTCACGCAGAACCAAGAGCTCCAGACTTGGTTGAGAATGCCCTCATTCTATGAGGGTGCCGTTCGCTTCTCCGGCACTTGGGAGGGTGGCCCGATCAAGGGATATGGTGCCATGGAACTCACCAAGGGGACAGACATTTCCAAATCCATGGAGCAGATTCTAAGCAACGCCACATCTGTTGTTCGCAAGGAAGTGGACCATTGGGTTCCTTCTTCGATCCGTGCAAACCACTTCAAGCACATTACCAAGGTACACTTTGACAGCTATGAGCAGGAAGTGATCCAAAAGAACATCGTCGAAGCATTTTACATGCTCAACAACAGAGGCGGCAAGAACTGGTGAGCGTTCACAATCTAATCTAGATCATAAGCTTTACTGACTTTACTCGAAGGCGGCCGATGTTGTTTGGAGCTGCAGTCGGAATGGTTGGCGGCAACGCAAATGATTGGAGATCTTTCTTGGTTCTTCCAGAGCTTGTTCACACAGCCTCCTTGATCGTTGACGATATTCAGGACGAGAGTGAATCTCGTCGTGGCGGCCCTTGTGTGCACAAAGTGTTGGGCGTGCCGACTGCGATCAACGCCGGATGTGCTCTTTACTTCTGGGGAGAGACCATCATCCGAGACAACAAGCTCTTGACCGACAGACAACGACGGGACATCTACGCCATGTACTTTGAAATGATGCGAGTTGGCCACGCTGGCCAGGGTCTCGACATCAACGGTATGACGATGGACAAACTCCCAACCCTTCAGGAAGCTGAAGAGATGCTGGCCCGGGTCATCAACCTTCATCGGTGCAAGAGTGGTATCCCAGCTGCATTCTGCGGCACTGTGGGTGCGCTTGTCGGTGGAGGAACACCAAAGCAGATTGAAGCTATGGGAGCATATGTCCAGAACCTAGGTAATATTTACACCAGCCCCAAGATTGAGTCACATCCCACTGACGAATCCATAGGTATTGCCTTCCAAATCCGGGACGATGTATTGGACGTGCTCGGCAAAGTCTCTGGCAAGAATGCGGCAGACGACCTTTACAACCACAAGATCACTTACCCGGTTGCCAAGCTGTTTGCGCTGGACCACCCTGACCGAGAGAAGTGGTACGGGTACTGGGAAGCCCATGACGTGCCAGCTCTTGTTGAGGCTCTGGAATCATCTGGCACTATCGACAGATGTAATGAGGACATCCAGCGTACGGTGCGAGAGGGATGGGACTTGGTGGACGCCATCACTCCCAACTCGTACAGCAAGGCTTTGTTCAGCCTCTTTGCTGAGTTTTTGATTGTGCAGCATTATTGATTTCTCGACATTCCTATATGGTTGGAAGTTGACAGTTGGGAGTATTAATACCCGAGACTCAAAAAGATAGTCTTTTAATAGTTCTCATTATCTTGATCCCAAGTAATAATACCTTCTTTTAATACTATCTTCTCTTGATTCATTCCTCTAGAGTGAAGCTTCAGATTTTACACCAGAACTTGTAGATTTAACCATCTCCCTTATCGAGTAGCCTCCACATCTTCATGGTGCTCTTGCTTCTCGCTCTCATTCAACATATCCTTCTCGGCCTTAATGGCGTCCTGCTCAAGGAGATCAAGAAGGCCGACGTCTCTCCTCGCCTCATTGAGCAAGATGGCATCCTCCTCGCCTGTGTGACTGCCGAAAACACGGTCCATCTCTTCGAGGGTGGCGCCCTTGGTCTCGGGGAGGCAGAAGTACAACCAGACAATGCTACCGGCGAGGAATACGGCGAAGAAAATGTAGGTTCCCCATTCGAGCTTCTCGAACATGGGAGGAACATAGAATGCAACAGCGAAGTTGTTGAGCTAAATTCATGCAATTAGTTGGGGCTAGACTTCATTGCTCGTAAACGTTTTACTTACCCAGTTACTGGAAGCACCAATGGAAGAGCCCTTCGATCTAATGGAAAGAGGGAATATCTCGGCGACCAGAGTCCAGGACACAGGGCCCCATGTAGCACCAAAGGCTCCCACGTAGACCCAGATGAATGCGACGGCGGTCCAACCGGCGGCCGCGTGAGTGACCCAGTCGTGCTGGAACTTGGCGACGATGATACCCGCGAGGACCATGGAGATCCACATGACGACGGAGCCGACGTAGAGCATGGGCTTACGGCCGACTTTGTCGATGATGGCCATGGCGGGGAGGGTTGAGACGAAGAAGACGACGCCGGTGACACCAGTGGCGAGGAGTGCTTGAGTACCGCCAGTCAATCCGAGACTTTCAAAGACGTTACTGGCGTAGTAAATGATGGCATCGATACCAGACCTATTCTCATTAGCAACTCTTCTATGGTGAGACGGAAGGAAAAAAATTACCATTGCTGCCAGAACATGACCAGCCAAGCGGTAGCAACGCGCTTGAAGTTATCCTTTGTGCGGACAATATCATAGTATTGGGCGAACTCCCGGGTCCAGACGCTCCCTTCCTCTTTGGCAGCCAGGTTGGGGAAAGACTTGGCAAAAGCGCGCTGCTCAAAGAGACATTCTGCTTGGATTTCCTTGTATTCCACCTGGACTAGTTCGTGATCTTCGGGGAGCTTGCGCAGGTATGAGAGCGTCTTGAGAGCTTCCTCGTTGCGGCCCTGCTTGACCAGCCAGCGGGGAGAAAATGGAAGCCACCATATACCTCCAGCGAGGAGAACCGCGGGGATACCCTGGATGATCGAAGGCAACCTCCATGCCAGGTCGGATTGATTCTCGCCGAAGCCGCCAATGTTGTTACTGCCGTAGCCGATCCAGAAGGAAAGCATGATGCCGAGAATTGTACAGAATTGGTAGAAGGAAACGAGGAAGCCACGGAGCTCGGGAGCGGATAATTCGGCGTTGTATAAAGGTCTATGTAGTGAGAATTCGTGTTAGCAATATTGTCCTTTACGATTAAGTCCACAATCATGCAGCTGAACAGAACTCACCCAACACCACTGAAAGTGCCAACACCGAGACCAGTGAAGAAGCGGCCGGCATATAGCAGAGAGGAATTATGATAAGTAGCACCACAGTAGAGGTAGCTACCAAGAATGACCCAGCAGCAGGCCGAGAACATGGTGTATTTACGGGATATAACCTCGCCGAGGACGCCAGCGGAGAGAGAGCCGAGGATACCACCCAGCTGGAGGATGGAGGTCAGCCAACCAGTCGCACTAGACGATGCGACAACGTTGGGGAAGTTGTCCTTGAAGCGGTACATGACCAGCGATTGGCCAAGAACACCCTGTTGATATCCATATTCGAAACCACCGAATCTTTTCGCCAGTGTTAGATTTGTGATATCAGGGGGGCTGGGGTCGGACAACTCACGAGGCAAACAGGGCAATCACCATGAGCTTGGGATTATTTGCCAAAGTCTTCCATCGATTCTTATAGGCTAGCTTGGTGCGGGTTTCCGCCGCTGTTTCGGTAGCCATGTTGGGCACGCAGCAAGTTTAGGATAGCCAGGGGGAATTTGGGAAGAAGAAACAGGAGGTAGGGCTGGGTAAACAGCGATTGTCAAGCTCGGCCAGGCGTGCACCTCGTGATATGGAAGGGAGGAAAAACTGCTAATCGCCAGGGTGGTATCGAATCTTTATAGAAAGCTTTAGCAGAAGATCACCTCACCGGAGAAGTTAGCGTGTGATGCTACGTGAGCAGGGCTGAAGTGATCATTGCGGAGACAAAGTTGGCTCATACGGTTCCCCAACTTTCTCCGGTCCCCAGATGATTCAACATGTGGGAACGAGGGGTGTGAGGGGAGCGGTTAAGATGGCCGGATCGAGACGGGGAAATTTCGTCCCTGGTAGGCTCACCGAGTCATAAGACGGGAGACCCCAAGTTAACTCCCCAAACGGGATATCTAAGCGCTTGGGGAAGCAGAAGCCTGGAAATGAGAGGGAGTGGGTCAAGGGGAGTGTAGCTGAGAAGGTCCATGGCAAAGGGGGCGGGTAATGTTATGAGTAACGGGAAATCGGTGTAACAATTAAGTAAGCCATTTAGCAAGTGCTTCAACCTTCTGAAAGGAGAAAGAGACCCAACGTTGCATTTCTTCCCACGGTGTGCCAGTCACGACCAAAAGATCAGTTGCTGGAGCTGTGCGGTGTGTATCGACATGGATTGCATGTCCCGTCCGACGCTGGGCAGCCCAATTGAGATAAATAATAGCAATGGCGGAAGGCATACACATAATAGCCTGATGAATTAGTGGGTATGACTTCGACCCTGGCGCGAATATAGCGGCGAACTGAGGTATGCGTCCGTTGCTCGCTGTCCACATGGGTAAGCAATTATGCTACACGCCATCGCCTACCCCTTCGAGCTCTAGCAACTTCCAGTTTAGGTATCCTCAAGACAGATGGATTCTGCGACTAGGAATTTATTGTTCGAGAACTAGAGAAAAAGCCCGAGTGTGTAAGCCACTGCCGTTGGCCCGGCCGGGCGGTTTCGGCTCGGCATCGTCCCGAGTTTTTTCTTCCGCGACCTCCTCTCAGATTCTCGATTCTGAGACGAAGACGAAGACAATACAGCTTCTACGTGATGGTGATGAGAAGAAAACCTGTTCTGAATTCCACGCATCTGACCTTCCGCCCAGGGTCGGTAGGTGCCCGGCTTGCCGCCAAGATATGCGGGGAGCGGGGTTAGAGCCGGTAATACGAAGATGATCCAGGTATTGGCCCGAGATGCCATGCTAGAGGTCGGTTTTCTTGAACATGACCATGCAAGACGCTGTGTTATATGGTTCACAGGCTCTATATGTTACTCAAGACTCCATTGACGACTATAGTCTGCCTTTCTTGCTCTTCCAGTTCCCAGCTCGCTCACCAGCCTGCCGAACACCCTCGTGCCACCCCCTGAAAATTGTGTCGCTGTGGAAATGGAGATCATCACCTGAGGCGGCATTCGACTCGGCCTAATCCACACCTGTTCTCTAGCCCTGCCACACCACCCAAGCCATCTTTGCAAGGAAGCTCGTCACCAGAAGGTTTTGCAGCCAATTGGCGAACAAGACCGCCCTTGGAGTTGTGGAGGATGTACAGTCACCGTCGAACCATGTTCTGGGGCTGTTTTAACCCCGGATCTACCCCCTCAGTGCGACACGTCTGTCTACCGCTGGTTTGTGGTTGTGAGGTATTTATCACGGGGCAGTCAGCTATCACTCGTGTTTTGCGGGAGGGCCAAGTCAGACGAAGCCATTTGGATGATTTATCTTCACCATTGGAGGACCTATTCCCTAATTTTACCTCAAACAGAGCGAGTTTTAGACTCTTTGAGTTAGGTCAGTGCAGGCATGATGCTAAACGAGGTCTTAGCGCCGTGTTGCGTCAATATCGCGGTATTTTTCAGCAGCATTTCGGCCTGACAATGCCCACTCAAGATCTGCGGCTTTAGCCATGGGATCAGTTGATTCCTGTTTCATATCAGGAGGATACTCTATTAAGGGCAGTATTCGACGCAATGCGCAGATTTTGGATATGAAAATGGCTCGCCCTTACCTAATAACTAGGAACGCCAGCGGATGATATTCATTGACACGCCGGCAAGGAAGAGTTTTGGTGCGCAGCTGCTATGATGGTATCTAATCACGCTTCCTCCCTGCAACACCGACGCGTTTTTGGTTATTGCGTTTGATTTCTAAAGGCAAAATAGCGCGCAGGCGGGATTCAAACGAAACTGTAACACACGACTTTCGCTCTTCATTTTGGCCCATATATCGCCGCTTACTCAACCCGACTGGTGCGTATCGTAGGTTTGCCTAACTAGATACTGTGACTTTGAGAAGGAAGATATCGGTAAGTTTAGGTACAATCCTAGACCACTTTACGGTTGCACCCGGACGCCAAAGAATCGAGAAAAAACTGCCTCGAATTTCATAGACATCACCTCTCGCGCAGTGGACAAAACAGATTGCTAGTGGAATCCCATCTCTCTACTGAAAATCGTTATCATGATGCTTACTAGAGTAAGAAATTCATAGTCTTTTAGCCCACCACGGCGGCATCTTCAACTTTGATTTACTCTCTATAGTGGGTGTTGATCACAAACCCCCATAGACGAGGCAATGAAACACGGTGAATACACAGAAACGAGTAACAGGGTGAGCTGATCATAAATTTGAACCTTGACAGGAATATGGAGCTAGACGTTCAGTATCGGCAATGATGATAATCGGATTTGTATTTTGTTGATTTCTAACACAACATTATGAAGAACAATCCCTTCTGCGTGTTTAACCACCAATGGCAGGCCCCGAATCGTATGTAGCCTATTACCTGTAAACTAACGAAGCGGGCCTAAGGCGTGAACCTTTATCCGGCTGGGAGCTCCCAGCGGTCGCTGAGAGCCATTGGCTTTGTGCCATGCTCGATACCCTCATCTTCAATATCCGCGTTGGGAGCCTCGCGGAGCCTCCTGTTCTTGAACTTGAGGGTGAAGAAGAGAGCCGTGGTGATGGTCATGCAGAGACAAGAAAACACCACGTTGCAAATGTTGGCTGTCAAGGACCGGGGACCCTACGCACTAGGGTAGAAGTGTGCGGCAGAGACGTTGGAAATGGAGGCATGAGTTGATGATACCGAAGGCGGCAGCGTGCTTGGTGGCCGGTCGGGGGATGGAAGTGGACACCCAGGACCAGGTAATACTGAAGGAGCCGTAGATGGACAACATCATTACGGCGGCCGCGTAACGGGCAGCCGTGTTGATAGTGGCGGCGGAGATGATGAAGCCGACGCTGGCGAAGACCTGGGGCCAGATAATGTGCACCCAGTGGTCGCCCCTCCTGTCAGAGTCGAAGCAGCAGAGAGGAGAGTCTCGCGCTTTGGATACCCAAAGCCAGCGACGATGAAGGGGAAGAAACTAACAAAAATGGCGGCGGTGTAGAGGCGATCAGCATGAACATGATTAAGTAGGTCGCGGGATCCGCCAGGGCCTTCTTGAAACTGGCCGAGGCGGAAACGAGACCGCGGTCATCCTCCTCGTTGGCTTCTTCGGTGATGCGAAGGTTGGCATCGTCTCCTCCTCGCTGAGCCACCTAGTTAATTCGTACTGCCCGTCTGCTGTTGAGTGAGTGATATGTATATAATTGCTATTGTTAAAACGAAGGGTTGTCTATCCCGGTGTATCCCTATGACCCCATTTTGGGTTTGGATACATTGGCGCCTACAGTCGCCTGTAATTATAAGGTAAAGCTACGGAAATGTCTGAAGATTGCACATCAACACTGGAGCGTCCGGCGATGGATCGGCCTGGGTCGGACGTCTTTCAGTCCTCAATGTTGTGCTTTGTCAGAGATCTCAGATGAACCTATGTTATATGTATCGCGGTCTCGCCCGAGGAGCCCGAACCCGAAACTTTTCCCAAAACAGAACGGGTTGTTACACCACTATTCGGAAGCAATTTGAGTCCTCGTGCTAACGAGGTGTTTGATTAGTAATGTTTAGTAAGCGACCGAGAAGCCCTTTGGTACATGTAGTGTGTCGCGTTGATTCCATGTCTGAAATTAATTCAAATCGTTTAGTTGATACGAAATAACCTTCACAAGTCTATGCAGATTGCTATTATACATATGGTATACAGAAGAAATCAAAGCTCCTCGCTGTTCCTTTTGGCTACAAAACCCGGAATTATTATCCCGTCCGCATAGAGGTAAGGAACTGGAAGACCACTCTGTTCCTTTTTCTGTTCACCTTCGGATCTCTAGTTAGAATAGAGAAAGATAAAGTTTCCAACACGTTGACCCAGAGAATGGCTTTGAACAAGCGCTAACCATTGTATGCTAGATCTGCTCCCGATGAACACAAATTACGCAGCCCCATCTCTCACTGAAAAGGACCGGCCAAATCGGATTAGAAAGACTATCAAGGTTACAAATAACAGTAGCTAATAGATTCGGTCATTTGCTGATCCAGACATAGGCATGTATCCGCTGCAGGAATAAAAGAATTCGTTGTGGTGGCCCGGTGGAGGGGATAAGGGCCTGTGTATCCTGTGTTGCAGCAGGCGAACCAACTTGTACATATCCCGACAGGATACGAACACGCGGGCCTGGTAAGAGGTAAGTAAAGCAGAATAAAATATCTCCGTATACTATCGGCTTCTATTAACGAAACTTCAGCAAGGAACGTATGCGAGACCTTGAAGGTCAAATTAAGCAGATAGAAGCCAAGCTAAACATCGCTCATACAACGAATGGCATGGAAACCGACGGATTATTCAACCACACGCAGCATAGTGGTACAAAACCATCTTTGTCTTCCGAGTTTGATGAGATTAGTACCGCGTCGAATCAACTGAGTAACCATGAGCCTCCTCCTAGGCGCGAGCAACAAGGTCGGACTTTTCCGCAATATCAAGCAATAACGGAGCGGGGAAAAGACCTTAAGTCTCTTTTTCAAGGACCGACAGCTATGCACGGTCTAATAACATCGGCGATCATACCAAAGGAAACCGAGCGACTGCTTGTCCTAACATTTGTGGAGGAAGCCTGTCAAGAGCTGCCTTTCTTGGACTTGAATAAATTCATTAGGGCGCTCCAACAGCCTGAATCGCTTCGTTGTACTGGAAATATTGCCTGGTGGGCCTTACTCAACCTATCCATTGCTATCGTGGAACGGTCCAAGCTCACGAACGATTCTTTCCAGAATCTCTGCTCTAGGCCATGGGGCTTTTTCAGGAATGCTTTCAGTATGCACATGCCGATACTATTCAGTGGTCTTAACTTGTGGGGAGTTCAAGCGCTACTTGCAATGGTCATTTTCATGCGTGGATCTGCAGATACTCATATGACAAGTACCTTGCTGGCTGGAACTGCCCATCAAGTACAGATTATGGGCTTACACGATGATGAGCGATGGTCAGACGGTCCTGGGCTTGAAGAAAACGAGATCAGGCGCCATCTGGTATGGGTTATCGTTGTGCTCGAAAGCGACCTATGTATGGGCACAGGAATAACCCCTTCATTGCCCGAAACAGAAATCAACTTGAGACTTCCTGGCATGGCCACTTCTTCTCGTCTGAACCCTTCGGATTGCGACAATGGAGATTGCTACGTGCAGATTTTCAGGGATAGAGTGAAATTGGCCGGAATACAGACGTCCATTCACAAGAAACTCTACAGTCTTGGTTCACGGCAACAATCGATACCTCAACTGATTGCATTATCCGAAGAGTATCAATCAAAACTAGCTGATTGGGAGTCTACGCTCGGGACCAATATTCTAGAGGATGACTGTAGATCAGCACCCGTATCCTCAGACCCTGTGGCTATATTTCTCCAACTTGTGTACTACAACTGTATATCGTCCGTCTATTGGCCCCTGCTTCGCCTAGACTCTCAAGTACCACGGAATTATTACCAGAAATCAGTTTTTAGAGTGAGGAGGGCAGCAAGAGCTGTCATCGCTCTTAATCGAGTTATGGTGGGCATGTCTTTCCCAGATCTATGGTACGTCTCCTCCCCCCTGATTTATTAAACCTTGTCCTAATATTGTAGGCGAGCTTTACAATATCAAGTAGCAGCGGCTATAACACTCTACCTATGCATTATACGTGATCCAGCACACTGTGATAATGGTCGGGACTTTCAAGCGCTTCAGTCCCTTTTCCAATTCATTGAGAAGCTGGTAGTAGAGGAATCTTGTGATCTTCAACAAGTTCAGAAAGCAATCTCTCAGTTAGTCGTGCTAGCTGAGAGTACCGTGCAAAGGGACGAAGATCCAGCTGGCAAGAGTTCAATAGAGAATGTAAGGAGCCTATTTGAAAGCCTAGAATTACTACTAAATGGTGTATTGTTTCTTTTCCAGGTTGCGACAACGTTTCTCAGAACGATAACACATCCAATGCGTGTAGCACAGTGCTTGATGGGGAATATTCAGACTTCAGATAGTACAGCAGCACGACTTCTTATCGAACATCTGTCTATAACTAACGAGATTAAGAAGTACGGTCCTTTGTGTCCGGACTCGTTACGATCTAATACGTTTATGTTTAACGTCTAATAGGGTTATCCCATCCTTAGCTAGAATGTTATAACGGCTGGATAATGTGGACGGTAGATATCTTTAGTCGTTAGGTTTATGTTTAAGGGTGATCAAGGTGAAGTATTCAAGTGTATTATATCTCTTGATAAGCTTGAACCAGCTTTCCGAATGCCAGACTTTGCAAACAGTACACTTCTGCGTAATGCTGACTAGTAAATCGACCGTTGATATTGCTGACACCTTTGAGCCTCTGTAGAAGAAGAATGTGGTTCACAGCCTAGACCTTCAACGACAAGGAGACAAACACCGATATTTAACCTTGCTTTGCAGAAGAAAATCGTAGATGTCATAACAACAGATCGAGTTCCACAAAATTCATGGCCAGCACTTGCGGATCTGAGTTAAAACCTCAATAGAAGGAGTTGAGCACCAGGGGAAAGTGTAAACACGCATTTGAAAAGAAGAAACCTCAATGGCTAAGGGAGCCTAGAACTATTGGCCTATTAGTAGGAGAACCACTGCCTATACGGGCGGGCCAGTGGATGTAGCTAGTAGTTGTAGAGCGAAAAGCGGTTTTCCTGGAACTGGCTGGCTATTGTCGTTAATTCCAGGAAATTAGAGGTATCCTAGATTAACATTCACGAAGCTTAGGCTATTTGCTGGATGCCGTTGACCGGGTACACTTCTTTAAACGATTATTACTGCGTAAGATAACTAAATCAAGTTAAGCCAGGTACGCCGTGAAAGTTTATCTATAACATTAACTGAACTTGATATCCTATTTAAGGTCAAATGCGATGGTCAGCCTCCATGTTGCGGTTGATACGACCACCTTGGGCTACTCTTGGGCCAGCTCCCATCGGAAAAGACATCAAGGTATCGCTACCGGCATAGCTCGACCAGAGCGGAAGCCAAAGCCCATACGTCTTCAATAACGACAGCAACAACCGCAGCAACGCACACCTCCTATCAGATCGACGCTGATATCACCGCCGCCATCTCTACAGGCTGCTCAAAATACAATTCACTCTACGTTAGACAAATCGGGAAAATGGCCGGAGGAGTACCAAAACTGGACACTTTCTGGCCCTTAACAAACGTGCTTTCACTCTACCATAGAACGTAATCAAGGCCAACCTACTCTGACCCCTGGTGCGTTATGTCTAACGAGACAGAAAGCGCCTTCAGACAGTTTATGGGAAGAGTATGTTCGCATACTAATATTCGCCTGTATTACGTTGCTAAGTATGCTCTATACTGCCTTCGCGTAAAATGTTGGCGAATTGTTGAGGCTGTTATTGTTCACTTCTTCTTCGCCATGAGGGGTACCCAGTCCTTCTCCAGATCCTCATCCGACAGGATAGGAAGTCCAACCAGCTCGTTGTCCAGTTCCAGATATTCGGTGTAGTACTTGCCACTCACCATTACGGCCTTGATAAGCTCGAAAGCCACAATGAGATCAGTGGGATCCTGAACGAATTTGGCAGTAGCTGCATCCAATGCGTCGAAGGAGTTGACAGACGTGATACTCAACTCAACCTCCGGAAAGGCTTTCTTGACCAGGTCCAATAGCTTGAGCTGGGAAATAACCGTCTCATGAACATGGATGACACGGTTCTTGGTCTGATCCGGTTTCTGTAATCCACCAGCGATTGCCTTTCCAATTCCTGCGATGCTGGTTGCACTGATACGGACGTCCCCCTTATCGTGTAGCTGAACAACGCGGCGTTCGAGATCGATGAATAAAGGGCTTCCGAAGACATATTCAAGAAAAGGTCCTGTAGCAAAGATCGTGAATTCGATATCTCCTGTCTCTGCCTTTGCCTTGAGATAGTCCTGGATTTCTATGAACAGCTGAAACGTGGGGATATCCCTCGCCTTTGGGTCAGTGTTGACCGAGCTGAACTCACTCGGAATGAAGCGCCGAACACCAGCAATGATAGCAGCGTCGATAATAGTCTTTTGGGCGAGAACAGCTGCAGGCCCAACAGTACTGACGATCGCATCATGCCCTTTCAAGGCCTCCGACAAGGTATCGAGAGAATAATCAACTTGGACGGAAATTGCTCCCGGAGGAACTTCATGTTTGGAGCGTCCAAAAACGGTTACTTGAAACCCAGCCTTAAGTAGGTGCTCAAGCGTGGCCGACCCAACATTGCCTTTCTAGAAAACAGGATCAGCTAAGGATCGATTGCATACAATCGTGGATTGTACGTACGCCAAAGAGTGCAACTTTCTTAATCGGGCTCATGTTGAAGAAAAATGACTGAGTCAGGTTGTATGGGTATGAATGTATGAGAAAAGAAGGGTGATAAAGCTGGACTGTTGTGTATGGGGTGAGCTTGTTAGGAGGCTGGCAGCGCGGTATAAATATATATTCTTGGTCTTGGGCAGTTTTACTAATTATTGCGAAAGCTTCCGCCAATATCCAATACTCGGGACCGATTTGCCTCCGGGCGAGTGGTTTTAGTAAGTGGAAATATGGCCTAGCGGAAGTAATTCGATCCCAGTTACCACATTTCCACTTTTTCAGTCCATTGCTTATGTGATTATCCCAATCATAATAGCGACTGGGCGTTTCGTTCTAGATACCTCCTTAGGTAAGTCATAGGTTGCTAGCAGTGTTGGGGAGGGCGCATGCAGCCAGGGCCGCAGGATAAAGTCAAATAGCAGGCCAAGTTGGATAGATAGGGCGGGCTTATAGCTAGTGACTCTCGAGCATATGCAGGGCTGATGCCACGACTAGACCATGCTCACGCGCAAAAGCCATCGCCGGAAGCGTCTCCTTACTGGTTTTACTCTTCAAGCTCTGCAGCAGCTTACTGGTGTAAGTACTTGAAGCTCTACGGCTAAGGCACCGGCGGAAAGAACACACCTGACAAAGTGTGTTACTAGATCAACTTCATCTTTTATTATCGAGCCAACTAGTGGCCTCAGTGATCCCTTCATCGTCACAGTCATCGTCCAGAGTGTCAATTTCTTTGCTGGTTTCCCTTCCATGTGGTTGGTCGAGCAACGGCTCTTCACCGGAGCCGTTCGCATGTGCCTCACCCAGTACATCATTGTAATTGTTGCTGCCACCACACCTGGAGATGGAGCTGCCAGCAAATCTTTGATGCCTTAGTTTGCTCCTATATTTGCTTCTTCTCCACTTCGTAAGTGTTCTTACTTGTTCCACTACACCATATTTCTGGTTTATTAACTTTTTTATCTTCCAGTTGGGGACCTTGCGCTTGGGTTGCCACAGGAGAAATATTTCCCCTTAAGACCCGACCCGTGCCAAGTCTCTTAGTATGACTACTGCCAGTAACTGGCTGCCCAACTGGGCTCTCGCCTACGCCACCCCTTACATAGTCGGCTCTGGTCCTGGCAACGCCGACCTGCAGTCCAAGGTGTTCTTCAACTGGGCCAGTTTCTGCCTGATTGACGCTGTCTTTGTGTACTTGTACATCTACGAGACCAAGGGTTAGTCCAGATCGAATCATATCTACGTTTATTTAGCGGTGATACCTAACCATCCAAACAGGGCTCTCTCTCTCGAAGAGGTCGATGAGCTTTTCGACACTGTCAGCGTCGCCTGGAAATCCAAGCACTTCACTCCCACGGTCCATTTTGCTGATATGTTTCACGAACGTGATAGCAAGGGGGAGGCAAAGGACAAGCGCGTCGAGGACGTTCTTCGTGCTGCAGCCTAGATCGAGACCGACTTCAACTCGCTTAGACTTTATATGAACGGGATGTCGGCAACGATGAAGATTTATAATATCCATGATGCATCCATGGATGAGTCTGGGGATGCTCAGCAAATGTCGATCTAAATATCGAACGAACATAAATATGTCCTCTACTGAACAGGATTATTTTTTGGGTGTCGTTAGTAACAGGCATAGTGCAAATTTCAACTTAGATAAAGAGCTACCCCTTGTTAACTAATTCTTTCTCTACTCAATATCAGTACAACGTTGGGTTCGAACCTAGAAAGTTATTTCAACTAGAATTTACCCCTCAAGCATCTAAAAAAAATATGTACTTAGAGTTCTTAAACTCGAACAAATTCTGAGTTTTTACCTAGTACTCTATAGTACTGAGTGGGCCATTACGGCAAGTGTCTTGCTGCCCTGTCTTGTACACTTGTTTCTAAACTAAAACTAATGAATAGCTTCAACCTTTACACCGAGTTTTGCTACTAAGAGGACAGTTACGACATCAATATTGGAACAAAAAGAAGGTTACACAATATGTGGAATCTGTCGGTTTATTCTTTTAATTTCCTTTTCACTTTTTATCTCATAAATGTAGGTTAGAAGATCCTGGCGTGAAGCCTGAGCATCGGAATACTGGGCTTCTTTCAAAGACTTAAGTGGCACCTAGAGGCTTTTTATGAATTTGAAAATATTCTCCTCCGAAGCTTTTGCAAGAGTAATATTCGGTGCTAGCCCGTCATAAGCGTGGAAGAGCCCTGGGTAGAGGTGGAATTCTACTTCCACGTTAGCTGATATAAGTTTTGCGGCGTATGCTATATTCTCGTCTCTGAAGAGATCCAGCCCTCCCACTTCAATGAATGTCTTGGGGAGCCCACTCAAGTCATTGGCTCTTGCAGGGGCAGCATATGGAGAAATGGTGTCTTCGGTTCTTTCAGCTACGGATAGATTAGCATGGATAACGCGTACAGAATCATACGTTAGGTTCAACCTACACTGCTTTTTGCCCCCAAGGTACGCCTGCCAGGCGATTTTATTGGCCTTATCTGACCAGGAGAGGAATGAATTGAGGGGATGATCCTCGCTCAAACTCGTGCGGTCATCGAGCATAGGGTACTTCAACACTTGAGCGGCGAGAGGGGGGCTCATACACTGGTCTCTGGCCATCAGTGCCACGCCTGCAACAAGACCAGCACCGGCACTATGCCCATGGACAAGAACACGGGCTGGATCGATGTTGAACTCGGCAGCGTGTTCCTGTACCCACTTGATAGTAGAAAAGACGTCCTCCACTGCTGCCGGGAAGGGATGTTCTGGGGCATAGCGGTATTGCACGCCAAAATACTGTGATTTCGTCTCTACTGCGGCTTTTCCAATAAACGACCGAAATTCTTGGACACTGCCCGAGACGAAACCCCCTCCAAATGCAAACACAACAGCCCGATGCGGTCCAGGCCCGTCCTTGACTGCGAGTGGGAGGAAGCGACGAACCTCGACTGAGGTGCTTCCATCAAGTGATGTAATCGAGTGGTTGGTTTCCTCAATGCCCTTAGGGAACGGAACGGCCATGAAAGTGACTGCAGCCACGGCCGAATTTGATGCACGAATCTGCAGAGCGTCATTAAAGTCGGGCTTGGGAGCGGCAGCGAACGGCGCCATGGCCTCTGCTAGCTCGGGATCTAATCTGAGAGACATTCTTGAGAAGAGATATTCTGATCCTTATCGCCCGAAGATAGTATGAATTAGAAATGGTGAGATTGTGTAGCACGATGGAGGACTCGTATCGAAGATTGATGTTGCATGTCGGAGAGGGGTTTTGATATGACATCGACGAGTGGAGGTTTTAAATGTGTCCCAGAATCTGATAAGTAAGAGGAGCTCCGTTCAGGGCTTTCAAGTTCCCTTTGCGCAACCTCCTCCTTTGATGAGCAACACAGGTGTGGATTTCACCTCGTAAATCAGTCAATCAAAAGCCGTAGACTGAGGATAGCCAAGCAGATTGTCTCTGTGTCAAGGGGTTGACTCCTCCACTAACTAACACCCTGGCCCTATTCTGGAACAGCCAATTGGCATCTCTCGAAGACATGCCGTGGTTACTCCTATGCCTTGTTGCTAAGCCTTGCTGTTTGATCAAATCGAAAACAAATAGCGTGCCTTTTATTATCACCCACATTGGCCAATCAAATCTCATGATCGTCTCATCACTCGTAGCAAGCATAGCTTATCTAGGTGGCGAAAGGAATTGATTCCTTGACAACCAAAGAGGAAACCAATCACGAAAGTAGTCCGGGCCACGATACGATTTGCACTTGCCATCGGTCGCTTCGATGGCTATCCAGGGGAATAATGACTGTATCACAAGCTTCATTTCATCAGAATAGGAATTAGAAAGAACTCGTGTCGCTGAAAATAGGCGCCACTTTAGCTGCTGCAGATAGGACGCTGAACATTTGGGGAATAACCTCCAAGCCAGTCAATACAAACACCGCGCGAGAATGCACTGCACGAGAATACACCGCACCGCACGAGTAAAAGTGCTATCGATATAGAAAATTGTAAGATAACCCAAGGTTAGGGATATTAGTTTAAGAAGGTTAGGTAGGAAAAGAGACAAGTTCGAGAATGTAGATCAGCCATACGTTCTAGGCCATCTATACTGCAGAGTCACTGGGTGCAATAAACTACGAGAAACATTAATACGATGACTATTTGTCTTTTATTTTATTGGCACTTGGCGCCGTCATAGCCAAATTGGGTTTGATCGGCTATGTAGATTCATGGCTGTCATTCAGATTGCGATTGCTCCGTACACGAGGTCTGCTCGTCCAGCCCGGCTTCTAAGTCCTCATCACTAAGCAATTTTTCAACACCTTCAGGGAGTGGAGAGGCTAAATGATGTTAGCATTTATAAGGCAGAGAGGCTTGGAGACATCCTGTTACAGAAGTTTAACGCGCGATGGCAATCTAGCTGCTTGAGGTCGACTTTATCGTCCTCTAGAGTAGCGAGCTTCTGTCTACACCAAGTCCTCTCAAGTGATAGTGCATCGCTTTCTGTGGCTATCTGAGCTACCTCGTCATCCTGTAGCTCTAAGATGATTTCTGATGGAAATAAGGATGGCAGCTTCTTGATCAGGCACTGCTCCACTGCCAGCATACTAATATCGTCTATAAACTTCTTTCTTGCGAGCTTGAGCGTATGTTAGCAAACTGATTGATCTAAAGTTGACAAACCTAGAGACAAGTATGAGTAGTGCACTGACCTTATAATAGGCCTCCATGTAGTCAACTGCGAGTTCGCTTCCATTACGCTCCATATCAACTTCGTTGTGTCTTTCCAGAGCATGGAAGAATTCAGTGGGAGAAATGCCCTTTGGAAAATGAGAATTCTCAAACGCTCCAGACCCTATTGTTTCACGAAACTGGTTTATCAAGCTCTTCCGACGCCTTTGCTCCTGGATCTTTTGCACGGTATCTGTCAAGTAGTGATTATACGTTATTGGGTGGCATTCAATATGCGGCGTGAGCAACTCTTTGAATTTCGCTTCCAGGTCATTTTTCAACGGCTCTAGAGATCCTCGGATAATGGATAGAATGCTGGATGCCGTTTCTTGTATTGCGATATGGTCCACTATAAGCTTCAAAATGTCATTCACGAGTCCAAGAATCTCCAGTCTGAGATCTGAGGCAATGCGCTGCCAAGGCGCGCATTGCTCAACAAAGAGTTCGCCAATGACCATAGGATTGAATGTTCCCGGCAATTCGCGGCCCCTGCCTCGTCGGATTCGCTCCTTGACCAGGTCGATAAACCGAGAACGCGATATCTCGTTGGATGCTAGTTCCTGCTCTTCAGAATCAGACCTGTCGTCAATGATTATCCGCCGCCTTCCCTGCTGCCTCATAGTCTCACTGAAGCTCGACAACGTGTTTTGTAGTCGGGCCCGCAGCCGTTTGCTGTACCCTTCATCAGTTTCAGTACTGCCAAAGAAAGAGTCGTTGTATAGTCCATCAACAGTTGCCTGCATTAGAAAGGTGAACTCGCGGCTGACTTGAAGAAGATATCGACGCTGCTCAGTCGCGTTGGAGCGTGGGGATCCAAGTCGTCGGAGCTGGCCTTCAGTCGACGATATTTCCGTGTCGACATCCTGAATAAGGGCAGGGAGCTGACGAAAAATCTGATCTTTTAGCACATCGCTTAGGCGCGGTTTCAGAGCCCTGACTCCCAGTTGTGCTCGATTCGTTGTTGCCCAGACTCCGGTTTGGAAAAAGGCTTCCTCCGCTTCATCTCTCTCCGCAGAGGAGGCATCCCGCATCTGGTAATCTCTATTTTTGAGAACATGCCACCCCAAGCGAAATTCAACGTCCTCATTTCGAGCAAGCTTGACATACGCAGTCTCGCTATCAGATCTGACATCAAGTGTATCCGGTTTCGTGATTAGGCCTAACGTGCGTGTTCCGTTTGGGTCCAGCTCCCTGGCAATTTCCGTTATTTCTTGCAAGGCGAAATCGCTTTTGGCAGAGACCACAGCGAGAATGATGCTTCGGGGGTTTTTGATATACCCCCGTACCATTTTTTTGAACAGTCTTGGCGTCTTTGGCAGATTGTTCTCGGTTTCCCGCGCGGAAGAGGCCTGGGAGGTCTACCATTGTCAGATGTGGTTGGGATGGCCCCGACAATTCCACACGCAGAATATCAGTGCTGAATACTTTGGACTCTGATATTCCCATGGCACTTTTGGCTTCATCGACAACCGTTTGAAGGTCTGGCCGTGTGGGGTTAATTTCCGCATGGAATGCATTGAGGCGCTGTCGTTCATCGTGTGATCTCTCTGGGCCCGGATGAATGGAAATTTTTACCGCCTCGGTGGCCTCACGGCGAAGAATCAGCTCCGTTGCAAAACGTGTGCATAGATTATCTTTAGTAGGGAATGTTAAGCCAGAGATGGCTTCGAGAACGGAGCTCTTTCCTGATGATTGACCGCCACAAACCACGATTTGTGAAGGTCAACGTATCGACTTACGCCTTTCGACCGTAACTTGTCAATTATGTCGAGGAGGTTCCGATGATCTTTTGATTGCAATGCCTCCATGGCGATAGAGCTTTTTCGTTGATGCAGAATGTGAATACATCAGTTCAGGTTGACATTCTCTTTATAAACTCGCGCACCACAATGAGTGGTTTCTCTTTGCGAATTACCTGTGGCTTTTTCAGAAACTCTAAGTCGCGATAGCTACTCTTTTGGTCGGGTTGAACCATCATTCTAGCCCAAACCTAAAGCATCGTGAAACCGAAAATATTACGGAACCTGAAGAATTGTGTGGGAATGCTAGTGCTCTCGCTCCGCTGCAGCCACGCTGCTCATACGAAGTCTACTTGGCTCCAATCTTCGTTAGCCCCAGGCCAACCTTGATCGCCTTTTCATCAGACTTGTGTTTGATCGTATCTGCCTTGGGCCTGGTTTTCCTAATCATGTGTGACTACTTTCATTCTTTTGGATCTGGGCGGGTGAAAAGTGTCGATCAAACCCCCTCGGCGGTGATAAAGGCAACTTTAGCTTCCTAATACTAGGTATTACTCCATTTTGTTTTCTTGGGTATTGGAGGATGTAGTAATAATGCGGATTACTCATGTTTTATCCCTCTATATCTATAATACAGACTGCTTAGCTGAAGCCCCATCCTGGAAAAAACACTAAATAGAAAATCATCCATCGAGCTCAACGAGGGACGACCACATTGGATGCAGTTCGAAGACTACGTGCTACGTATTCCTTACAGCCAAGAGTAACAGGAGGCATTACATCACCAAGAAGGAACTCATACTCATAAGGCATCGCTTGCGTTCCCGAGGCTTTCCCTGTCTCTCCCTGGGGGAAAATGAAGGTCAATGCATGCCGATTATCATGCATGTTGGTTCACCTCCTGGATGAAATGGTCATTTATGAGTTGCAAACCCAAACCAAGATCTCCAAGGCCTGCCTGATGAGTATATAGTCGAGTGATGATCGACTCTTTGCCTCCATTATGTGGAAAGCTTCATTTCGTTGTCCTCAATGTTCTATCGCATCTGAATCGGGCGGCTTTCTAGTCGTCGGATGTTCAACATTCTTCGATTTGTAGGAAGCTCAGAAGAATGAAAGAGGCCGAAAGTAGTAAGTGAGAGAGCCGTGCAGTCATGCGGCAGCTAAGTAGTTATCGAGGTTCGGGCTGGGCGTATCAACGCATCGAGTGCACTCCATCCCTATTCATCCGTGCTATAGACTGCCGAGTCGAAAGCCCCCCTTCGAGAACACTGGATGGGAAGTTATCGATCGAGAGGCAATATGGTTTGCGAGCTATGCCTTTATTCAAGCATCGAGAAGAAGTGCCAAAATCCGAGAATGTCTTAGACGCTCACGAGTATGTTGATGTCGAACAACCTCGCTGGTACCACCTCTGTTAGCACCCGCTTCAGGGACATTATCGGCAATCTTTGTGAAGGCTGATCATTATCGAGGCTACAGGTTGGATCTCGGTAGCGGCATGATCTCTTAATATGGGCAGACGATTGGCCCGTGGAGGAAAGCACTTCTTGTTATTTATATATGCTACCCATCTCACTACTCGGGCCGGTTTCTCGGCGAGTGGCATGTTGGTGACCAAACCCGGGCCGGCTACATCGAAGTATCCTCGAGAGGCATTCGAACTCAGTCAACTGGGTGACAAACTGATAGATTCAACTTCCCAGTAAGCAAAAAAAGACCGTAATTACGTCCTCAATCTTTTGCTCCAAATCTTGAAATGAATTTTACCTAACAGAAGCACGTAGCATCCAAATCGTTAGAGGCACCCGTTTCTCAGGAGTCTTTTACAGGTGCACATTCCTTTCTCAAACAGTGGAGGAATTAGTTCACTAACTTCCAGCTTGGTATCAAAAGGTCAATACTATGAACAAATTCATTTGGAGAGAAATGGGAAAGAAATGTAGATATCCCACTCAACAACGGTAACGCATGTTCTCAATGTGTGCTGGCACAAGACATGGGCAGAGTTACGGTCTCGGGCAATGAGACCAGATATTCAATTCAAGAGGTTACGGATTTCAGACCTTGGCAAGATCTGGCCCAGTGTTTGAGGTGTGCAGACCCATCACAGTGCATCTTGGTGTTCTTACTTCCAACGGGCATTTCCGGTAACTGTTCTCGGTGTTTGTCCCCGAGAGCCCATCCAGTTCTGACCTAGATGAGCAATTATGCAGAGCACTGATGCCAAGCACCAGGCGGTCAACACCTGTGGGCGTGATGCCAAGTGTTATCAATCCAAGACACAACCCGAGCCGCCAGACCGGCATCATGACCGGCTCGCTTGGTGCCAGAGAAAACAAGGGTCCGTCCATTCGATTACGTTATTTACTATCACTGGTCATGTGAAGTCCACCGGATCAGCCGACGGTAGTTCAGGGGCAAAAAACGGGTTTGATCATGATTGACAACTTGACATAATCGTTGGGCCACAATCGAAGCTAAAGCGCTCAATTATAGTAAAGTCCGCCGCCTCAACCTTCTTGCATGGCCTTGGCGGACAGAAAAGATGGGACGCCTGGCCAGGGCCCCCGGCAAGATTTCGATCGGATGAGCAGACATGAATCAGCGCGCCTCGTCTCGCCCGACTAAACATGGGTAGGGTTTGAGCTTAGGCAGAGTCAATCTTAAGCCGCATGCCTTCTTGAACTACCAAAGCAACGAGCAGTAGGATAGCCCCTGTTGGATGCTCTTGAGGTGGCTGATATTGCTATTGATCACTTCTTACCTGACTTTATGCTGAGAGTTGCTGTTGCTGTTTAGTCGACAATCCAAGCACAAAACCATTGAAGAATTTTCCTCCCTGCATTAACACGCTTCGGTCAATTTAACCCCTTGAGAACTAAGTACGTAATAAAGTTGTGCCAAGGGCGAGAAGACTGGATCTCCGGCGTAGCCTCTCCACCACGTCAACCTAAAACACACTCTGTTTGTGGATACACGCGCCGCCTCACGGGACATTTTCATTATACATACGATTTCCGAAAGGGGAAGCAAAACATCACGTTCCCTCGGAAGTTGTCCTGTGCCGATGCTTTCCATTAGTCATGAACGCAGCTTGGTAGCCTGACCCAGCTGGGCATTAGCAAATACTGTGGGTGCTCCTTGTTTTGACCACGTAAATTCTTACGACGACGGTCCGAATAAGCCGCACGGGTGACTAAACTCTGATTTCTTCATCCGGTGGATTCTTCACGTCACGAAAGGCAAAAAGTGCCCCACTGACGAATGAAAGATGGTGATGGCACAACATGCCCTGTGTATGGTACAATCTGTGAAACGATAACAAAGTCAGCCCAAGGATATAAAGAGCTGACAGATTTGATTCGAATGGATGGGCTCTGGCTTCTAGGAGGAGACAATGGGCTCAAATTTAACGAATCGAGTGATGTTGGAATCCAATGCCAAGGTGATTTCTCACGCTGGACTGGCCTGCCAAGCGGCGTGGCAATGAATTCCCACAAATTATTCATCACCGTTGAAATAGTGCCACTCTCTTGTGGTTATGATGCCGCCCAGACCGGACCGGAACGTTTTGACAAAACTTCTTCAAGGGGTACCAAATTCCGGGCAAAATGATTACGAGGAATGGCAATGAACGCATGGTCAAGAATATGATGCTGTGTAAGTAAAAGGAGAAAAGATATGTTATGTTTAGGCTATGTAAAAGAATCTATCCAGCTATTCGATGGCTGGCCTAAAATAATGCATTATTTCCACATGAAAACACGCCCTGTACGCTACTCGAGTCCGACTCAAAAATATCCAGGAGCTCGGTGATGGAAGACCACAGGCCAGCTCCATTCATAAACAATGAGATGAGAATAAGAAAAACATTGACAATAAACAACGAAGTCTTCTTCCAGTTGCTGAAATACCGCCCTTGGTTGAGATTCAGCCAAAAGACGGCACTGAAGCCAAATGTGAACCACGAAATAGTCGTTGCCGAAGCGATGGAAAGGATGGAATCAAACACAGGAATGGCGTTGGAGAGAATAAAGCAAAGGATCCAAAAGACAGTCACGGAGATAATCCAGACTGACCAGGACTTGGTGCAGTTCTTGGTCATCTGATGGGATGCGCCAATACCCTGCATGATCTCGACGTATACATACTTGATACCTGTGTGGCCGAAAGCGAGACCAGTGGATAAAACAGCTGGCAGAGCAATGCCGTAAGCAATCTTGGCCGTTGTCTGGACGGCAGATCCGAGTGCAGGGGAGACGGTGAACTCGCCTGCGAGGCAGTAGATGACAACACCGACAAGCACGTAAAACGAAATCGAGGTGACCTCAAGTACGCCAAGAGCGAAGTTGAAGTCATTCACTGGATCGATCATCTCGGCCATGTACCCGACAAAGTTGATATTGCCAGAGTAAGCATAGACGATCTTGAGGCAGGCGTTCAGACCCTCGCGGAATGTAGGATTGCCGACCACAGTAAGCTGCCTCTTCCAACCCTGCGGGGCAGCTGAAGGGTTGGTGACACCCAGACTGATCATGACGAGGAGC